CTAAATTTTCAAGAAAAAAGGCGATAAAATGCAGAAATCGAAAAGATAGCAGCTAGTTTCACGATATTAGTCTTCGAAAAGGTCTAATGTGCCGATAGCGACCAATAAAATCTCAATATCGATTTCATACTTGGGGTATGTTCCCTCGTGAGATAACTTTACAAAGAGTTGATTCCTTCAGACTCTTGCTCCAAATAAATGTTATTGAATAAAGCATTGAATATGGAATTCAGATTGAAATATTGAAAAAAATCAAGGTGTAAAAGGTGACGCGAGTTGAAATTCAAGATTATATTTATTTTGCAGTTAAATCCTTTGAAATACAATGAACCAATTTCGGTTTAGAGCAGGACATTTTTTTTCTCAGCTTTTTATGATAACCAATTATTCGCATCATGAATAACAAAATTATACACTTTTATCCCTATTCTAACCATGCAACTTCCTCATTTTCGCGAGGTCTGGTGAAAGGGAGAGAATATCGAGGAATGGATTCGCCAGATAAAAATTCAAGATTAAGTTGAACTCTTCAACTTGAGGAAAACGTAACAATTCGATGCGCCATCTATTGATGAAGGTTTTCTCAATTGATAGTGATTTTTACAATTTCGCTGTTTTAAATGTGACATTTAAAATTTTTGTTTCTTCAGGTTGGTTCTTAATTATTATCATTCATGAACTCCATTTGAATTAATGTGAGATGTTCATAAATTTAAAAGCAATCCACATAAAACAAACAGAGAAACAATTTGCTACATTAAGGCGCGTATTTCAAAAATTTGGTGAAAATCATTTATTGATTGAAATTTGTTTTACTGTCAATCAACACAAATCAATTCTAGCTTTTTATTGTGACATGTGACAATTGATGCTTCGAGTCTGCTGTAATCTCGAATCTTGTGACAAAAATTCAATTAAGTGAGCAAACAATGATTCTGGTGCTGATAAGTAAGATGAAGGTAAACAGAACATTATGTAGTAATTATAACTTCGAGTCAATTTATTGACAGTATTACTTAATTGCTAATAGTTGTTTTTTATTGTTACTTTGATTTCACCTCAAAAGGTTAATCATTTATTGAAGGGAGTTGAGCAAAAAACAATCAAACGCCATCTAGATTGGTTATAATAATAATGGTTGAGCTCATTATTGTAATCTTTATTGGTGTGTCACAGACTGATACTTGACTTGATGAAAATGAGTAGATTGACTTAAGTACGTTATTAACAATTAAAATGGATAATAATTGTTGAAAATCAGTGAAATTGATTTCATTTCTGTCAAGAAACCATTTAATATATTGTGACATGAAAACAGAGCCATCTATGATTGCTCATTCTTATAACACTTTTTTTCTTGAACGAGGTTTCATTCAACATTTTTTCCTGGAAAAAGAGACATTTTGATATAAAAATCTAGTTGTATTGGCCTCGTTTTTGAGGTTTTGCTGTTCAACATGAAACATCCTGAAACCATTGTGCTTAATGAGGAGATGATTGCCTATCGTGGTGAGGGCAATGTTACTCTTGTCATCGCTCTTAAAAATGTATGTTTATCCTATTGATTGACTTTACCATATTCGATGATGTAATCTTAACCAGTAATTTTAATGATCTATCTTTCACCTTTAATCTAGACTGGTAAAGTGCTTCGCTTCCCTAAGTATCCGTTTGATCAGGTAAATTTCTGTTTTATTATTTTATTAACCAATTTTCAATTCTTACCATGCTACCATTCTTAATACATTGTATCTAAATCTTAGATAATCTGCCGGAATCATATGAAAGCTAAATTGCTACACCACATATGGTTTGCCAAGATGATACTCAAAAGGTTGATAAACGAAGCCATGTTTGATGAGCCTAAACTTGTACTTGTCTCCCAAGAAGATATTTCGTTGATTAATAAATTGTGTAATCAATCAAGACCAAGTAAGTAACAATGTTTTTATTAATTTATGACATTTGCTATTATGACAAGAGAAACTTGGTCGAAAATTTGAATGAATGACAATATGTTTACATATGTTTATGTATATGCTATGGATTATTTTGGTTTTATCAAAATGTGAACAGTTCATTTTCAATCATGTGATGAACTTTATAGATTTTTGTTATAAATTCCATTTCTTGTTTTTTGTTTTTTCCTTTAGATTATCGTATATTCAAAGTGATTCCAAATCAAGAGTCATGGGCGCTACTATTAAATGATTACTGTTGTATTCCCAATGAACCAAGTCTTCAACCCTATTTAACTGGACCTGTGATAAGTGTCGAAATCAAACCCAAACAAGGCTTCCCACCTCTATTATATCATTTAGGAGAGGAAAAACCTATTGCTGCAAGAGTTTGCCGGTTCGCATTAAAACAAGCATTCAAAGTAAGTTGAATTACTGTTCCCTTATTTGATATCATCGTATATTCTCTCTTCCTACTTACTTTTTATTATGTCTGAAATGCTTTATCTTGAGCTTAATTAGATTGGACTATTTCCTTATAAAAACTCAACTCTTTAGTGTTAGCAAATACCAGGATTCCCCATTTTAACCCTTAAACTTATCTCACTTTCAATCACATTTTACTAACCGCCATTTCCTCCAAAATTTACAGCTCAAAACCATGCCCTTAAAGGAAGAGAGTCATTATTGTCCTCTCGATCTCTTCTCTGGATGTCACTCTAGAATGATAAATGCCATTAAAAACTTACTCCAAACGCCGCAAAACAATTTCCGAATTTTCCGTGATTCCGAGCTAATGTATAGTGATGGCAATCAGACTGATCTTGACTCTTTACTGGCTGGATTCATTGCTGACGGTGATTTGGATCAAAGATCTGAAAAAGTACTGTCTTCTCTATTAATCAAGGCTTTAACATTGCCCTTCGAAAACTCTTCGCAAACTTTGGTCGACGATCTTAACATTCTCGATGACAAACTTCATCTTTGTTCCTATCACAAAACAGCTAATTGTGATTTCCCTTGTCAAGGTAATTATAAAGCTCTAATATGTAACTTTAGAGAATGCACGAAAAAATTTGCCAGTTCACGAAGTTGCATTTTGTCAGTTCAGACCGATAGTATTTTAGTATCCTTAGTACGTTCTAGTAATCTACAACTTCTCTCCTTTCCCGCGTCTCCTTAATGTTGACTATTTTATTCCAGTTAATGTGTATTTTTGTGATTTGTAATTTAAATTGTTCTATTCGTTTAGTAGTCACTTGCCCTTTTCTGAAACTTGCTGATTGATGAGCAACATTTCAAGCAAAATCCTTTCTTTATTGTCTTTAATTGCAAACACTATTATAATTCTAGTAATGACGTTATTTTCTGTTTACAGAATGTTGAATCAGTATCACATTATGATTTCAAGTTGCTTGCTCTTTGTATTTACTTGACTAGTTGATATCTCTAACATTTTCATTGTTTTATGCTTTCTGTATATTTAATATTTCTCGTCTCCTGGAAATACTTTATTGAAAATCTTTCTCATTATTCTCGCCGTCATCATTTTTGTCTTTGGAAACTTCTATTTCCTCATTTCATCCTATTTTATGATTTAGCCAGAATCCAATGAGTTTTACCAGTACTCCCCCTCACCAAATGCTGAATAATTATCTGAAGCTTTAATGCAAAGAGTCAAATAAATAAATCGTGTCTATTCTCGCAAAATTATCTTGATCTCAATAAAAGCAGCTCTGATTATATTAATTAACTATATTTATTCATTTTTACAGGAGACCACGAGCTACGACGAAAATGTGTTTTAGAGACTGTATTAAAGCTACAGAAGCTGGATACTATTGGTTCATTCAAAGCTTTAACCATGCTCAACCATTTAAAACAAACGTAAGTTTCCATGAAGCAGTTGACATCACAGAATCTACTTCATCAAAACAAACTTGAAAGTGACGAAAACACGTTTGATTGCAGTTCAGTTTCCCTAACTACTTTTAATTTTTGCTTTCTTCAGACAGTCTTACTTATTGACTCAACATTGGTCTTGTTTACTTAATCATTGTTAGTTCTTACTTCTTACTGTCATCATCTACATCATCAACATCATCATGACTTTCCCTTGACTTAAATTTATTGAAAAAAACAGTTTACTCAGCTCTACCGACAGCATGATTTTAATTGCTGCCAAATTTATGTTTTTTGAATTTCTAAAAGATAAAAATCTTGAGATTTAATGCAGAGCCTGGGTGGTAATACTTGAAGCTAAATTCAGTTTCCCAATTTGTTCTATTTCACTATCTTGGAACAATCTATCTGATTGAATCAAGTCAAATATTGGCTAACCCTGTCAATACATGATATTAGGCACGTAAGTTTTTCTAAGGGCTTTTGATAGGAAAATAATTAAAGCTTACGAAAAATCATAATCTTATTTTCAGTGTTATTGCCATTTTTTCATTTTTGACATTTGTCCAAAATTAATTTAGATCAAATTCCGGACTGTGTTGCAAGTAATCATAGCTACTCATTTCTGTTCCAAGTGTTGTACAACAATTGTATTTGGCTCAGAGTGATTCTGAAACTATCGTTCTTGGTATCTAATTTTATTTTTCATCTCTTTGAATCACAGGGCACCTGAGTTGGCCATTTTATTGGATAACTATTCGGATTCTCTTGGAGAAGTTGATCATTTTTTTCCATCTTCATTGGGATCTCCTGAGCGAAGTAATAATGAAACCGAATCAAATTATTTTTTCCGTAAAATTTGGGAATATTTGATCTCCATGATGGCTAAAGACTGTTCCATCATGATTTCCATGCAAAGAATTAAGCCAAACCAAAGGTTATCCCCATTATTTACACCATTATCATCATCAGAAATGCCATCTTCATTATTTCCATCCACATCTTCAGTATCTACGCCATCATCGTCATCTCTGCCTTCAAAATCTTCACCAATCACATTAGATGCTCGGGAAAATGAAGAAAAATCACAACTCATTAAATCTTCACAAAAGTGTCATATTATCATGGATGAAATGAGTCAAACGTATTATGCTGTTAGTATTGCAATAATAGATTTGGATCTGAAACGAACTTCAAATATCACAGAAATCTATAAGAAAGATCTTAAACTGATTGATGCTTTTAAAGATCACTTACGAGAAAGATGAAAATCGATCTACAAGACTGGTTTTAAATGGTTCAAGTGATTAAAAAAAAGCATTTCATCTAATCAATCTAAGAATCTGATGAACCTGTTGATTAAATCAAAACGGGTACATTTTTCAAGTTCCTGTGAAGCTCCTCTATTTACATCAGTTTGTATCTCCTGTTGGGTCGATCAAGTATAAACTGTTGAAATTTCATTTCACTTTCATCAAAATGAAAACGAAATTTCAACAAAAATTTTTTATACTTTTTCGTCTTTCTCTTGGTTATTGAATCCTTGAATTTGATAACAAAAGTTCATCTTCTCATTTTTGTATACACTTCAAATCATTCAATTGATATGTTTGTTAATTGAAAAACTCATGATATTCATGGAAAATTAAAATACACTTGAGTGTATTTATATCATTACCCGATTGCCATTGTGCACTCTAATTGATGCGCTCTTAATATTTATATATGTATTGTATGTTAATCTTTATCTGACTAGTTGCAGAGAAATGTTCGTAAAATTTATAAATTTTCAGAATTGAAATCTGAAATAGAAAATGAAATGTCTTACTGTGAGTAGACGATTGTATTTAGTGTTGTGAAGACTCGATAATTGTCTAAAAACTGTTTTAAATACAACTGTTTCTTAAGCATTATTTAGAAATAAATTGTTCTATCCTTTTCTTCATCACTTTTAAATGATCACCTCAAATCAAAACTAAACCAAATGATGTCCATTGTTATCATAATTGTTTCTTTTTTCATCTAAAAATTGTATCAGTCAATCTGCGTTCAGATAATCTTTTTAATGAACATCTATTCTTTTCTATCAAAAGTTTTCAAAACAAATCAATCAAACATCATAATTTATATTGAAACCATTTTCCTAAAAATATCATGATTAACCCAACGATTTCATCAACAAAATATTGTTATACAAAACCAAGAATATAAAAAGATAATTATATCCAAACTTGACTTTCTTGTGGTCTATTCCTTTAATTTTTTAAGAGAACCGTTTATCAAAAACTAAATCACAAACCTTCTTATCTCATTGATAACTTGGTAACTATCAATTTTCAATAAGCTTAATAAATATGATAAAAATAAGTCTATTGAAAATATCATTGTTTCACTCCACAGAGTTATTTTTAGTCTTCAATGGCCATCATCTTGTGCGACCAAGCTGCAAACTAGACGGAAAGATTTCTTTTGGAGATTCTTTGATATTTTTTCTCTGTTTCAGTGAATTTAGCATTTATTTTCAGTCAGTGTATTTTATTCAATATTTGGGTAATTGAAATTTTTAACATCCATGGTCTCTTTCATAATATTCAGAGGTAAGTAACAAGCATTAAAATGCATCGATTGTAATCACCTGTTTTCCCACTTTTGCTTTTTTCAATCTAAAAACTTTGAACGGTTTAAATCTCGTTGTTTGCTTAATATTGTTGATTCAAAAATCAATGTTTCTGAATTTAATAATTGATTTCAATCAGAGGAAAGACACCTTAACAATCAGCTGAACCTTGTGAACCAACCATAAATAACTTAACCCTTGAATAAACATTAATAAACCAGCTTCATTTTTCGTCTGATACTTGACTTGTGAGGCTGTTAAACTGTCAATGAATGTTGCTTAATTTTAGCTGAATTTATCTTGTATGATCGCCTGGATTTAATCTCTTTTATAGTTGGATCAGAAAGGAATCGCAAATTAATCTGAAAATGGTTGTGTGTTCCAGATGCTTATCAAAATAAATTAATTTTACTTTTTTTGCTTCAATAATTGTTCTTGTGGACAGAGCCCTTACCAATGGTGCCGAGGGTCATAACTATTCTGGTTTTCATAATCATCTTGATGGGAATATCTTCAATTTCAAATAAAATCCATCCAGAACGATTAAAAAAATCAAGAAACTCAATTCACCATCAATATGATCGTTTTAAAAAGAGCAAGCCCGATCTTTTCCCTGTTATATTAGGTATGTTTAAACAACAACACTCGGTGTCATTGCCATCGCTAATTTAATTTCAAAATTGATTCCAAATTCATTTCTATCGATTTTTTCATGCCACTAACATCTATTCATTTAAACATTTGTAATTGTTTACAAATACGTGTTTAGTGCTCTGATTTGTTACATACTAATTATCATTCATAGAATCCAATTTTATAGCCTAATTAATTGAAGATATGTTTTCTTTATTTAGTACCTGGTGATGGTGGAAGTCAAATCGAAGCGAAATTGAACAAGCCCAATGTTGTCCATCATTTTTGTGCATCTCGAACTAAAAATTACTACACTCTATGGATGAGTTTTTCTGAAATTTTACCTTATGCTATTGATTGTTTCACTGACAATATGAGATTGGTTTACGACAATGTAACCAGAACCACAGCCAATGCACCAGGAGTGGAAACAAGAATTCCTGGTTTTGGAGAGACTCGATCAATTGAATTTATTGATAACCATGAAATGCCCATCACTGGATATTTCAATGTTATGGTTAATTATTTGGTTAATTTGGGCTATAAAAGAGTTATCAACTTGCGAGGAGCTCCTTATGACTTCAGGAAATCTCCAAGTATGATTTTGTTTATTCTCTTCAAGTTTGTCAAAGCATTTCATTTTTGTTTACAAAGCAGATAATTTGCAAGTAGAATCAAAAGATAAAATGAATTGTTCCTTGTTTTAACAACCTCTTTCAATTTTAATCTAGGGGAATTGACTGATTATCTGGTAAACCTAAAGGCATTGATCGAAGAAACAACTCGAGCAAACAATGATTTACCGTGTATCATCATTTGTCACTCAATGGGCTGTCCTTTGACACTCTATTTCCTTCTCAGACAAACGGATCAATGGAAGTCAACTTATGTACGGAAATTAATAACAATAGCAAGTCCTTGGGGAGGAGCTGTTAAAGCAATGAAAGCATTTGCCACCGGCGAGAATCTCGGTGTTTTAGTGGTTCCTGAGTTGACTGTACGACGAGATGAACGAACCTTCCCTAGCATGGCATTTCTTTTACCACAAAAAAATTTTTGGCCAACCTCTGAGACTATCATTAAAGTTGGCTCAAATAACTTTTCAACTGCAAATTATGAAGAATTTTTTGAAACCATTGATTTTCCTGTTGGATACCAAATGTGGTTAGATGTTGAACATTTAATAGATGATCTACCGCCGCCTGGAGTACCAGTGGACTGTTTTTATAGCACTGGTATTAAAACAATGGAATACTTGGAATATGATCCAGATCTGTTCCCTAATCATTCACCGAAAGTAGTGACTTATGGAGATGGCGATGGAACTGTAAACATTCGTTCCTTAGAAGCATGCAATCGTTGGAAGCAACAGCAAACTCAATCATTCAACTCATTCAATATTTATGGAGTCGATCATTTATCTATCTTAGCTGATCCAACTGTCCTCGCGTTCCTGCGAAAGATTATCACAGATCGAAAATGAATATTCACTCCTTAAATTATTGTCTAGTTGAAAGATCATTACAGTCAATTCAAAATGAAACATTTTTGCATTACAATTGTAAACTAAAACTGGACCTCGACTCAATAAACCTGTGGACTGCTTTAAATTTTAAGCCATTGATCTTGCAATATAAAAGCTGCCTTTTTAATCGTGTTATTGAAATGGCTAAATATTGACTGGTTTGTACCTTTTTCATTCCGTTGGTTTCAACGTGAACTACTCTGAGCGTGAAAGATCTGTGATAGTTTTGATCTTAAAATGAATGTGACTTGATTGTTGGCTAGAGAGAAATGTGCCGATTTATTGATACAATCTTTTGAAAGTGAGGAGAAAAAGAGAGAAAGGAGAGAAGAGAGAAAAGAGGAAGAAGCTTTTAGATGTAGACTGATTTTGGTGTCTGAATAGCCTTAAAGATATTCGTCAATTGGCTGGTTTTGTCAACATATTAATCCATTTTTTCGGTGGTTAGGCTCTTCTCAATGTAATAATAGTAATAACAATACAATAAGAGATGATAAAATTAAGTTAATCACAGAACCATCTTTTCTTTAAAAAAATCTTTCTCATAATGTTGATGGTCTTGATCTCCTTTTGCTTGTTTATATTTTTGGATTCACATTTGATTTTAGCAGATCGATTGAAACTTAGATGTTCTCATATTTTTTTAGATGTGATGTTTGAGTGTCTTTATGTCGTCATTGTTGAAAAGAGGAAACACAATGTGTATTATCCAGTGAATATTGTTTTTTTTAATAACCAGTAAGCTCGAAGAAAGTGTTATCCAAATCGTCGGAAATTGCTTTGTATCTTTCCTTCTCGTGGATAAGCTCGTCTGAAAGAAAGAAAAATATTGTCACTTCTTGATCTCAACCCAATCAAAACAGAAATCTTACCCTCGAGACGATCGACTTCCTTCTGTAACTTTTGTACAGATCGTTCAGCAAACTCAGCTCGAGCTTCAGCCTGTAATCAGTGAAATTAAAACGGTGAAGAAACAAAAGCAAATAGTTAGGTTTATCCATTAAAACATCAAATGAAAGCTTCCTGAGTCTAGATGAAGGTTAATTTGCCTAACATCCTCCAGACTCTTCTAATATTTAGACTGTGTCCATGACATTACATTGATTTAACCAATTTGACTCAGAAAGCTTGTGAGTTTTATACAATTTTTCAAAGACAAATCCAGAATGGCAATCATTTTGCTGCCCAAACAGCTCAATGATCAAGTTAATATTCCATTTTATCTTACCCTGAACCAGAATTCTCTTAATTTGGTAATAAAAAATTGAAATTAGGTATTGATTAAAACTGAACCAGCTGATACTAAAAGCTAAAGTCAGTAGGATAAGGATATCGCAAGTTTCGTGCTATGCTATGATAATTATGGTCTATTGGTGCAAAAACTGTTTACGGAAAGTGGATTCGGACTGGATTAAGCTAAGTTTACTAATGATTTCAGGATAAATCTAGAGTATGAAAGAGGTAATTCAGCTATTTTTGAAAGAGTTGATCAATTTTCTTGTCTCAGCCTTTTTATTGCTGTAAACTACTGTAGACTGCAAAGTCTAACCTCACGAAGTTTTTGTGTCATTGAACGAATTTGTGATTCATATTCTTCCTCCTTTTGCATGGCCTGAGAATGGATTCAGGGAATAATTTGTGGAGAAAGAAAGAAGAAAAAAATGAAAGGTTAGATTTGACTCACCTCCTTAAGCTTAGCAGTCATCAGACGAATCTGTTGCTCGTAGGCCTCCTCTCTTTGTTGGGCCTGTTCATTTTATGATGTTGCGTTTTGTGTTGATTAACGAATCGGTAAATAATCGTAATAAATTATCAATTTTAACAAAATAAATTTCAATTTGTTCATTTTCTTGGTTCGAAAATAAATATAACCCTGTGATTAACTGATTAATAACAATGAAATAGAGCAATAAGCACACACAGACGAGAACACACACTGAACACAAATTAAAAGCAAAAGCGTAAAACATATTATAGCTTAATGAATAGCTGTTAACCATAAACAACTTGGCCACTTGCACTTGCACGATAACCAATTAAACTTGTGATCTGACTCACGATTGGGTTAACAATTGGTTATAAGATTAAGCTCAAGTTGTAATGATTAACTGAACAAAACTAGACAACAATCGACACACACTCTTAAGCAAAAAATTGCAAGCTTTCAAAACTGGACAATTTGAAAACACTCGGTGAGTTAATTGTTATTAATTAAACCAATAATCAATCAATGGATGGACAAAACGAAACAACACACAGGACAGCAACAAAAAGACCACAATAAAAGACATTAATTGTGTTAATGAGCACACAAAATCATCAAAAAACAAACAATTGGAATGATCATTTTCAGAATTTATCTGAACCGCAGTTTGCTTGATACTTTCTAGCAACGGACATGAAATATCTGGACTGTAGTATTGATCATTCCAATTGTTATGGATTCAGAAAATTGAAATTCTTCCTTCCAATGTGAGGAAAATTTCTATGAGTTTGTTATTTTGATGAAATGAAAACATTGAACGGAGGCTGACGAGCAACAGCCAAAAATGAGTAAACACAAGTTAATGGACATGGTTTAGTACATAAAACACAATTCGGTTATACTTTTGATTAGATCGAGTTTTAATTTTAACATTATCAAAAGTACAACCTTCTTATGTTAGTACAAGTCTTTGCTAGTAAAACATTTCATTTGCCATTGAGCTTGATTGTACAAAATGGTACTCTTGAAGATCAAAGCTTAAACGTCTAAGGCTGTATAACTGTTGACTAGTATTGAATGGATATGGAAATGTTTCACTTGACGCTTGAACTTATATTGAGGGGTTAAAAAACACACAGCAAACGGCCATCGATCACTTTCTGGTCAGTTTTTAGTGTCAAAATATTTTTTTCAAAACAAATTTTGATACAAATTAACCCACAGTAAAGTGTTTATCCGATGGTTAAACATTTTTACAGCAAACTGAATCATTTCAATAATAACATAGATGCTGATGCGTTTTTTAGTAAATTGTGAAGGGATTAATGGTTAAAGGAAGGGATATTTGCAAAGACATTTATGTTGGACAAAATTGTATAAATTCCTAAAGACGCTTACCTTTTCCTCTGAAACTTCTAATGATTTTAGATTGTTACCAACGACTCTTAGTTCTTCTTCCAACTCTACAATTTTTCTGTTTTTAAAAGAAGCACAAGATTTATTAGAGATAACAAGTTAAAAATCAAACCAATAGCTTAACAAAACAAAGGAGAAAGCAAATTGTCTCCGCCTTGTGTGATAAAGGGTTCATTTTTGTCTCACGGGAAGTTTCTTCTTCTGTCTTTTCATTTTATCTTCAATTTCCAATTTTTTGATCAGTTAACTTAAGTCATCTCACCTAACCTTTCAGTTTCACTTTCAGTTATTTTGTGCAGTGTCTATAGTCTAAATAAATTAGGCCTGATCTCCATATTCAAAGTTACTATCTGCTTTACTTCATGTGTAATTGGTATCGACATTAACGCGTACTGGTATTTATTCCTGCCAACATTATAAAATCCTAATTTAAGATTTGATAGTGAATTTTGATCAAGGTGTTATGAATCAAATATGCCAATGTCTTCTATCATCTGGTAAGTTGACGCAGCTGAGTTAGTTTTGATTCGTCTACAAGTGATTTAAAACATTATGTTGATTTTTCGTTAAATTTTTTTTCAGTTTATTATTTTCAATGAAAGAACATTTGGTTTGAATAAATCTGATAAAATCGACAGAAGAATTGATGAAAAGAAAGGTTGTTAAGCTTATAATTTTCAACCAAATTTTTCCATCACATTTGTTTGGTTTTAATTTTTTCCACTTTCTGTGTCTCTTCCTTTTCAGAATCAACAATTCAGAGGATTTTATTCAACTCAATGATGATAAAACTTATTGCTACTTTAAGGAAAATACAAAGAATACCTCCCATGAGATCATGAAAATGAACGGAACAAAAAGCCTTGAAGAGGATATGCTTCATAAGGATATGGCAAGGTTTGAAAACCATTGATGGCTTAAAGGTATTGAACTTACGATTCTCCTTCTTCGGCTCTCTGTTCAGCTCTTTCAAGATCAGCTTCAACCATTGCTAGTTTACGAGCAACCTGAGGTGGCAGGGGAAAAAAGGATGATGATGGTGATGATTGTTGATATAATAATGGCGAATAAAAAGTCTAATGTGTTCGTTTTAAATAATGCATTCAATTCACAAAATGCTGCTTCTATTTTTCGTAAAATTTTGTGATCGTTCAAGATTTGAGATTTCTCATAAATTTTCAATATTTATGATTTCCATCTTTCTCTTTTTTAGCATCAAGTATATGCTTTCATATGTTTTTCATGATTTGTGTTTGTTTTAGTGATCATATAGTGAATTTCGAATTCGATCTTCAATGATAGCACCAGTTTTTGTTTTGATATTCGTTCGAATCGAAAGAAGCCTTGACATGAGTCAATTCTTCTCAATCATGCCTGATGCTTGAATTGTATCTAAAAAGTGGTTTTGTTCCATTTTATTTTACCACTCTTTCGTATGGACTAGAGAGTTTCCAGTGGACTGAGAGTAAACTCACGCTTTACCTCATCATATTTTCTATCAGCATCTTCTGCCATCATTCGAGCCTCCTTGAGTTGACTTTCGAGGGAATCCATTCGCTCTTCATCGGTTACACTTCTGTGCTCCAACATTTTTCGCATCCTAAAAAATGATAAAGAAATCAGTAATTTGTCCAAACTGCAAGCTATTTAAATTGTTAATTCGGATGGGAATAAGCGTACCGTCAAGAATCATTGAAAGTTTATTTATGTTAATGTACTTTTCCCTTATATAAACTAATGAAAGATTAGTTTTCATGAGAGATGTCTACTTATAAGGATGATGCTGATATTTCAAACATCAGATTGATGTCAAGTTATGTTTTGAAAAGTGAGTTAATTTTATCAATCATCTGTCCTTCCTTTCCATCTTTTACTCAACTATTATAATTTTTAGACTTTCAGATTGATGTCATGAACGTGTATTTTCAGAGCGTTCAAATCGTTTCTCTTTTATCTGCCTCTTGTCTATTGGGTTGAAGCCTGGTTAAGCGATTGTTTCAGGTTAGTTTTTTAAATTGAGAGACATCTTTGTGTTGGTAAATTATTTTGACATAAACCAGAATTGGGTTTGCTGTTACGAGATAAATTTTCAAAGTCTGAATGGAAAGAGTTTCAACTGCTAACAATTTTAAATGCAGAGATAATTTTGTTAATGATACTGATAAATGTACCAATGTCCAGGTCAAAAAGGAAAAAAGTCAATGATAAGTACAAAAATGTTTGCAATACATTAATAGAGTGAAAATACTTGATTTGATTGTTTGTTTTGAATTGAAAAGCTATCCTACGCATTGGCAGACCGTTTAGAGATAACTGATTATAAAAAGTATTCAGACTGGCAGAGTTAATGATCGATTACGGTAACATCAAAGTTCTCGATTAACAATTAATACTTTTCGTTTCCAAATTCAGTCCTCAGTCTTACCTCTCGCTTTCATCAGCAGCTTGAGAAGCTTCTTCAAGCTTTTGAGTTGCGATTTTCAAACGTTCCTCTGATCTTTCCAAATCTTCTTCAATCAATTGTATCCTTCGGTTAAGAGCAGCAACCTCACCTTCAGCCTGTTGAAAAAAGAAAGATATTAAATAATCATTGAGATATGAAGAATCCATGAAATAAGATATGTTCCAAAGTCTGATAAGTATAAAATTGTTTGACGGATAATCATTATCATTATGAATCTATTGGCGTTACTTTCAAATGTTTTTTGTTTCCAACTACGCATTTCAGGAAACATACCCTTTTAAGCTGAACATTTTGAATGTTGTGAAGCTCATTCGAAATGATTGAAAACTTCATCATGGCACTGGAATTGAACATTGATAATCCAAATGCTAATCCAGGATAACCTGAACTTCGATTTGCTCGTCTACGTTCTCTTTCATTTATAACCTCTGTTTGAACAGAGGAACAACGAAGAGCAGACAATTGAACAGTTTCCGAATCATCATCAGACTCTAGATTGGATGATCCTTCTGAACCATCAGGTGATCGATCCAATCTTCTTTCAGGCCAATCTCCATTCGACCGATGGACATAATTCCCGTTAACATTTGAATTACGAATACGATTGTTGTTGACCATTTTGGATTTATAATAAAACTAATTTTCTAAAATTGTAAGTTGGCTTTGGCGTTGTTTATGGTTGAAAGAATGTTGATTGACCATTAACTCTCAATCTCTCTTCTCTCTTTATCACTTTAGATTTGTATCAATCGGCACATTAAAAAAAGAACGAGATGACGTTCACATTGTAAATAGATGTTCAATTCATGATTTGGTTATGGTAAAGGGAAACAAAATCAAAAGACTAATGACGGTTGGATGGAGAAATGATAATAAAAGAGAAACAAATTATGTTTTGGTTTCAGCCGATTGCTGAAGGACGTTTTAAGGATTGCTGAATGAAAAAGATGGCTAAAGATGATTAGATGAGTGTTGCTGTTGGTGATGGGCAAACGAGGGATGTTACCATGATGGGGAAAGATAGACAGGATAGAAAGAAGATGAAGAGAGTGAATGGGAGAAAAGGAAATTAAATGAAAAGAAACAAGAGAGAGAAGAAAACTTTTTCTTTCGAATAGTGGGGGTGGAAGTTGTAAACAAGAAGTGTGACTTGGACGGAATAATGAGTCAAATTTGTGCAGTTATTCAGGTTGTAAGTTTAATTGAAACCGATGAGAAGCAATACTCGTTTTCAAGAAAGATGGTGAAAAGTAAAAACGCAAAAGGATGAGTTAATTATAGCGGTTGCTAACATAATATCTATGGGGTGGAGTAAATGGATAAATAGATGGGAAAATAAGTGTGATTACGATGAATTGAAATCTAAACAAAGTTAAGATATCGGCTGGTTTTCATCTGGTAATCTTTTTTTCCATGCAAATAGAAACTTAAATGTTCTAGTCAAGTTGGACACTAGATAAAGATTACTGCAATTAATACCAGGAAAATCTCAAGGAAGGATTCAAGACAGACAGAAGATATGAAATGAATGGCGACAGTTTGGGAAAAGGGAACGAGCTGAATGCAGGACAAAGGAGGGACAAGTGTTGAATAATTGTTGGAATAATGATTTGGAAAAGGCTAAGGATGATAACAAAAGTGAAAGCGTAGCAGCAATAAGATGATGGCAAAAGTAAAGTCAGTTAAAGAAACTAAAAGTGAGAAAAGGGCTTGGTTGAAGCTTCGAGTTTGTGTGGGCTCGCAAGAAACTTTAAGGAAGTTCGAGTTCCATCATCACTGCCATCAGCAACATTATCTTCATCTTTCTCCCCACTTGAAAATCATTTATTTCAAGAAAAAAATGGCAAGATGGAAAGGAAAGCGTCAAGATGAAAGAGGTTAGTAAAATAGGGATGTTACTGTAACGAGATTTGGAGTTGAAGATAAAGGTGGAAAACGGATTCTGTTCTGGAAGGAGGGAAGATGCTTGAAACTGGAATAAGATTAGACTGGTGATGATTATAATTATAAAGCTAGTAGAGAAGGCTGCACATTTTCATGGGGAAGCCAAAAATATCTTAAATTTTCTGGTATATTTAGGCAAAGGGGGATAACCTTCTACGGGTGAGAGTAGAAATTATTTAGGACAGATTCTTGCGAGTTGCATTCTTTTAGGTTCTCTCAATAAAAAAGTGTCTTTCCTCTTTTGTTCAACCTTTTTTACTATTCTAATCAATTTCAAAGTTTACTAGATCTTGTTTAACCTACTCTTTACACTTCGATTGAACGATTTGATCAACCATGGACAGGTTTCATTTCCAACTTTAAATATGATTGTTTCTCAACAATCAGCAATAAATGAAATGCCGTCTGAATTGGTTAACTAATACATTTTTTGAATATCTTCTGATGTTTCCTATTTCCAATCAACATCGACTTGCACATTGTTGAAAAACAATCCTAATTTTCTGGCATCTTTTTTGTTAACATGAACACATCAAGTGGTGATGAGCATCTTTTTCATCTCCTCTGTCTAGTATTTATCATCTACATTTCTTGCCATCTTCCTCTCTCTCTCTCTCTGTTTATGTTAACCAAATACGGATACAAGAGTATCTAGAATCATGGATACGTCACACGAATAATTAACTGTTTTGCATCTTTCTGTCTACATATCTGTCTTTCTTGCCATCTTCAACTTCAATTTCATCTTATGCTTATTCTCATCTTCAAAATCATCTCTCTCTTTCTCTATCTTCCTTATTCTTAATGTTACTTCCAATGGTACAATTTAGTTTTCCTCTTTCACCAAATATTATTGAAGAAAAGCATCTTAAAAATAGCTCATAATTTTGACTTATCTAAGCAGCCTTGATGAAGTAGCGAAGTTTTTTTTACCAAACTAAATTCATGATCATTTAAGAAAATCTGGAAATATGCAAATTTTTCCTGTGATTTAATTATTTTTCTCATAATTTAATCTTCCATTGAAGTCAATTTGGATCGTGCCTAATATAATTTCAACCTGATTATCACTGAACACGAAAATGAACGGAACCAAACTATTTCTATTTCATTATCATTGAAACATCTTCAGGTCAACTATTCAAATTATGCACAATTGTGAACATCAGTATCAATGCTGTATCTTGGAGTGAAGCCAAGCTTTGGGTCGGTGGTCGAGGCGGTGGTAAACCAAAGTATTTTCATCGGAAAAACAAGTAAATTCATGATATAAGCATTACTCGCTCAGCTAGGAAATTTATCTAATCAAGTTTTCCAGATTCTCAAAATTGATTCCAGAAAATCTCTGCTAGAAATAAATGTTCATTTTCTTATTAGTTTCAGATAGATAATGATTTCAGCTCTTGTGTAAAGATATTTATTTTTAACTCAAATCAAACGAAAATTGAATAGTTCTAAGCTCTTCATTATACTTGAACAAGCTAATCAACTTAGTTAATTAAATCCTCGTAGATTGTGAAGTTAATATTCGTTTAAATGATCAAGTATGAGAACAGTAAAAAAGTTATTTCAACAAACGATGCAAACACTTGGAACAATTAACTGATATTTTTTGTCTTTAATAGCGATGAGATATGAAGTTAACGACACTAGATTATTAAATCTATTGGCTTGCTGTGAATGCAATTATTATCCATAAGTCCAAAATAATTAATGTGTAATATTTAATTTGGTTGTTGAGCATTCAAATCTTTGCGTTTCAGCGTGAAATTGCAATTGTCGCCTAATAATCTATTTTAATTTAGCTTATAAAATCATTGATGACATAAACTGTGTAAATGAATATTGTAAAATGAAAATCATATCAATACTTGACTCAATTTCAATAGATATTAAATTGAATCAAACCAATGAATTAAATATACTTTTACAAAAATGAATCATTATGATTCAAAGCTATTTTAAAATTGAAAAATTTGGCTTTCCAATGATTAAACCAACTGCTTATTTTGGTTAACTACCAATGAAGTAAGCAGTTTAATCATCGGGCCTTTACAAATTTGATGATTAAATAATTAATTTGCTTTTTTACCCGAATTAGATTCAACAATTGGATCTGAATCAGATAATCACAACGTTAATGACATTGTTAGATAAAATCTAAATCATAATAACTTAGAATAACGGTTTAATTTAAATTTCACGCAAAAATAAAATTATCCATTTCTTTAGTTGATTAAAGCCAGAAATAGATTCATTGAATGTATGGATTATCCATTTCAAGATTTAAAATTTGATTCAAAATAATCTTGATTTTTGTAGACTTGATAGGAACATAGCTTTGAATCTAAAAAACTAAATTAATTTAGTTTACAATGAAAGTTGACTTACGTTTTGTAAAGCTTTGTCCTTTTCCTCAAGCTTGGCATTGGCCTGGGTAAGTTGCTCTTGGACTACGTCGAGTTCATTCTCAACCTGTTGAATTTTCTTTTGCAGAGATCGAACTTCTTCTTCAGCCTAATGGACCAAGACGAACGATGGACAGAAAAACAAGTGAAGAAGAAAAAAAGGGTCAATTAATCAGGCAATTATCCATCGGGTAATCATAAATTGTAAGTTTGTTTTTAATAGAAAGTGAAAAGTTTATTGAGCAAACCTACTTTCTCTGCTTTAGTGTTGGCTTCACGAGCAGATGCCTCAGCTGCTTCAGCGCGTTCAACGGCCTGCTCTTTCTCGGCCCTCATGGCCTGCATCTTTTTCTTGATGGCTTCCATTGTTGTACTTTAATTATCCGTTCGTTGGAGAATCACACAAAATTTAATTTAACAATTAAACCGATCACCAAAAAGAAACAAACAAAGAATCACTGATGGAAAGAGTTACACTGTTGTATCAAAGTTGATTGGATACAAAACAACAATCAAAGAATTGGTTTCGAGATAAACAGACACCAAGGAAGTAAATAGAAAGAGATGAGAAACAAGAAGAAATCGAGAAATCGAAAAACAAAAAACGATCTCAAAGATAGAGAAGGAAAAGAGAGAAAAGAAAGAGGCTGAAAACGTTAATGGATGACAACGAAGTAACCACAACACTGTAAATGTGTGTTATACTCTTTGAGTGTCGCAGGCAAGACTATGGTGCAAAAACCAAATGGGGGAAAAGTCTATCTACTCTATAGAATTGGAACGAACACCATTCGGTAGGACACCTAGGAATAGGAGAGGAACCATGAAACATGGGGTTGGATGGCATAGATAGACAGATAAATAGAAAGTGGGAAAAGAGGATGAGAAGGAGGAAGAAATTTCTACTCGAAAAGGGAGAGACAATTAGAAAGGGAAAGGGAAAAGAGACAGAGAAAGGGCGAGAGAGGAACAAAGTTAGTGTTTCAGTTTTTCAAAGTACAACTTTGCTTTGAGCTGGGAAGCAAAAAATAAATTGTTTGCTTGGAATTGCATCAAATAGGAGGAGATAGTTTCCTGAAAATGTTTCCACAGGCTTAGTGATTTGCGAACTTTACTCTCTCTTTTTTTTCTCTTTCTGCCATGTTTTATTTTCTAGAGTAACCGTTATTCGATCTTATGTCTAAGTTAGGATCTTAAGTCTTTACCAATGCCAAAAAAAATCACTTTTTAAAACTGAACTATAAGGAATAAAAGATAACTAAGTTGATGAGAGATTCTTGCCTTTTCCATTTTTTCAGCTCACTTTTGTTTTCATCTTTTCCTCTTCTCTTCTCTCTTTCTTCATCCTTTTTTATCTTCTCTGTTCGATAGAAATTCGTCGAACAGAAATATATGTATGTCAAAATAGGCAGGCATTTAAGACTAGGCTTCAGTTTCATCTACTTGTTTTTGCTTTCGCGTCTCTACGGTCTTTCCCTTCATATCATTCTTATCCCATGAATTTTTCAAGATTGGGTGATATTTATCTTCAATAAGGCTCATAATTTATTAATAGCTCAGCTGGACTTGAAATTTATTAGTTTCTCGGTATTATTTTGACTGTAATTTCATCTTTTTAAGTTACAAGCTATCCATTTCTCTTATTACAAAGTAGAGTAACAATGGATTTACAAAAGGTAAAAATCTATTTGAAGCGAAAACAGTTATTCATTAACAGTGATCATAATCATTTCATTTTGTTTTCGGAAGCTTGATTAAAAAATTTCTCTTTTATTTCCGTTAAAACATAATTATATACCGAATAAAGTTCTTTCAAAAGTGATTCAATCAATGATGGAGTCAACAATGTAAATAAACATAAAGTGTTACTGCATCCTAAACGAGTTTATTTCCTAAACATAGATCGGCGATTTGATTATATTACAATTGTAAGTTATTACCTCAGCTTAAACACAGATGCAAACGCTCCATAAGGAAATATGCATAAGGAGATATGAACTATACATTCAGTTAAATAAATCGGTTAAGCGAAAATAAAACAAGTAGCTTAACATTTAACTGATTAACCAAAATTTCTTCTTATGTAGTGTTTCATAGTCCTTCATATGATGTATAACTGCATTCACTATTGCATCAGATTCATTGGATCTCATATAATAATCTACAAATTCTCCTTCTGGATTTAGAAGGTAGGTCACAATTGTATGATCCACAATATATTCATTGTTGTCATCAGGTATTCCAGCATGGCTGTAAACTCGGAATAAATCACAAACTTTCTTAACTGCCTCTTTGGTACCAGTTAACCCAATGAACTTGGGTGAAAAATCAGCTAAGTACTTAGCAATTGCAGGAGGATCATCACGAGAGGGATCAACAGTAACAAATAATGGAACGACTTCAGGTATATCATCTCGCTTTGAAAGTTTATCCACCACTTCGGAAATCTTATCCAATTCATCGGGACAAATGTCAGGACAGTGAGTGAATCCGAAATACATTAATGACCATCGACCCATAATTTCATTGCTTCCAAAAGGCTTGCCATGGTGGTCAATCAAATCAAATGCACCTCCAATTGTTTTCTTGACCATTTCACTTCTCTCCTTTTTCTTTTTCAATTCCTTTTCATTTCTTAAATACAAATAAGTTAACCCATAACTGGCCAAGATACCAGTGGAAATGGCAACACTTTTCTTTGTCATCCCTTTCGTTATATTGCGAAGATTAACAAACGTACGCACATTAACATTGGATGAATTTGAGAATCTATACGATTTAAATAATCTAAGAAATGAGCGAGGTATATTATTCATCGCTAAAATTGATCCAATTTGAAATAAAATTAAAAAATAAACAGTTAACAAAAAAGATTGTTTACAAAAAAATCACATGTGATGGAGGAATAGGCAAATGATCTATTCATCGAGAAACAACTCGCAAAATAGTCATCGTAAATTTAATTTAAACTACAGTTAATTCATTTTATCTGAAAATTGAAGCTGAAACGAACATTTGTCGAATGAATAATTTTACTCAGTTGTTCATTTGACAAATATCGTCATTTTATAACGGACTCATGTTTCAACTTGTGAGTATTTTCACTTTTTGAACCGTTACCAATCGTTTCTCCTACAGCTGATTAAAAAAGCTTTACCAGTAACGTTTTGTCAATTTAACTTTTCAATTTAGTCAATCAATTAACTAAAAAATAGTGAAATCCTCTTGTAATTATTGTTTAAATACTAATCTTTCATCAATTGTTACTGAGGTAAGATTCTTTACTCGGGATCTTTTCAAGGATACAAGATCGATTCCCAGTTTTAAAAAGATCTCTTTTCAAACTTGTTTTTTGTTATTTTTTCACTACTTTCTCCATTCTTTCACATTCTTTCACTTGTTGCTGCTGCTAACTTAGTGCCTTACATTAATACATTCATCTGTAGTTTCTTTCTTCTCGTTTTTTCGCTTATTTTGTTTATTGACTTTTTTGATGAAATTCATTGTTTGATTACATTTTGTTGAGACTTTATTACCATTGTTATTAATTTTTTCATTAACAGGTCTATTTGTCAACAATTATGGATGAACCATTTAATGAAACAACTAATGACTCTACTAATTTATCATCTGAAAACAATCAACTTGATGTTAAATCATCAATAACGGATGGGCCTTACAAGAATGAGACTCTTGAAAAGGTTTGTTTGCTCATTATGTGACTCTTCCCTTTACCATTGCCTTATGCCTTCTTTGTGCTTCTCTCTGGCTATTTCAATTGTTGGCTAGTGTTTTTCCTGCTCACAAAATTATGCTCATTAATATTAACCTCATGCTTTTGCTGAATTGTATTCATGCACTCGAGGATTGTACTTGTCCTTGTCGTGTTACTCAGTAAATATTATTAATTTGTCTGTTATTTAGAGATTATGTCGATGGTTAAAACTTGCCCCATCTTATAGCTGTTCTTTGTGTAGAAATCTATTGACCTTAAATTTTTGGTTCATATTTTTTTCTCACTCAATAGTTTATTACTCTTTGTCGATCTCGCCTGACTGACACGCCAAATCGTCGTAAAAAAAGGTATTCTAGTTTGCGTCGAGCCGTTTCTCGTTACAATTCATCCCGTCATTGGAATCAAGCTACTTTTGATAATCTGATTAAAAAGTTCAGTTGCTTGATGGAACTCGATATTGAACATGAACAAGCAAATGAAATTTACAGTGAGTTATTGAAAGAATTGGCTTCACACACAGGACGCAGTTGTTCTGGAAGATGTCGTAAGAAGAAAAAGAGCAAAACTGAGACCACATTGGCGAAACTTGAAAAATCACTAGCCATTGCTCAGCGTCGGATTAACAAATTGAGAGATGAACAATCAGCGAGTACTTGGGAGGCTCGAGGGCAACCTAATTACAAGCTCAATGGAATCGAAAAGAAAGCCGCACGGTTAACCAGAAAGATAGATGATCTTAATAAATTAGCCCTCAGATCGTCATCTGCTAACAGAAGGTCAATTAAGATTGAAAATGACGATGGATCAAATGGTGGCAACGTCAATAGTGATGGTGATGTGGATGAATTGAACTGCCTTCTCAAATCAGTTCGCTTAAAGGAGTGTGTCAAAATTAAACCCAAAACAGGTAGTTTTGGAAGTGCCAAATTTTCTAGTGTGAAAAATAGTTATCCGAAATGTGAAATGGTCGAGATTAAAAAGTATGATCAAATAAACCAATGCTATGTATCGTCGATTGATCAGACCGGTATAGATCCTGATCAACACAAATTCATCGTCCATAGAATAGTCAATCCAGCTTCACCTAGCAAAAAATGCTCTGCCTCAGATCTCAAACACCCATCTAAAATGCCTTTCTCAAAGACTCCAAAAAATCGGCTTCGATCTGAATACGACAAGCGGATAATACATAAGGAAATAGTCACTCAAAGAAGGGAATCTGCCGTTGATTTAATCCTTGATCGATTCAGGCATTGCAACCTGAATTCAGCTCAAGATTAAGTGTTTCCTACAAGCAAAATATAAATTAAAATTGGCCTTTTTTCGACAATCAAAGAAATAACGAACAAATCTTTCAATAAACAAATGCCTTAAATTGATAATTTTCGTAAATATTTCGACCATCCGTTTTAACGATTCCTATTTTTGGATCATCTATCTATTCATGTGTTCAATTTTTTCATGTGCTGCTGCTGATCTGACCAGTGTATTTCCTATTTCTGTCAAAACCAACTAATAAACATCAAAAACTCCATAATGTGAAAATTTTCTCTTCACTTTACTTTCACTCTCAACTGAAAATGTACCTTGAAATAAGTTGATTACAGTTATTTTTGTATGTTTATCTTAACAATTACATTCCTATGTCCTTATTTAAATATACTATTCAATAAACTCTTGTTTGTAGAATCATTATTTAGTACTTTGATTTATCAAAAAAGTGTATCTGGTGATTACTTTATAAAATTCCCTTCTCATAACCAAACAACTGTATTCTTTTGAAAAGACCGGTTAAAATTATATTGTATTAGATGGTTTATTCAATGGCTTCATCTATTAGATGTAGTCGTATAGTGACAAATTGTTATCAACAATACAAATTGTTGTTACGAAGCATCGCGAAATTTGAATCTTTTTAATTTAAACGGGAAGAGTTTTCGCATGAATTTTTAGAAAATGAACAATTCAAAAGTTTTGCCGGTCTTCCATTAATCACTTCAAGTTATCATCATTGACAAAATCAATAGATTATAAAACAGATTTTAGAAACAAACACTTACATGTAAATTCAAAATAAAATTCTTGCTAAGTTGTACGATTAGAGTTTGATGACCAGGTCACAATTTTCGTCAAAGTACTAACAAAGTAAAATTTACCAAAGTGCATACTGTTCAGCGTTCAGATGCTAACATAACACGGCATAAAAATTACAAATTCACAGAAAATACCTATTTACGAGAAAATTATTATTACGATTAAATTTTTTAAAACTCTTAATTTCCTTTTGATTCGCTAAAAATTTGAATTATTTTTTAAAATATCTGAATTCAGATTGCCGAGTTTTCAGAGATTTGAAAAGACCGGATAAAAAAGGCAAACTACAACACATCACAATCACTTTTCTTTAAACGCATGTGTAAAAAAACCTGGCTTTTAGTTTTCATTAGACATATAGAACCAATTTTTGTTCTTATCATCCAAAGAAGGTCATCTTCACTTGACTTTGTATCAAGACTAGTTTTATCTTAATTTATCCTTCTGTGATTTATTAATTAATTCAATCAATTAAATTTAAAAATGAGTTTATTAAGACGTGGTGTGGTTCTTGCCAACCGTATCACCCCTATGATTCAAAGTCATAGAGGTTTGGAGCTGAGCGAGCCCATGGTTGGATCACTAGCTGATAAAAGTAAGCAACATTTTCATTTTAACATTGGATTGATGGATTAATCTTATTTAAACGTTTCTTTGATTGTTAATTTAAATTATGCATAGGCCAGCAAAAAAGGTATGCTTCTCAATCATCCGGTTCCGTTAAAAACGGCAAAATAGTTGCTGTTATCGGTGCTGTTGTAGATGTACAGTTTGATGATGGATTACCACCTATCCTCAATGCTTTGGAGGTTGAGAATCGTAAACCCAGGCTGGTTCTTGAAGTTGCTCAGCACTTGGGTGAAGGTGCAGTGAGAACCATTGCCATGGATGGTACAGAAGGTTTAGTTAGAGGTCAATCAGTTTTGGATACTGGTGCACCCATTACCATCCCTGTAGGGCCTGAGACCTTGGGCAGAATTATGAATGTCATTGGAGAACCCATCGATGAAAGGTAACTTAAATGACCTTTTTAAGCATTTCTAATCTTCAACATATTCGACCTCTTAGTCCAATTGTCTAATACCACCTCGTCTATTTAACATCTTACAGGGGCCCAATCAATACTGATAAATTTTTAGGTATTCATCAAGATGCTCCTGCATATACTGAAATGAGTGTCGAGCAAGAAATTCTGGTAACCGGTATTAAAGTCGTCGATCTTTTGGCTCCTTACTCTAAAGGAGGTAAAATTGGTCTTTTCGGCGGTGCTGGTGTCGGTAAAACTGTATTGATTATGGAACTTATCAACAACGTTGCTAAGGCCCATGGTGGTTACTCTGTATTTGCTGGTGTCGGAGAAAGAACTCGAGAAGGTAACGATTTGTACCACGAAATGATTGAAGGTGGTGTCATCAGTCTTAAAGACAAATCATCAAAGGTAAATTAAAGTCATTTTCTGAAAATGCTTTTTGCAATGTATCTAAGTCCATTTTTACTAATATTTGAATTCTTAGGTCGCCCTTGTATACGGTCAAATGAACGAACCTCCCGGAGCTCGTGCTCGAGTCGCTTTGACTGGTCTTACAGTTGCTGAATATTTCCGAGATCAAGAAGGTCAAGATGTGCTTCTTTTCATTGATAACATTTTCAGATTCACTCAAGCCGGTTCAGAAGTATCTGCTTTGTTAGGTCGTATTCCATCAGCTGTCGGTTATCAACCAACTCTCGCTACTGACATGGGTTCTATGCAGGAACGAATTACAACCACTAAAAAGGGATCAATTACTTCAGTACAAGCTATCTATGTACCAGCTGATGACTTGACTGATCCTGCTCCTGCCACCACTTTCGCTCACTTGGACGCCACCACTGTACTTTCTCGAGGTATTGCTGAATTGGGTATCTACCCTGCTGTCGATCCTCTCGATTCAACCTCACGTATCATGGACCCAAATATCGTCGGAGATGAACATTATGGAGTTGCTCGAGGTGTCCAAAAGATCCTTCAGGTATGAATCAGTTTTATCACTTTTTTGTTCATTTTTAAATTTATCTAACCGTTTATTTTGCATATTTTACAGGATTACAAATCTCTTCAAGATATTATTGCCATTTTAGGTATGGACGAATTGAGCGAAGAAGATAAATTGACTGTGTCAAGAGCTCGTAAAATCCAGCGATTCCTCTCACAACCTTTCCAGGTCGCTGAAGTTTTCACCGGTCAAGCCGGAAAATTTGTACCATTAGCAGAGACAATTAAGGGCTTCAAGGCTATTCTTGCTGGAGAATATGATCATCTTCCTGAAGTTGCATTCTACATGGTTGGCCCAATCGAAGAAGTTGTAGAGAAAGCACAAAAACTTGCTTCTGAGGCTAATTAAGATCATCCACTAGTTAAGTTAAATTCCTGAAAGATTTTAATTGAAAAGAAACTCATTAATAAATCAGATGGTATACATAAGATCTAAATCAACCAAACTGATTGTACTCCTATTGAGATAAAACTAGGGTCTCTTGGAAGTTGTTCATATAAGTCTTTAAAAATAAAACGATTGTTTCTTTTAATTGTCTTTTTCTCTCAAAATCTTCTTACAATACTTGGTGCATCAATATTGAGCTTATTGATCTGTAAACCTATTCATATTAGCTCTTTCTTTTGAAAAAATAACTTTAAAAAGATAGCATGTTATTCTCATATTAAGGTTATCTTTAAGTAATTTTAGTTCATTCTGAAATAGATCGAAAGTCTTGATCATAATTTTAATTTTATGATATGACGTAGTGGTACTATATCTAATTTTCATGAAAAAGAAACCCGAATAATCTTTACAATACACTGAATTCATCAAAATTACTGAGAACAATCTCCATGCTGCAGAATTTCTACAATTGAACTCACATTATTTTACTGAATGCTTTCTGAAAGATTTTAAGTCTGTAAGTGGCTTTGATTGCACTGTTTAGAATCCATACCTACGAGATTTATCAAAAAACGGGTTAAAATTAATTCAATCTGGGTCTAATCAACAAATGTTATTGAGACGACCTTTAAAATGCTACTTTGTTCGTTAAAATTTAATATGAAGACAGTCCCTCAACATGTGTTGTTATAACAACAAGCCTTTAAACTTCAACATGTGATTGAACTTATGGTGATGTTTTGAAGAGTTTTCTTGAATTGAGTTTTGCTAATTTTTCTAATTGAATCCATTTTTAATATTATCTGAATTGCTATTTAAATTTTGTGTTAAACATGAAAGAAATCAGTATCTTAAATGTTATTGTAAATAAATCAAGCAGTATTGTCCGGCATGTTTTTGTTAAACCACTTGCTTCTGATCCCGAAAAGAAAAGTGTAATATTTGTTAATTTACCTTGTTTTTGTGATCCTGAATCATTTAAGAAGTTGATCGTAGAAAAATTTGGAGATGTAACACTAATCACTTATCATTCGTCCATTGAAAAAGTTGGTATCGATGAAAGTTCATTTGACAAAGAAAAATTAAGTCCTTTAAATGGCCATCGAGTTGCTGTTGTTCATTTTAAAAAAAAGGCCAGCTACAAAGAATTGTTTAATTTCATTGAATCAGAAGAAAATTTATATTTATATGGTAAGTTCTATATTCTACAATTAGCTTTGCTTTTTGACCCTTATTGATGTTTTTCTTATTTTTTTCCAGGTGATAGCAAACCAATAACTGGAATAAGAAGATGGGAAAAATGTTATAACGAATCTATTTTAGATGTTCAATCAATGAAAGAAGAGATTGCGACATATATTGCCGCTTATGATGCTAAGGTCCAATTGGAGAAAGAACGGGCTAAGAGCATGGAAGGAGTTCCTGATGAAGAAGGCTGGATCAAAGTTACTCGACACGGCAAAAAATCATTTTTACCAAATAGTGAATCTTTAGACAAGAAAATAACAGACCAAATGCGAAGGAAAAAGGCAAAAGTTGAAGGCTTTCCTTATGTTAATAAAATTAAGCACAATCCCTTTTGATTATTAAGCTTTCATATCTCTCGAATTATTTCGGAAATAATAACTCTTTAATGACTACTTGAATTGATCTTAGTATTACTTTTCGGTCTCTCAACAATTTTGATACAAACTTTCAATCGAATTTACAGAAGAATTTTAATTCTAAGTTAATTTTAATAATGTAGTAAAACGATCAACACAACTTTGGAATTATAGTTCAGACTTTTGCACGACTTTAGAAAACAATAGACAATATCACAAAGATATGCCGGTTACATGTACAATCTTTATAATGGTTTAAATAGTTTGACTTAATCCAGTTCAACATAAATAAAAAATGATTTGTAAGAGTTTTCAGATCGTTCAGAGAGTTTCCATATTGTCTCAACTAAACTAACTGTAATACAAAAGAAAAATTCCTTTTTCATTTTCCACTCTATTAGAGGAATGAATCGTTCCATTTAACAATTAAGAAATACAAATAATTTTTGTTAATAAAAAAGATTATGATTGAAAATTTTTGTTTGGATGCCTTTCTTTAATGTGGTTATTTCCAAGAAATGTGAATGTTCAGTAGGAAAATGTGTTGTCGAAAAATGGTTGCACTATCGTGATATGAGAAAGTGTAAGCCTTCATTGAATTAAATTAAATAACCATAAATTTATAGTTGCAAGTTAGCCATCATCGATTCCACCACTGGCAATGACTTTTCATTTGATTCTTGATACAGCTTTGTAATTTGAGTTGTTGCCCAAGCAGAAATTTTGGCATTCTCCTTTTTCTTTTGTGAAACTGTTCTAGGTTGGTTGGAAAGGGTGTAAGCAGTCAATTGGAGACCATATAGCGCCCTTAAATTACTTGGATTAAGCTTCACTGCCTGAGCAAAATAAGATCGGGCTAATTCTAGACTTTCAGTGGTTCCAATCGTATATTGTATTTCTGCAAACCGTTGATGATACAGGTGATTGTGAGGGTTGGTTATGATCAACTCTTCCATACAAAAGGCTGCTTTACTGTAAGCTTGATCTTGGATGTATACATCACACAGTTCTAACCATGCTTCTGTGTCATTCATGAACTTTTTAAGATACTCTGACAACTCTTTAATTATTTCTGGAGTCCTTTTTTGAGCAATTAGAATGGCTATCTTTCTTTTGTAGAGAATCGAATTGGCTTCATCTTTCTTAATCATAGCATCATATGTTTTCAGTGCTTCCTCATATCTTTCCCTCATCTCCACATTAGCCATGACTTTAAGGCGACGAACTCTTGAGCTTTTCGGAAATTTTGACTCCAAAATGCTTAAACATTCCTTGATGAGAGATGTATCATGTAAATCCATACCAGCCATAGCTACTTGTTCAACAATCAGCCATCTTTCATCACCAAGACTTTTACATTTAGATAAGCAATGTATCCAAAGATCTCTTACTTTCTCAGGACAACGAGCATTCTCTTCTCTCCATTTTTGTAAAATTTCTCGGGCTTCATCGAAACCTATTCGACGACCTGCAGGCTGGTGTTGTCGCTGTTGTCGCAGAGACGATGAAGAGGATGATGGGTCTGTTTCACTTTGACTGATTTCTGTTGGCATTTTAAATCCGGGTTGATCTTTAATATTTTATACAAAAGACGAATCGTAAGTTGATAAGCAAAATATGCTCGACAATTGATAAAACCAAGCAGGACAGTCTAAGGCAGTCTACAATAATGTTAATGGTATCCTTTTTACTTCCAATTTCCTTGAAGCTGGAAAAATCAATCTATCTTCTACATTAGAAAAAAAGTCATTAATAAAACGAAATGCAAGTAAACTGTTTATTCAAAGTGTGAATGATGCAGCAAAATTTAACAATTACCTTTAAAATGTGCTTTCTTAACTAAAAAAGATAAATTACAATAAGAAAAACAGTCACAGTGTTTCAAAATAATTATACCAAGTCATTGAATTAAATGTAAAGCAGAGACGGTTACCACTAACCGTAGATTTGGTTAGTAGAGGAGGAAAAGTAACCGGTTACTTGCGTTTATAGACCGAGTAACCGGCTAGTGAAATAAATTTCAAATTGTATTTCAAATAATTGTCTAATGTTCATGTTCGTGAAATATTTTAAAGTTTTGTTTTTATCAAGATACTTAAGCATAATGCACAGAGAAATGCTAGAATATGCTAGAGTGAGAGAGTTTCAGTCTATTTCAATCTCGTTATACTCTTGTAATGTTGCAAAGAGTGGCTTTATCTGAGATCTTAATCAAATACAATTCAATTGCTTAAGACGCTAACTTGATTATAAACACAAGTTCACAAGAATTTAGAAGAAAACCAAGAGTTCAAACATTAAAACTGAATAAGTTTAACATTTGTTTAAAAAGCAATCACTATGTTTTACCATTGATATTTCGTGATCTTTGATCTTGAGTACGGTTCGAGAGTAAACCAGGTTCGGGTTGAAGGCAGACTTGAAATTACCACTATTGCATTCGAGTTATTATAACTAACAACACTAGTATACAACTAGGTATACAAGATGTTAGTGCTTTTTTTGCTAAAAAACTGATGATTGATCAGAAAAGGTAATAAGAAAAGCAATCAAATTCATCTGATGAAACGATTATTTTAATTATTTTATACATACAGAAGATGTAAAGAAAATCGTGTAAACCCAAAAACTCTTTAAAGGACATCTAATTGACGGTATAAAATGTCGATGTTTAATATCTGCATGCAGTCGGATGTTATTTAAGCTATTATTCGTAAATTAGCTGTTGTTGTCGCGATTAAATCAATTAGTTTGTCATCATTACAGAAGTATTGCTGTTCGCCATAGTTAAACAATTTTGTTAGATTTCCATTGTTTAAATCACAAACGGTATCCTCATAGGCAAACGGGTAATGTAATTTACCAAGTTCAAGAGACCAACAAAGATTTTGACAGGACAATTGATTTCCTGGGTCAGGAAAGAGAAAAAGAAAATTAGATTAGATCAGATTTCAACAAGATTAATCTATTTCGAAAATACCTTTAACATTGAAATACAGTAACTGAGGCCAGATATTTCTGTAGATTTCATAATCTAAGCTGATCAATTTATTACCAGATAAATTAACTTCGGTCAGAGATGGCATACCTTGAAACATCTTGAGTTCAATATATTCTAAACTATTATCACTCAAATCCAAGTACCAAAGTTGTTTCATTTGTTCAGGTAATGCATCTCTCGGTATTCTTGACAGCTCTTCATTTCGGGTGATTTCTAAGTATCTAAGGTAGCCAAGATCGCTCAATGCTCCTGATTGAATTGAAGTTATTTTACATCCATTGAGACTTAATGAAGTTACATTGGGTCCGATCACTTTAGAGACAAATTTTCGAGTTAAAATGGGTAAATGGAAAGCAAATAAAGTTGAATTTTCAATTAGGATTTGTTTAAAATTAAAAGATGTCCATTTCCATTCAAAGATGTGTCGACTATTAGTAATGCTCAAAGATTTGTGATCCGGAATATCACTGTACGTATCATTATCAGCAATAAGTCGATCACGGCGATTGCTTGTAGCTTGAGTTGATCCACCACAGCTCTCTATAACCAGATGATTGAATGGGATGAAATTCAAACTGGGTCCAAAAATAACTCTGTCGTCAAATGTGATGTTAGAAAATGTGAGAACATGTATTGTCTCTGACAAATCTGATAATGAAGATCCTTCAATATTACCACAAGCTATATTTATAGATCCTAAATCAATGAGAAGTGAATGTATAATAGAAGCACATTAAACATCCAACAATCGTTCAAACAAAATTTCATTGCGATAAAGTGAAAGAGAGTGAATTTAAAATACGAACCTTTCTTGCTTTCATAGCATTCACATGATAATGGACACTGGTCAGATTCGATTCTAGAGCTGTAACAGAGAAGCGCAAATGGACAAACAATTTTAAATAATGAAAACATAGCTGGTTGGATGTGATACAGAAGGAAATTGATTCCATAATGTTAAAAATCAAATTCACTTTCCTTACCAATAAATCAAAACTGAAAACTTTAAAGCTAAGGACAAACTTTCCCGCCACTGATAGAAAATTAACAAGATTAAAATTGTATATTGATGAGGATTCAAACTACAGATGAACTATCACACAGAACTTTAGGCAAGGGTAAACGAGAACCCGTCAGCTAACTTTACATCTTCAAAGTCTCAGTTAGCTTGAATGAAAGTATCAACACTAAAAGCTGACTTAAAATACGGCAGTTGAATAAATCCTGATTTAACCTAAACTAATCTATCTTGGACTGTCATGAAATAATCAAAATAAATCCAGACCTAATTTAGTTAATTAGATTCGATTATCTTCATCAGCTCGAGAATTGAATCAATTCTTTAAAATCTGAGTAGTACTGGTATCCACAAAAATGAGTATCAGATCCAAAAGCCTGTGGTTTGTTTTCTAATCATTTATAACTCAATGACTTGGTATAATTATTTTGTAACACTGTGACTGTTTTTTCTTATTGTAATTTATCTTTTTTAGTTAAGAAAGCACATTTTAAAGGTAATTGTTAAATTTTGCTGCATCATTCACACTTTGAATAAACAGTTTACTTGCATTTCGTTTTATTAATGACTTTTTTTTCTAATTTAGAGGATAGATTGATTTTTCCAGCTTCAAGGAAATTGGAAGTAAAAAGGATACCATTAACATCATTGTAGACTGCCTTTTTAGTCTCACGATTAACACAAGCTTTCATCACAAAATATAACTTGTGAGTGTCCTGCTTGATTTATCAATTGTCAAGCAAATTTTGCTTATCAACTTACGATTCGTCTTTTGGATAAATATTAGAGATCAAACCCGATTTAAAATGCCAACCGAACCCAATCAAAGTACCGGTGAAACAGACCCATCATCCTCTTCATCGTCTCAGCAGGAGCAGCAACAACAACAACAACAGCCTGCAGGTCGTCGACTAGGATTTGAAGAAATGATTCATCATGTAACCACCAATCCGCTCTACTGTTTACTCTTTTTCACACGAATGGCTACCCTTTTCTTTACACTTCTTCATATTGTTCCTTTCTTAAACAATAATAGTTCTCTCAGCTATTACCAAAAGGCTCTACTTGCAAATGGGGCGACGTCAGCCATAAGATTACATCAAAGATTACCTGCATTTCGATTAACTCGTGAATTTATGGATCAACTATTGGCTGAAGACTCGTGTCACTATCTCTTTTTTTCCTTAATATTTTTATCTCACAATCCTGTCACCTTGGTTTTACTGCCTATCGTCCTTTTTGCTTTTCTACACCTTACCAGGTCTGTTTTAACTATTGTCGAGGAGCTTGGTGGTAATCGCAATCTCTCAAACTCTCTCAGTTCATTTCAATCTCGTTATACTCCTGTAATGTTACAAACAGTGGCTCTATCTGAGATCTTTATCATGCCAGTTATAATTTTGGCACTGATTACCGGAATGGGATCAATTGTAGCTCCTTTCCTCTATTATCGATTCATCATTCTTCGATATGCCTCAAGACGTAATCCTTACTCTGCTCAGACCTTCCGGCAACTCAGGGTAACAATTGAAACATTTGCCATGAGGCCTGAGTGTCCAAATTTCATAAGGAATATATCATTCAAATTGGTCGACCTAACCTGTCGTCTCGCACCTCCAAGAATAACCGTTTCCACACCACAATAGAAATCTTCTTGTATTTTTCACTGTTATTCGAAACAAAACAATCGAAAAGCTACATTGTACAATGTATGGTTGAACAAACGTTTCTATCTTTTTATTTACAAGTTCATTTTGATCTTTTTCATTGTTTTGATTTTTCAATTACTATTCCAAAATTCACTAATCTCTTTTCTGTTTCTTTTTTCTCTTTTTTTCGTGAGACTTTCATTTTATGTAATGTTGCCATAGAAAACAGGTCGATATTAACACCAAGTCCACTGAAAGCTCGTCCTATTTCTATCTGTAATTGAAAATTGTATTAACTTATAATCAAGGTCGAAATATACTTATGCGATAAGTCTTCACGCTATGGAACCAGTGTATCTTTTTGTTTATAACTTTTTAATTTAACAATAGAAGCTTCATATATTAACAGTTTATTATGCACACTGTCTGAAAATTTAATCGTTTCATTGTCAATATTTGTCATTTGTTTCAATTTTTATATCTCAAGCTCACATGAAAAAAATAAACAGAAACAAACCTCTATCTCTGTAGCCTAATTAATTTCATGCTAATTCTGCTATTGAACGATCTAATGATCACAATTCAATATTTACTGATAAACTGCTACTTTTGGGCAAAATCAAAATAATGGATCTGGTTTATCTTCAAATAAATTTATTTGGTTAAAAATCAATTTATTTGCAAGCTAAAACCTGGAAACAGAATATTCATTGTCAGTCAATAAATCGATTCTGATTGTTTTCTCGGAAGGATATTGTTCAGACCGAGTAATTTCCATAAGTTATGTAATAGTTATGCTTTTTAGGAAAAATAAATTTAAACACGAAGTTGAAGTTAATTTGATAGTTTCAAATATACCCAGTAAAAAAGATAAATAATGAGCTAGCCTTATAATATTGATCGCCAAGTCACGACAATTATCAAAAATATAAAGTAGTAATCCTTTGATATAAGCATGCGACCAGCAGCGGCGATTCGTCAAGATTGTCGATTGTAGATATTTTTATGAAAATCACAAAAATCCAGATCAATGTCTTAAGGACTAGACCTGGATAACCGACGAAAATTAAGACATCCGAGATATCATAGAAATCTGAATAAATTCAATTTATAATAACAATAATAGAACATGTTTTGAAAAATAGTTTCAGCAATTGTAACAATTTCAATAAATTTTTCATAGCTAAACCATTAGAATGAGAATTGTCATGTGACATTTAAAGAGACATTTCATCATTGAATTTTCAAGCTAAACTTCAGGCCAATGATTTTCAATTGAAGCGAAAATTGGCAATTCCAGGATACATAGAGAGTTCACTTGATAAAATCCAATCTGATGGTGAGAGCGATGAAAATAGATCATAAAAGAATCATAATGTGGCCAAGATTCTGGTGTAACTAAAAATCAGATTCACGAGAGTTTGTCCAGTACCAAATAGGAATGCATTCAGCGGACTCATACCGATGCTGGCAGCTCGAAAAACACCAGCAATTGCTGAACTAGTGATTAAACTCATTGTTAGAGGAGTGACAACTCCTGAGATTACTAGCAGGATAGGAGCAAATCGGGCAATTTTGTGTTTCCTAAGAGAAATGAATGCAACCAGAGATGCAACAAGATGAACAAAAAGGTACGACGAAAAGGCCCAGAGAAACACATGGAACCACATTTCAGCAAACTTGTCGAGTTTGTCTCGAGGTGAAAGCTTTAAAACATTCCAGAAAGTTTCCGATGACTGTAAATCACCAGGTTCAAATATTTTCTGTCCCATAATTGTGGATGAGATGTAACCTGAACACAAGAGAGAAGTAGAAATAATAAAGTTATTGATCGATTGAAACAGCAACATTTGCAGGTTCATTATAGTGCCGGTTTGCTTAAAAAAAGAGTTACTTACCTAATTATAATCATAACCAATTGAAACAGAAATTAGAAGATAAATTAGTAATCAAAATTTTCAAATGTCAATTTATGTAAACATTAAAACAAGCCTCTTGCCCAAAGCAAGAAACTTCATGTTTATTAGACTAATAACATTATTCTGTTTCCAGGCGCACAGCCTTTAATAGATGAATCATGAGCAAAGAGCGCCAAATTTGTACTCAGAATTTGCTTAAAGGATAATCTTTTTCCATTCTAATCATTTATTAGATTAGTTAAATTAAGACGAAGGTAAACAATTTCAATTAGCAAATGAAACACATAAATTAATTGTTAAAACGAAGAATAATTCAAAGATTGGATTTGTTTTAAATGATTAAAACATAATATTTTATCAGACAATAAATCTACAGACATTATTGTATTTCATTATTTAACCATTGAATATCTATGATATCTTAATTGTCTTTTAATTTGTTCATTTAAAAGTATATCTGAATAAAAATTGAAACTAAAGAAGAGATGAACGATGTTTCTATGAATAGCTTTGTATTAACAATAAATAAGATGGAATAGAAAAACTGATTGAAATTTTCATTCTGATCTACTTTCAATCTGATTTGAAATAAGATATTTGGTGCAGTTTTCATTCCCAGTTTGTATGCGTTATTTGCCTTAAACAGATCTATCGACCTTTGAAAATTTATCACAAGGATATAAAATTTCAATGAATTTTCATGAAAAAAGATGTTAATATCAGGATTAATTTATCATTGAAAAATGGTTTTGCAAAAAGACAAAATCCAACAGCAAATTATTATATATTTTCAATTGATATTTTTACTTTTAAAGTTGAAAGAATAAGAAAACGATAAAATTGATAAATTATGGTTCTTTTCATGGTTTTATAAAATATTTGACCGTTTTTGACCATTCTTATGAATGACTACCAAATTGGTGGTCAAATTTAAAGGTTAAACTATTGTCAACTTGTCAAAATATGAAAGCTTTGCCAATAATTTGAAATAATCAATCAGTTAGGTTAAATGTAAACGGAAAGGGTTTTTAATTGCTTAAAACCTTAGAGATTGATTTTACCTTAAAAATTTTACCCTGTTAATCTGGTAACAAAATAATGGATGAACAAAAACTAAGCATTGAAGATAAAAGAGGCTAAATGAAGACTTGAAATTCAAATTACGCAAATTGAATTGAGTAAAAGGGAAGAGAAGATGAAACAAGATGAGGATGAAGATGATGAGGCTGATGAAGATGACGGAAATGGAGGTTAAAAGGAAAAGGTTGAATGGTTTAAAGAGCAAAGAGCAAGGATAATGATGATGATGATGATGAAAAGGAGATTAAATAAAGGTAGAGAGAGATGGTTGGGTAATCATTTAAAATCAAATAAGTTGCAGGTAAACCGAAGCTAAATATGATTTAGAGGATGAGAAACAAAAAAGGGCTACAAGTTGAGGAAACTAAATTAACCGAGAGATGAAGATGAAGGAATCGATGGATGATGGAGGGAAGAGAGGATGCCAAAGGGTGATGGAAATGATGATGAGAGAGAGAAGAAGAAGAAGAATGATTAAGGTGTTCTTTCTGGTTCCTTTTACCTTTCTTTATGCCTTTCTATTTCTCTCTTTCTTTGCCTAACCATTACCCTGGAGCTTTTGTATTACACAGTATGAAGTTAAAGACTCTTGAGACTCTAAAGTTTTTATATCATTTGGAGGTTTTATTCCAGTTTTAGGTTTTTGCGCAAATTTTTACTCCAAAAAAGATTTATCGATCCATTTGTAGGCAACTTTCTTCTCTCTTTGCTTTTCAATCAACATCCATCGATTTGTTGGATTAACTAAGTGAACTCTAAACGAGTAGGAATGATTATAATGATGAAGACAGGGGAAGAGGTGAGAAGAAGGATGAAGAAAGATGGGTGAGAGAAAACACTAGGATGCCGGCATACACATGGAAAGTACATTGAAAAGTCCCATGTTATTCAAGGGAGAGAGAGAGTGGGAAAGAGTTGAAGATGGATGTGATGGAAGGAGGTAAAATAGGATGAAAATTAGAGGTAATACTGGGCAAGTTAGATGTTGTATTGGTAACAGCGATCAATCAAGAAATCGATATTGCAGGAATACATCGATGTTGGAAATACTCTGAGGAAGAGGATGAAATTAACAAGGAGATGGATGATGATGATGGGAAGGAGGAGGAGGAGGAGGAGAGGAGGAGAGGAGGAGGAAGTAGAACAAGACGGAAAGAGCATCATCAGTAAGGTCCATCTAAATCAGCAAATATAATCATCAGTAACCCTCTATTTCTACTTGAGCTAATCACCTCTAATTACTTTGGCTTAACCATTCTTTTACTTCTTTTCTCTTCTTTCGGTTTTCTGATTTTTCTGTTTCTCTCAACTGAACAGTAAATTTTGGTTACACAGACTGAGAATCATAATGATTTTGATGATAGAAGGAAGAAGGAAAAAAAGGAAAAGATGATGAGGAGGATAATTTTAATGATCCCTTAGGCTTTTTTCCTTCAGATTGGATAATCTTACAATTAAATTTGAATTCACTTTTTCTTTTTCCTTGATTCTTTGTTTTTTCATCATCAGGATCAACTCTTTTTTTTGCCTGAGATTATTTATTATTTAGGTTTTACCTTTACTTCATTTCCATGTTTTAATCAAGGTTTGGTAATGGTAATTGGTTACTGCATTTGGTTTACATTAAGTTGGTTTACTTTTAATTTAATGATGAATATTATATTATTGTATAATAAACAAAATAAAATGAGCAACACGTATGACAAATTGAAACAATGCAATTTAATTAATCTTTTGAGACTCCTTTTGTATTGGGTGAGTTATTATTTTCAGTGTGTTGTGTGTATGTATATTAGTTATTGGTTTGTTTTTGTGTTTAAATTTGATTCTTTTTTTCATTTGTCCAGAGAAATAGAAACCATTTAATTAATTTGCTTGATTGTTTGATCTAATCTCATGGAGATCATTAGACCATCATTAATTTCTATTGCTTTGTTTTTTGGCTTTCTTGGTTGCTTGCATCATCCTGGTTGCTGTCTTGAAGAAACAGGGTCATTTTTAAGAAGGTATGAGGATACTCATGATTTAAGTAGATAGATGAAAAAGAGAAAAAAATAGAGTATAGGTTGGTAATGAGCAAGGGACACAGAAAAACAAGATTGAAATTCAAAAATGTAGTTTAAAGAAAGATCACTTTGCCTCTATTATTATGGAGGAGCAAAATCACTATTAGTTGATGAACGGACTCTGCTTTGAAATGCATCTTTTTTGATTTTTTTCAATCTTGTCTGTTTGTGTAAATTGGATTCAGAGTGTGCTGAGATTAACAACATTTTAAATGAACAAAGATTCACAGAGTTATTTGTTGTTAATGACTAGAAGTTACACTGGAACATGAAAAATTGGGCTTTGATTCTGAAATTCTGGGTTATTTTTTGGACCTTACAACAGAAGAAGAGAAGGAAGGTAAAATGCGAGAAGGATGAGGAGAGGAATGAGAAGGAGAGAGAAGAGAAAAAGGAGAAGGAGAACACAATCATCTTGCTGTTGGTATTTGATTTAATTTAGGTTTCCGTAAATTCAAGTTGTCCTAATTCGTACTCCTGAGAGCTTGAGCTTTCAAAAATGTCTTTCGCTTCGCTGCTTGTAATTAAAGTTGAAGTTTGTTGAAGTGATTATATTGATGATAGCCATCATCCTTATTACCAGCCTCAATATAATCATAATCGTTTAGATGGTTTGTCATCAGAATATTTTTGTTGTTCCTCGCTTGAAATCATTTAACATTATAACTCTGATGCTGGTTGCATTGAATCAATATGAGTCAAAATCATAGTTTGATGATATGTTTTGACCGATCTCTGGTTTAACGGTTCGATCCAAATGACCAGACGGATCTGCGTAGTCCATTTCCCGTCTGCCATAATAATAGCTCATGGCATTTGCATCTAGAGAAAAAAAGTGAAAAAACAAAAAAAATCGAAATTAGGATTGAGCAGAATAAAAACATCGTAACGATAAAACAATAATAAACATACCATTTTGATCAACATATGAGTAAGTATGGCCGTTACTAGGCCAAAAATTTGAACTTGCATTGGACCAAGTCGGGTAATCGCCTTGATTCCAGTTATTTGGATAGTTTGAAGTTGGATATCTAGTTGTATCATAAGACCAATCTGGAGCCATTGCATCAGTATTATGAGGTTGGATCGACTGGAAAAAATATAATGGTAAATGTTTATTTAAATGTGAAATGCAATTTTAAAGACAGTAAAGTAAATATGACATACTCTATTGGCCAGTTCTTCACCCGTATAACCTTGATTATTGAAATTAGGTGCGGTCATCATTCTTTGACTTGGTTGATAATGGCAATTGGCAAACGAAAGGCGAGTATCATCTTCATTGGTTGGATATTCAAGATTGTTGTGGTTATTGTTATGATTACTATTATGATTATGATTATGGTTGTGATTATGATTATGATTATGATTATGATTCATATTGTTACTACTATTATTGGTATTATTGTTAATAATGTTATTGTTATTGTTATTATTAGCATTATTAGCATTATTATTATTATTAGTTGAGTAGCTTGGATCACTTGTTAATGGGTAATCATTGCTTGGAGTTAGAGGGTCGCTACCCCATTTGTTCAGCAATATCTTATCAATTGTTTTCTCGAAATCATTGCCACATTGTTCTAAAGTAGAAAATTGAAGGAAAAAAGGAACCAGAAAAAAATAAAAATTAAAAATTGAATGTCATTACGAAATTAATTTGAATACATAAGTGAAATATTAAAATAAATTCAGCTGATTTTAGTCTCTATCTGAGCTCGGCCCTCGAGTTGAACTGAGATTCAAGAGATAAAAAGAACATGCTTTGCTCTCATTTCTCATTTTTATCCTTAATTTATGTTCGTGGCTTTACCTTTCCTCTATAATCAAGAACGGTCTAACAAGAACGGAAAAATTTAGGTTGTTACTGTTGTTACGGCTTTTTATACTGGAGACTGTAAAGTCATGAAAATGTAGTTGAAAACGACTCAGGCATGTCCTTAAGAGGTACAGGTACCAATCAAGAAAAGAGCAATGCATAATGAGAGTTTGTCAGCTCAAGAAATCTAAATTGCGAATTTAGGTGATACTGAATATTATGGAATTGAGAGAAAAAGGTTGTTCATGGTTGGAAGGAAATAACCAAAAATAAGACGAAAGATAAACAAGAGACGAATTAAAGGTTGACATGTAGATATGGGCTTACCCAAGAGACTCTGTAGATGGGAAGGTGAATGGTCATAGAAAGCTAGGCACAATTGTTCGAAGTTTTTGATATTGGAGTAGCCAATGTTTTTAGGTGGAATGGAGTTTATGGATAATGGTGACAACTGAGACGGAGGAGGTGGTAAAGATGATGTCGGAAGAGGAACTGGTGGTTGCTGTGATGGTGGTGGTGGTTGTTGGTGATTGGTGGACCATGGATTTTGAATAGTAGGATCATTACTATCTCCAATATTTCCTGGATGTATTGGTATCTGTGGACTTCCTAGACACCGACTACTTCCAGTACTTCCGCTACCTAAAGAGAACAAAATGGAAAATGTGAAAAAATTTAATTAAATTATAAAAGTAATCAATTACAAGAGTTTAAATTATTTAAATTTAGACGTGGGTAATATACTTCTTAATAGAGCTTACCTGAAGATGAAACCTCGTTGCTATTTTCGTCTTGTTTATCCAAATTTTTTTGAGCTCTATAAATAGGGGGTCGTTTTCTGTGGTTGAGAAAATGGTAAGAAAAGAAAAGATAAGAGATGGAGAAGGAGAATGGATAAAATGTTATTAATAAATGGAAGATTTAATTGAATTATAAATTTAGTCGATTGGAATATTGCTGATCACAAGCTGGTCAGGCTAAAAATAGTGTGATCTCCGATTTAACTGATAAGTTCATCAGTTTGAAAAAAAGACAGTAGATAAAACAAACACAACAGAATTATATTTAACTATATCAATCATTGTTATTATCAATTGTTATTATTATCGACATTATTATATTGGTTAGTGTTGGGAAGAACGATTGGGAGTTTATCAAGAAATTAATGAACATTCGAGCAAGTCAATTAATCAACTTACCTGACTAAAAGACAATCAGAACATGAACAGTCCTTATAAGGGCATTTATGTTGAAGTACTCGCACATCTCTTTCTCCATGAAAACGACACCGAGAACAGGTTGGACTTTTTCTATTTTTACTTTGAGCTTTCATATTTTTTTGATTTTAACTTAGGATATAGTGAATATAAACTATAAGTCTTGGGAATAAAAATTGAATATATTTTGACCAATCTTTGTTAACTTAAGCTGTTTTCACCGTTTCTCAAAAAATGAAGTTAGCCTTTGTGAGTGAGCGTAGACAGTTTAGGATTGGCTGGATGATATTTGAAAACTGGCTATGTAGTCGAAGAGAAGTAAGACACAAGGAGACAAGATGTTGCAAAGGGCCATAAAAACATAAACACAACAACACAAAAGTATAAGAAATAACCAATTATTTTAAAGATGTTTAATTAATCAATAACCATTGAATATAAACGAGAACCACACATAGTAAACAGATTGGCGATGAGAAATAATTCTTTAGAATATAAGATGGATCCTGGTTGGGTTTAAGTTAAAATGCACAAAAAAGTCGGCTGATTGAGTCTTATTATTCAACCAATGAAGACTTTTTGCCTTGATGTTGATGTTGTTGTTGCTGCTACTGATGATGATGGTTGAATGAAAATAGAAAGATGAATGTGTGTGTGTGTTCGGTTTATGTGTTACAGTCAAGTTGATTGGGGATACTGTTATTGTTGATGTTGACTGGTGAACAGCAAATTGAACCTAAAATATGAAAACAAAAGGGATTAAAAATATTAAAACGAGGTATAGACTAAACAGAAAAGGGTAACCAGAGACTTGAGATAATCAAATTAAATTGGTAGAATAAAAAATAACTAAAATAAAAGAAAAAATAATAAAGAATAATAAAACTAGTCAAGGATTAAGTGGTCAATGTAATGAAGAATTTTAAAAGCCGCGTTTTAACAAAGGAAAGACACAGCTATGTATAGAGGATCGAGATGTAAAGCTGATAAATGAGGACATCTAATGGGATTTTGAATGGGCCAAGGAGTTAAAGCAATGAATATAAACTCACCATAATACTGTTAAACTGCCATTAGTGGACCAGAAAATATTCAAATTATCCATAATTAATCTGTAAAAATAGAGACAAGAAGCACAAGAAAAGGACAAGGAATGAGAAATATTGTCAACCAGACAGCAACTTGAGAATAGGTTAAAATGGGATTGTAATGTACTTTTATCGTTTAGTTTTCAAATTACGAAGGCAATGTAATTTGATTAAAAAAAGGATGGGTTACACTGACTATGTTAACATTGAGGGAACAAGATCAATAAAATGATAAACTATTAATTACTGGGAGAATTACCTAAAAGGCCAACGAGAGACAACAACCTTTCTTCCTCTGTCTATTTTCTCCTTTTATCCTTTCACTGGTAACTGCTGTTGGTTTGTTTTTTCTTGCCTCTTCCACTGGTGAATGATGATAATTTGGTGTTTCTCCTTCTCTCGTCTTCTCTTCGCTTTCTCTTCACAATTCAAATTATATCATTTGAAAGTAAATAGTTGAGATAAACATAACCAAGTAAACAGAAATAACAACCAGATATAACCAAATCCTTAGCCAGGGAGAGAGAGCCAAAGTTTTGCAACGGAAAAACTGGTTAACTTGATACACAAATATACATATGCACAAGTAGATAATCACAGAGAAATCAAATCAGGATGGTTTTTGTGTTCCTGGGTTTATTTGAGATGGCGAAAAAACGATGTTTACTGAAGAAAGATGAGAAGAGATGAAGATGGAGCACAAGTTATATTAATTAATCAAATAAGGTATACAAGGTTGATGGTGTGAGCAGATTTTCCAATGCAACAAGATATATTTACACACACATATATAAACCATACATAAGTATAAATGTATTATGCATATGTATCGAAGCACGAAGGTAACCGTTCAAGATTAGGGTTATGATGACAAAATTAACAATGAAAGATGATTATGATAAGATGGTCAGGTTGATTAGGTGGGACGTTGGGTAATGATTTAAATTGCTAATTGTTGAGTTGAAAAATGTCTAAAAACCTTGTGAGTTTAGGATATCAAAGGTTTCTTTAAACAGACAAAAAATAAAGTATAAACAGCCTTACAACTCGGACATCATTCAATCTCTCTCACACACACATACTTTCTCTTTCTCTCTTACTATCATTTTTCATCCTCATCATCATCCTTATCTCCCTTCAACTCACTTAGACTCGTACTATTACCTCATCTGAGCTTCCATGGGATGGAACATGCGTTTACTCTTCGATTAATGATTTACCATTTTCATCTTGAATGCGTAGGTCCACCTAGTTTTGGTTTGTTGCTGTTTCACCCAAATCACTTTTAAACTTGATATGAGAGTCAAAAAAGGTTATAAAATAGCTATAATGGTTTAACTACAGTCAAATCAGTCATTATTATGACCATCAGGATGATATATTAATGATGATGATCAGCATGAAAAGGTGAAAGTAAATGGTATTATTACAATGACCATTTAAAGATTAGCAAGCTTGCGTTTGTAGTTCAACTTTTTAAGTAGGATGAATTATTTTTTACAGGCAACAAACTTTTGCATGGTAAGAATCGTTTCATTTGATTGATTGATCATTTTATCAGTCTTCCTTGATTTAGTTGCCATTAAGTTTACCTTTCATCTGTCTCTTAGCCAACCATTAATCCAACAACTGTTTTGGCCAGTTGGAGCTGTAATGGTAAGAAAATTTCAAATTTAAATTTCTCAGTGTTGAGACAAAATTTCAAGTAATTTGCATCCTTTTAATTGTAATTTAAGAGTTTTGTCAAGATTGGTTCTGATACAAATCAGTTTGCATTGAAATTAACAGATGAACCATCAATCAACAGGGAATCGCTCATGTTTCAGTAGTTCTAGATGGCTGTGATCAACTTGGTGATAATTGGAGTTACAATCAAGAAATGACATTTTGTTTTCACAATGTTACTTAACTGACAAAGACATGCTAACATTGCAAGATATTTTATGGACAACAAATGGTTGAAAAGGTAGCATTCAAGAAGCGTAAAGATTACATTGATAAATGATTATAATGATTGTCAGATAATCAAATGCAAAGAGCAAATAATTAAATAGCAAGGAGTGAGAGAAGAAAAGAAGAAAAAAATGAATATTTGCACTTAAAGAGTAGCAATAAGTACTGTCAATGGAAATTTATATCTTGGTTTGGTTTTGTTTTGTAATAAAACAGTTGAAACTTAACAGAATTTAATTTTTTCTTGAGTTTACACAAAGCTGAATAAAAACTGTTAACATTAAAAAGATGCTTATTGGATAGGTGAGTTAAACTTTAATTGTTGAAGAATGTTAATGATGGGTTTGCTTGTTGTTGTTAATCACGTCCATTGATAACCAAGGATAGAGAAGGCCATAAATCCTTTTCATTTTTCAATTCACGTAACACGTAATCACAGAGAGAGAGAGAAAAAACTGGAAACATTTTTTACCATCCAACTATGTAATTGGCCATCATTGTTTAATCAACACATGTTTAAACACAATATGCATATTTAATTAATTCACAAGAATCGGTTAAGAGATTGCCCAAGCAACAGTTTAATTCAAATATAAATCCACAGAGCAATCTGGAAAAACATGGGAATTGAAGATTGTATTTGAACAAAAAGATTCCATTGTCAAATTGTAACAGATAACAGATGGTAACAATTGTTTGAAATTAAAAAAGATCAAAATATTAGATTAAAATGGATTTGAACTGTTGATAAAAAACCAATTTTGAAAATAAAGCAACTGATAGTGACCTCTCTTATCATAAAATTTAATTTATCTGGTTACAGAAAACTGTTTCATTTCATCATGCTCTTGATCTCTAAAAATGAGATCTTGAAATGAAAGTGAAAGTCATTTCTTCAAAGAATCACTAAAAGTGAAATTCAAAGTTATTTTTTTGCTAAAATTTTATTGATTGTACAATAATTACGTAGTTAAATTATTAGATAAAAATTATTAGACATTATTAGATAGATTTGCAATTAAGCAAATGTTTCCAGTTGATAAGAATTGCTAGAAAATTGAAAATGCTGATAAGGGGAATTTACAATTGAAAATAAAGCTCAGTGAGGTTGGTGAGGCTTGGTGTCAAATGACTGATAGAAGTTAGAAATTAGGAAAAACCATTACTTTGAAAGATAAAAAGAGTTAGAGCAATTAAGCTGAATTTAAGAATATTTATTGAATTCAATGAGTTGCATTGATTGATTACTTTCTGTTGGTGTGAAGTTACAGTCCGTGTTTTGTTTCCTAATTGTTTTTACATCGTTACAGTTAATTTTTTTACATGTTTAATTTTTGCTTTGAATGCCAAATCTCTGGTCAGAGGGTAAAGTTTGATTTGATCATGGCAAGTATTTCAGGATGAACATAAAATTTAAAGGTTAAATGAATTTATAACTTCCGAGTTATTTATGATTTAATAAATGTGTATCATTTGCTCAGGTGGATTTAATCATCAAGAAATAGGGAATTTAGAGAAAATTAGTTTTTATTCAACTTTGGGTTTTTATTTGAATTTTTTGGGTTTTAATTTTTCAAGGCTTTTAACCTTTTCTGAAAGAAGAGCAAAAATACTTTTGAATTTTTGAACAAACTTACCTTAGATTGTGAATGTTGTAAAAGGGTGAAAAAGTAGTTTCAGAGGATTTTCTGGATTTTAGAAAATCGAAGATTTGATGTTTAAGAAGGAGATTAACTACTTTAACTACTTAATTAGTTTTTAACCACAAGAAAGTCAGAGTTGAAACTAGTGTAACACTGTAAGAGAGTAACCGTATGGTACTTAAAACAGATGAAAATGATAAAATTTGTTGGACTGATTAAATTAAATTAAAAACGATATAAAAAGGACGAAAATAAAATAAAATAATCACCAAGAAACTAGTCTCGCCATCTTTATCATCGTTTGTAAACTTCAACTTGAAAGATTGTTGAGTGAAACTGAGTGATCACTCTTTATATTTGTATTACCTTTTACTGTATTTTCCCCATTTCCATCCCCGCGTCCTTGGCAGCCATTTTGCGTGAGACAAGTGGGAGAGAGAACATGAGAGGATAGTAACACTGATAGTATTTTGTTTTTCATCAGATTTTCTAACAAACAAGCACAATTTTATGAAAACGGATTAAACAAAACAAAGGCCTGAGTTTGTGTTGTTTTTTTTTCTTCTTGTGAATCTCTTGTTATTATTTAATTCCAATGGTGGATGTTCAACTATGTTCTTAAATTAATTGTGTTAACCTATCAGTAAATCTCTATTGGATGAGATGTCTACGGAAGATCTCTTCTAATGAAAAAAAGAGCTCTAACCGATAAAAAAGACGACGATACCAAGAGACGTGCAGAGGAGCATACATATTACGTAGAGCTAGCAGGTACCCTTGCTGCTAGGATGCGTGACATGCCGAAGAAGATAACTAAGAATGAAATTTTAAATCAAACTTTCAATGAGATTAACCAAATCCACAAATGTAAGTTAATCTATACCTTTTCTCATGGATTTCCTCATGGAATCATCAATGAGGTCATCTTATTTTCTTTTTCTATTGCTTATTTATCAATTATTCTAGTCTCATACTAATGTTTTCTTTTCTTTTTGTTTAGCTACAAACCATTCTGGTGATCTTCAGACCGCCGAAGTGTCTTCATCAGCGTCTACTCTATGTTCCTCAGCTGTGTTTAGCCCATGGATATTGGAAGCCATAGATGGTTTTCTGTTCGTCGTTGATCAAGATGGTATAATTCAGTACATCACCCATAATGTTCACACCTTTCTGCGATATAAAGAGGTAATTGAATGTAAATTAACTCATTTAATTAGCGAATATAGTGAATATGGTATTTGGTGTTTATAAATGTGTTAGCAGAGACTGTGCTTGGTCAGATAAAGATAGAGATACCAATAAAAAAGAGATCGTCTCGGAAGGATTTGGAATATGGACGGAAAATAAATTGACTAGAAGAAACTCAAACGTAGGTAGCGATAGGACTTGGATTGTTACAAAAACATTACCGCGAGTTAGGTGATTGAGAGAGAAAAAAAACTTTCTTACTGAAAGTAAAAAAGCTCAGATTTAGTTATGAAGGCCATCATTAGATAAAATTAAATACATTTATATGGGGGAAGTAGAAGTGACATTAAATGCAAGTGAAAAGATGAGGGTTAGCAGGCTATAAGAATCAAGGGAAAACGTGTATTCATGGCAAAAACAGGAAGCTGCTTATTCTCTGCTCACTTACCTTTTAGTTTTAATGATGTTTAGGTAATCTTAACATTATTTTATGATAGGTAAAGAACAATTGACTAAGTTTACGTACTTAATTTCTTAAAAATGCTTTCAGACGTCTCTTCTGGTATTTTCGTACTAATCATTAGCTAATATTTTGGTAAAATCAAGTAATGCTCGTGGATATTAATTCACGAATAGAAAAGTAATTAACTAGTTATTTCAGCATTCATCAAACTTTCGTCATCAATCTATGTAAAATACAAATGAATTATAATTACAAATTTTATCTTTTATTTTAGAATGAGCTTCGGGGTAGTCCGATAGGAAACATAATTCACGTCGGCGATCTCGCTAAATTCAATTCTAAACTACTTCCTATGTCTGCCCTTGGTAATGGACTTGGATGGTCTGGAACGAGTACAAGTAGTTTAAATACGACTAACAGAGGCAATGGAGGTTCTGATATATCATCATCGTCGAGAGGTTTTTCATCATCACCATGCTCAAATGATGTCTCTCCTAGTATGCTCATCGGTGGTTTGAAATCACTTGGCGGTGTTGGTGGATCAACATCAAGTTCTGGTGCTAATAAGAGTGATACTTTTAATGCCCGTTTTTTGGTTAACCCTAACCCTACGACAGCTGGAGATGATAATAATGATGTTAATGAGAATGACATTAACTCAAATGATGAATTTATTATACCTTCTTTAACCTCAAATAGCTCAATTAGAAAAAGTAACAATGAATTTGGTGAAAATTCTGGTGCTATTAATAGAGACAATATAGTTTCTGGTTGTTCCTTAAACAAATTATCTGATGGAAATGCTGGTGTAGATGAACCTGTTTATCAAAACTTACAGCTGTCTGTTACCTTATTACCAGCACCAAACTACGATCGATCAAGTTCTTCCTCAAATGGGAATGACTTTGTGCTCTTCTGTATGGCTCGTCGAATTCCACAGATTGAAGATTCACCTATGTCAAACAATGTCGAACAATTTTCTACCAAATTGGATCTCGAGGGTAAAATTTTAACCATCGACACTAGTGGTGTTAGTGCAACATACTCTCAATACCTAAACAAAACGTTAATTGATAAATGTATTCTCGAACTGGGTGATCCATTTGATGTGATCAACGATCACCTGAGATCAACTCTAAAAGGGAACATGGAATTGAGTCCTTGTTATAAATTTCGTGTGGCCTCAGATAAATATTTACTCGTACAGACGCAATCAAGGCTTTGGGAGGCTGATGACAAACGAAATGCTTTTATTTCTTCGCTTCATTCAATTATAACGAATCCAGATGAAACTGGTACGTCATCTTATTTAAATTATTACCTTGATTTGTTTTATCTATTCTACTGAGGGAGAAAAAAAAGATATGAAAATATACATGAAAGGTAAAGGAAGATCATGGTAGAGAAAAAATGTTAAATTGAACACAATTGTTATCATGAACATATCACTATAATGCTCAGTGATTTAGTTTCACCCAGACTCATAGCTATGTTTTAATTATACATAATCCACGTGAAATTAGAGGGAAAGCAAAAAGTAGGAAAGATATTTAGAGTCAATCATAAATCTTTATGTGTGCCATTGGTCTACTATTAAGTAGTCTTGTCATTTGCACTTTAACGAAACTTATGCCTAAGTATTTTTTCCCATATGAATTTTTTTTGACTGTTCTGTTCTACTTTTATCTTCAGTTGAAAAAAATTTACTTGGCAAAATTTTTTTTCTATGAAACAGAGTTTGACCATTTTTTAGGTTTCCCTTTTCATTTAAAATTTGTCAAGTTCGATTGGACCTTTAAATCGCCTCCTAGATACACTTGCCTCTTGTTTTCTTTCCTATTGAAAGGCAGTCCTTAAATCAAAATTAACTCTGGCGAATTGTTGTATTTAAGAGCCCTCTATTGGCTCCAGTTTACTTAAATGGCAATAATAGAGGGAACGACTGTAAATATTAGCGTTCTAAAGCGTCCCTTTAATTTAAATCAAACAGAAAACATGTGATGATCTTTGTTGATGAGTGAATGTCAAGATTTTAACTTGCTTACCTGGAATTAGTAATTGAGTGTTTTATTTTGAATTTATTGGTAATCTCGAAACAAATTAAGCTTTTTAATTTTTTTAATTGGTTACGATTTTATGATTTCATGATTTTTGTTAATTTTTCACCTTCATTTTTATTGAAATATTGTCTTCAGTTTTAATAAATTTTCTAATAAATTTTCTTATTTTTTCAAAGCAGCTAATGTTTCGAGCCAACATCAGAAGCAGTTACAACATGTCAATACATTAACAGGCACGTCTAGCTCAACACCAGATAATTCAAATTTTGTTGGGTCTCCAGTTTCATCATACACTAGAGATTGTTCAAATACTGTCAAGTCTCTTGTGCCCTCACCTTTTCAATCTTTCGGCCCTGTTAGTCCTTCTAGTAATTCTGGTTCAGCAGATTACTCTTTAAATGATTGTTTAGGTCTTTCAAAGATGTTTCCATCAGGACTACTTGATTTCGATACTAATTCTGAGAATGCTGAAGGATCAAGCTCCGATGATATTAATGAAACCGACAAGAACTCAAGTGACTTGAAGTCTTCGCAAAACTCACAAGCATCTGTTAACGTTTCATCGCTTATGTCACATACAAGTTTTGTACCCTCTGTCTCTTCATCAAGTTCCAATTATAATCCCGGAAAACAAAATAACAGTCCAGTTCCTAGGATAACTCCTAGCTCAACTACTTCAGGATTGAGAATGGGCAGCACATATTCCAGTGCTACTAATGAAATGCTTTCTCAAGGAACAAGTGACCAGAACATGAATCAAAGCAATTCTAACTCACAGTCTCAACAACAACATCAATCACAACAACAACAGTCTCAACAACAACAGCAACAACAATCACAGTCCCAATCCCAATCACATTCAGGGCAGTCATCACAGTCTCAGCAATCATCTGGAAACTCCTCTTCTCAGTCATCACATGGCTCAGGGCAAGGAGCATTAGGTATTGGTTTAGGTTCCGGCTCTGGCTCTGGTTCTGGTCAGCAGTCAAGACAACCTCCTTCGCCGTTGTCATCTCGTCAACCTTCACCAGCTCCTGGATCTGTTCCAATTCAACAATTACAAATACCTAGTCCTGAACAACCTGCTGTAACTCCTCAAGCCATCCAAAGTCCTTCCGGTCCTGCTAGTACTCAAAAATTAAGGAATCTCTTGACGCAAGGTATTGAAGCTGACTCTCCCAGTAATTCAGAAATCAATCAATCTAATCCAGGGAATCACGAATTATTGCTCGAATTGTTAAATACAGAAGACGAAGATGTTAGTGGGTCATCTGCAAACAATAAGTCAAATACGTTAACATATGGCGGTAACTCTAGCTCAAATTTGTTATCTGGTTCAATGTCGGTTGAAACTACTTCAACAACTGATCAATCGACTACACCTTTCGGTGCTTCTCAAAGTACATCATTATCTTCGAACGTTTCTTTCAAGTTGACTAGTAGTAACCTTGGACAAAGCAGCAATGACAATGTTGGCAACAACAACAATATGCTTCGTCAATTACTGAATGAAGATGATTCGAGTAAGTTATATCGCCGCAATCAAGAGTTGATAAATCAATGGAAAGAAGATGGTCAATCCTCTTCCTCCAATGTAAGCACTGGACTGCCCACAAGTCTTTCTGATGTCTTAATGCCCCCTTCCTCGGGCTCAGTGTTTCCCTCTTCTCGTTTTACCGGGGGACCTGGTTCAGTTAAAAGAAAATCAGTTGATGAACATCAATTGGAAAATGAGACAATCTCTGGTTCTCAGGCTTCGACTCCTGGAGGTAATTATTCAACTGGTGTTAGCAGTAAAAGACCTTCTCTCGGAGGGTTATCACCAGGACCTCAATATAATCAAACTGGTAAATCACCGCTAACTGGCTTAGCTGGAGGAGGATCTCTAGCTAGTTCAAGTCAGAGTATTGGAAACGTTAGCAGTGCCTCAAGCAGTTTGTCAGGTATTGGTATTGGTACATCTATTGGAAGTACAACATCTACCACAATATCAACATCAGTCACAACAACAGGAGCTACCTGTGGCAGCACCAGTGGACTAGCCAGTTCAGGACATGGTAGTGGGCAACCAGCTCAATTGGCTATACAAAATCCAATGTTGACCTCAATGTTGGCGCAAACGCCGAAAACCTTACCAACCCCTCCAATATCTATTCCAACTTCAATTGTGTCTCAAGTGCCCCAAGAAAGACTTCCCAAGAACTTGGAGAAAAAGCTAATCCATACTCCAGCAAACCAAATGATTGGAATAACTAGTTTAGCTTCGTCTGTATCTTCCCCCACTGTTGTATCATCTCATGTTACTTCAGGAGGATCTCAAGGAATTGTATCTATCGCTAATGCGTCAATTTCGAGCTCATCACATATGACTATTAAACCACGCCAATCGGCTCCTCCATCGCTTTCTCTTCAACCAACACCTCAACATCAACAGCAGCAACAGCAGCTACAACAACAACAACAACAACAACAACAACAGTCTCAGCTACTACCACAGCTTCATCAACCTCCGCAGCAATCACACTTACCTCAGACCAGCCAACAGGCATTTGTTATTTCAAATAGCGGACAACTTCAAAACTTTAGGCCCCTCCATAGTCAGACTCAAGTTCAAATTGTACAAACACCAGCAAGGTATCCAGTTTTCCCGTAAGTATCCCCAAAGAAGTTTAATAATTGACATAAAATTTTCTTTATCTTCTCTATCTTTTTATTCTGTGTCTTGTTCCTTATTACAGTTTTCTATTATTGTGTGTATTTTTCCCGTGCTCTTTTAACTTTACTTTAGGAGACTTTAGACATTAGATTTTGAATGGAGACACGGGAAAATAAGAAAATCAGAAAAAGATGAAGACTACTTGTAAGGAGTGGTAGAGAGTAAAAGTGTATGTGTGTGAGTACAAGAAGAAAAGAAAAGAAATAGAGAAGAAGAAAAAGCAAATCGGTGAGAGAGTGAAAGGGAGAAAGGGAGAGAGAGAATTACATCGAACTGCCATTTTATCCCGCTCAAGATTTTCTTTTCTTAAAATACCTGGCCATTTAAATTTTAAAATTTTTCCTTATGACTCTCAATACGTTGTTTTGTTTTATAAATTTCTCAAATTTAACTTTTAACCCTGAGCTATCTCAAGTTAAATTGTAAACACTGTACAGATAGTTTCAGTTCAGTGTCTTATTCATTGGTTCATGTTTCTCTTCCTAGTTTAATAATTTTCCTTGCTTGATCTTTCTAACTTAAACTCTCCTCTCTCCATTTCTCTTTAAATGCCCCCTTCATTAATCTCCCCATATCTCTCTCTTTATTTTCTTCATCTCTTTCAAGCTTCTCCCCCTGCAGACTGGTTTTCCTTCCCATAATATTTTTATCCTCCGCCTTCTCACACATCCATTCTTTTTCATTTACCTTGCTATTCTCCCGAAATTTGCTCCCTTTATCTGTTTTCGTTTTCTCTCTAGCTACTTTTCTTCTCTTTCTTTCTCTTTTCTGTCTGTGTGTCTTTCTTTTTCCACCAATTTATTTTTTTATCTTTCTATACTCACTTCTATCTCTCTCTCTCGTTCTCTTTCTTTTATTCTGTCTCTTTATTTCTTACTTCCTTTCTATCCTTCCCTATTCACGGCAAACGTATTCCATCGCTTTCTTGTCACTTGTTTCTTTTAGTTTGAAACGTTAGTTTCTTTCTTTCTCTTGACTTTTTACTTGCTCCTTCATATTTTAACTCTCATTTTAGTTTCTCCTTATTTTCCACTCTTTCTTTCTCTCTCTCCCCTTATCTGTCTTTTTCTCTTTTTCTGATTTATCTATACATTTCCTCCCTCGCACTCTTGGTGATTCTTTATTATTGTGGGATAGGTAAATCTATACTGTATTCACTTGAGATTCTTCTCAGTTTGATTTTGTTTAAAACTCCACTTTTTTATCACATCTTTTATTTTGAACTAAATCGTTATTTTTTATATGTTATGCTATTTTATAGGGATAACCGAGCGACAGCACAACCTATTCAACAGTTATCCAATGTTCAACCTGGCCTTCATCATCAGCAATTACCAAATTCAGGTGGTCAACCAAATGTGAGTGGACAAATCAAAACTAATTTGACAGGATTATCTCAGTCACAACAGCCACAATTACAACAACCATTACCACAAGTTTCACCTCAGTCTCCAAACGTACAGTCTCACGTGGCATTTATAGAATCCATATCTTCAACAACTAGCTCATCTATCAGTAGCTCATCCATCCTGGCTTCATCAAGCCTATTACCTGCTGTGCAAGATTCACAGGACCCAATGCAGTCCGAAATTTTGGATCAAGTATGGAGTATGCAGCAAGAACTGAACATCGAGCCAGCTCAACAAAGTACCATCACTGCTACAGCTCATTCCACTACAGATGATTCAATGATATTGGATATGCTAGATGCGGTCCTTGACCCTCTATCCTCCAATTCTTCTATTCACTCGACAATTAATCTACCAGTCTCTAGTGGCATTAGTGGTTCAAATCTTGTCTCGCCCCCTCCAGATTTAAATGAGATGAAAGCTATTTCGGAAATTCGAAGGCAACTGATGAGCTGTGAAACTTCACCGTCCCAACCAAATCATCCTGGTCCTCTACCGGCTACCAGTAGACCACCAGTATTTACTCATCAAACGGGTTCTTTGCCATCGCCTTCTTTACAACAACAACAACCTAATTTTTCAAATAGTCCTGCTTTCCAATCCCCTCTATGTCCACCACCAGCTTATGGAGTTACTAGTGTTTCTGCAGCAACACCTGGCTCTGTCCATGGAGTATCTTCTCAATCATCTCAACAACAATTAATTTTACAACAACCTGGTGTAAGTGGAGGACCCGGAATGAGAAGGTTTCCGGGTCCACCTCACCCCAACGGCAACCTTCAGTCTTATCCGAGTCAGATAATTCAACACCGAGCCACTGAACATCCTCAGTTTAATGTGACGCCGGGAGTTGTTGGACCACCCCTCCAGCTACAGCCTCGGGGAAAAGGGCCTATGGACTCCAAAAAACAACGTCTCTTTATGGCTCAACAACAACAAGAAAAGCAACGTTTGCTGGCTCAACAGACTCAGCAAGAGTATACTTTACATACACCTCCAGATCGCACTGAGAGTGGAGAAATGCCACCGAACGTTTCTTTACAAATAAAATCTAGAATGGGTACAATGACACCTGAAACAGGTCAATTGAGTCCTCGTTATCCCATTTTAAATGTTAATGCTCCTACAGGAGGAGTTCAAGCTCAAAGTTCTTTACCTCAATCTCCAGCTGGAGGTGGAAATGGACCACCATCATCTTCAGTTGCCTCCTCACTTCAGTCATCCTTTACTAGTCCATCCACAGGAGGGCCTTCAACAACTTATGGTCAACCAGCACCTCAGCCTTCACATCGTATGTCCCCACATCCATATACCAGTGTACCCTCTCCTGTCGGAGGTCGTGGACCTAACTCTCCGGCAGCTCATCTTCAATTAGCATCGCCTCAACCCTCATCAACTTCATCTCCAGTCAGTGCTCCTCACGGGTGGCCTCCCCCAGTTTCAACAAGCAATGTACCCATTGCCACTGGTGCCGGCCCAAACAGTATACGAACTTTAGGTCCAACAGGTTTACCTGCCAATCGAATACAGCAACAAAATCCAATGCTTAATGCTCAGCTCTCTCAGGGTACTTTTTCAACAACCACTGCTCAACCTAACATTAGATGTACTTCACAGCCATCTCCTGCTAACCAACGTTTGTGTAACAATCGGGGCTCCATGGCAAGTCCTAGCCCGAGCCCTTTGCATTCTGCTTCTCGTAACTCACCTATTCCGCAATACCCATCAAGTCCTGGACTCTATCAATCTGATAGACAAACCCCCGTTTCATCTGTTGGGCCATTATCCTCTCAGGCTACTAGTTCTAATATTGGTCAACCACGAATGATTAATCAATCAATGCATCCCCAACAACAACAGAGGCCTCAAATGATGGCCAATCGAGTAAATTCGCCTCGGTTTGCAGCCAGAGTGAGTAGTGGTGATGACGGTAGTGGATGTCCTGGAAGTAGTATGGGAAGTCCTTATAGTTATCCTCAGCCTAGTACTCCCATCATGGATACCAGTAATCCATCCGGAGTTTCACAAAACCAATTTATTTTTGACAATAGATCTGTTTCTGGAGCGCAAACGTCCACATCTAAATCAGAATTCATTAAACAAGAGTTACGGACAATGATAGGAGCTCGAAATCAACAAGCCCAACAACAACAGCAGGTTCATCAACAGCACCAGCCTCAGCAACAACAGGCTCAAGCTCAACAGCAACCGTCTGTTTCCCAACAATCCCAGTCTCAACAACAACCTAATCAGCACATGCATCAATCTAGTTCTATGACACCATCATCATCTCAATCAACTAGTAGTAATATGCTTTGCGTATCATCATCTAGTAATTCACTGACTGCGGCTGATCTGGAATCATTTGGGTTTGCCTTTGATTTCTCTGAGCCAGGAATAGTGAGTAGTGGAACTAGTGTAAACAGCAATTGTGGGCCGGGCTCACCTCTGTTCAGTAACATGTTTGACAATGGTTCACAAGTATCTTCACCTCTTACCTCAAGCTCATCAACAGCCCAGGGATCCATGACATTTAGTTCCAGTGATAATAATGGAAGTGATCAAAAGAGAAGCTTATTGCAAGAACTTTTATCGTCGCCATCGATGCCTCCATAGAAACATCTATACATTATATATAGATTATATATACTGCTTAACATACACATACACGCGCATAAATACATCCAAAAGCCCACACTTACAACACATTTAACATGTTATTAAAACATAGGTTAACAAAATTCACCAAGTCGCCGTGAAGTAAAAAATAGAATATTTCATTGTTGTTTGAACTTAAAAGAGATGAAAAATTTTATGGAACATTGTGATGATGAATTCGAGTTGTGTTTTTTTTGAAAGATAAAAATAATAGCAAAAAAACAATAACGATCATTTTGATGCCACCCGTTAACTATTTCAAATTGTAATAAAGAACTTGGTAAAAAATATTACCGAGATAACAATTATAAAAAGAAAATCTATATTATTATACCATTATACTTCCTATTAATATACATTATTATTAAAAACGTGTTTTGATCAAGAGACGATTTGGTGATAAATTAAACTCTCAAGATCATTTGAAGCTGCTATTGAGTGTGAAACAAAAATCTGGTGGAAACACTTTGGACCAACTCAAGAGTAAATGATGAAGAAATGATTTAGCTTCACAATGATTCAAGCATTGTCTGAATAACAAGTTTTAATTTTGTCAACAAACATGTTGGTTTATGTTCTTTCCATGTTTGGTGGTGGTTGGAAAATCAAGGTTTCAACAATTTCTTTGTTCGCGTATCTGTTTGGACACCATTTCAACTATGTTTTAATGAGTCTATTGAAAAGACAGAAGGAACTCAGCAACAAAAATCAAAATAAACTGAATTTATTAAGAAACATGGAGACAAGCAAGGAGATAGAAGGATAGAAGTAACTTTTTTTCTTCTGAATGGAACCATCTGAATTTTGTACAAGCTGATCTCAAAATCAAGTGAGCTTGCAAAAAAAACTGATGATGTGGTGCTGTTTTTTGCTTAAACTTGATGATCACATTATCTTCAATTATTCTTTAAACTGAACAAATGATGAAACATTGTGAATTTGTTAAAGTGTCTTTTTGTACAAATTGCTTTGGGAGGGCAAATATTATATTTCAAGCATATGGAACTGATTGTCAGCAGAAAGGTAGACTAGCATACTTGGTTATGCTGAATTATCTCTTTCTCTTTTCCTTTCTTCTCCTTTCATTTCTGCACCTCCTCTCTTTACCTAATCTCTCTCTTTCTCCCTCTCTTGTATCCTTTACCTTTCTACCTTTTTTCTTTGTCTTTCGCTTGTACGATGACGGTTTAAAATTTACTATTGCTGCTGATATGAATAACATTATGAATAGCTGGACCCGCCGTTTGGTTTAATTGTTACCTAAAAAGCTAAACAAAGTTAGCTAGATGACGTTAAATTGGATAAGTGACGTTGCCTGACTGTAAACTTGAAATAAGAGAAATATAAAATGGGCGAAAAGAAAGGAAAGAAAGAGAAAGGTCGATTATGATCCAGCAGCAAACAACATGAAATCAAATCAACTCCAGAAAAAAAACGACGCTTAGTGATCGATCCCATGATAAGCAAATGATAAAACTACAAGACCACAACATAAGGAAACAAAATTTAAAAGTATTGAACCATCTTGATAGATAAGCAGTAAGGAAATGTCAAAATTGATGAAAACAATAGAAAGTATTGTAAACGATTGAATGGAAAATTGAAACAAAAGAAAAGACAAAAGATGGATTCCTTTGGCAAAAAAATTCTATCCTTGTTCCACTTTTGACTTCTTTGTACAAGTCAACTACATTTTGTCACTAACTCAAAAGCAAGGTGATAAGAGATGCAAGGTAGAAGTGGAGAGACCAATCTTGCAACAAACGATATTGTTTCTTTGAACATACTATATATTAATTAGAATGGAGATATCTTTTTATGCTGTTAGAGAATCAAAAGCCTTGAATCATAATTTTCGCTGTTCTGCGAATGACATAAGCTTTAAACAACCATTTAATAATGCCTCAACTCATCATGAACTATATAATATTAATAAGACGATATAAGTGGAAAATAGCCATTTCTCTTGAATTTTGTAAAATCTTTGTTCTCATCTTTGTCTCTTTGACTTTATTTGTTTATCTTCTCACCTTCATCATCACCATCATCATTTTCCTCCAATTTATCCCCTTCTCTTCATTTTCTTCACCAAACTTGTTGCTTTTCTTTTTCGCCTGTTCTGATGACAAAATCTAAAGAAAAGAAAAACTTAAATCAATTTCCTTATAATTATTATAAATATTTCCAAAACAACCTCACTCTCCAATCATCACGATTATCATCATTATCATTCTAATCACCATCAATGGCAACAAGAAATCAACAAGAAGCAATTCATCATCAACCGTCAACAATTTATTGTAATAATCTTGTAATCTTTCAAATTTTCCTTTCTGTTGATCTTATGGAGACAATAACTCATAACTCTTTGCGTACTTGATAAAAGCAAAACGGATCCAAATGTGATTTTGACAACTGATGACAACAAACTGAGAGTAAACTAAAACCAATCAACCTGCTACCGGATTGTTAAATATAATACATAAAGTTTTGTGAATAAGATAAAATTAAGATGTGTATATATAAATATTATATTATATTATTATATAATTGGGAGAGAAAGTTTTATGTGCTTTGTTTCTTATTCGACGAAAAAGATAAATTCTGTCATGCTGATCAAATTGATGAGAAGATGATTTAAATATATTAAATTTACAAGGATGTAAAACCTTTGCCCACACATAAACACCACACCAAGCCATTCTTGACCACACCTTGACACCTACACCGTTACACCTTAACAAGCTAAAGATTATTTGGTCTTTTTTGTTCATTGGAAATCAACTTTATTTTCAATTGGATTACGAACTTTAAAATGGTTTTGTTCACATGTGATTCAAAAAAAAATATGATTTTTTGATTATTTTGCAAGAGATATTGATCAACATACAACAAAAAAAGAGTTATTATGTAAATCAAATGGAAACCAATGAAACATTTTATTCAATTCCTTCTGTGACCTTAATTTCACTTTCGCTATCAAGTATACATCATCATCAACCCTTTTCCTCTCTTTTTTTCTTTCTCTCGTCAAACATTTGTCATCCTTCATTTTCATCTTTTCCGGTTCCTTCTTTTTCTTTCTCATCTTCCTTGCCATCCCCACTTTTCCCATTTAATCTTCATACTTGTTGATATTTTCGGATCTCCTTTCCTAAATTAGTTTTATTAAAATACTATAGAAAACTAAATTTAAACAAATCGTTTCCAATTCATTTAATAACACCAGCTATCGAGCGTTAGAATGGACTATTCCTCTTCAGAAAGTCCACATCTTTTGAATGTGTTGCGATTTTAAAATATCGAGTGACAAAAATACTCGATATAGCTAATGTGCAAGTTCCGTTCGATGACCTGCGAGAATGGCATATTCGATTGCCTTTTATAATCTTTCTGTATATTTGCCTCAAGATATCGTTAGCATAATATTTATCAATTGACCTGCCATTCGTCAAATTTTAGATCTCGGCCAACGGATTTCATTACCGATCTTTTCTTTCAATCCTAAATTCAGTGTTTAATGGTGCAATTATGTTCACAGATTTGTAATTGATGAATTGTCAAATGAGTTATTTTTGAATTTCAGAATAAATCTCTTCCAATGAATTGACAACTGACAAACAATGCAATTTGTCACTTTTTTGTTTTGGCGACTTTTGAAACAACTTTACAGATCTGAGTTGAAAGGAATTGCAAAGATTAACCAAATATTGGGGCATTTTCGCCCATCGAACGGTGCTATTTTCAAAGTCTCAATCAACATAGCAAAGTTATTCGCATATATGAAAATAGTTTATTTTGACAACCACTATAATGAAAGTAATGATACCATTACATAAAATGATTAAAGGTTAATAACACTTCTCTCAACACCATTAATACCAATATTATGATAATAGTCTAGTCTAATCAAACATATTAAAAGCATATCAAACAGGTAATTAAACTCATTGAACTGTTGTTAACGGAAAAATCAATTAATTAATGAGATTGGGTAAAGAGAGTAAATAAAAGAGTCTCGACCAAGTGTTCAACCAATGTAAACATAGACATTAAAATAGCCACAAATGGCCAATGTTGATGAAACTTTGCAGTTGCCTTCAAATAACCCAAAATATTGTCCAATTTTCTGGTTCTTGTAAACATGTTGACTTATGATGATAGGTATGGTGGTGATGATAAACCATTACCGATTCTCGTTGCAGTTGAAATCACTTGAACGATATTTTGTTTAACTTTTTTTGTTTTCTTTGTGTTGTTACTGACAATTCATCCTCTCTGTTCATCTGATGTGGGAAGACAATTAAAAGGCAACTTATACTTCCGTAGAAACCTCATCATCTTCATCTTCATCCATTCCACTAAGTTTAAACATTTTATTACATTCAAACGTTTTTCATTTTCACACATCTTTTTTGTTTTCAGTATTACGCTCTGTTTAATTTTGGAAGTGAAAGAGTTGCAAGGAAATGAATTAACACTTTAAATGACGATTGCAGAGTAACAAATTGACAATTTACTTGAAACCAATTGATACTTTAATTTAATTTTCAATTCTCAACAATTTACCGAGAATCTGTTGCAAGGCAAAGATCCAATTGCAACCTAAAATTTGACATTTAAAATGAAAGCGACTTTAATATTTCAATGAGAAAGAAAAGTGAAGTTGAATCTTTCATTATAAATATGAATAAACTTGAACTTGAATTGTCAGATTCATTTGATTATTCATTTGTTGATCCGTTTAACAATAAATCTAATCAAAACATGATCAAACAACATTAACTTGATTGTTTTTATTTTTTAAATTGTACAAAATTGAATGAGAAAAAAAAGAAGAGTTAAAGTAAAAAAACAAAACAAACCTTTACCTTGATTAATGAGCATCTCAAGTAACTTTTCTTGAAAAGATAAATCTTGATATTTCTCATCAACATAATCATCTCAACCCTTAAGCTCAATTCATCTGATGATAATCATCTTAAATCTTAAATAATTTAATTGAATGGACACCCAAGTGGATGAGTTGACCTTTGACTGTGATAATTTAGACAATTTACAGCAATTGAGCATAAAAGGTATTATTAGTGTTACAACAATAACAGGCAAACCATTGCAAGTGGGTTTCACTGGATGAAAAGAGATGAAACAAAAAAGATATTAAAATGTGGGAAGATTCAGTTCTTTTTTATTAAATACCTTTTCCAACAAAAAAGGGTTGATATAATGATCGTTATTTCATTTAAACTGATGATTATCAATTTAGGTATAAACAGCAAACTTAATTGTTAACCTTGTGGCCAACATTGAATCAACTACTGTTTCTTGGGGTTGGTCTCATCATTTCATCTTCATCTTGTTCATTTTCCCTTGACCATGATTCAAATGATTGGCATTTTGCATCATGTTATCAACATTGAACACCTTTTTACACTTTAAATCTTGTTACACTTAAAATTGAGCTGGTTATGTGAGAGATTCATTCATCCTTGATAACATTCAAATCTCTCGTAATCATCGTCATCATAATTAGTACCATAATCATGAAAATAATCACGATCATCATCAACTACTTCATCAACTAGCAGCAAATAACATTGAATTGCCATTTTTCTGGTCAATTTTTCATCCAAATTGAAATACAACTGATTAACATGTTTATTTAATTTATTTGAAATGATAGCAAAAATGATTAATTAAATCTTTAAAGATGCCAATTTAATGATGTTTAGATGATTTTGTATGAAATGATCATTTAGTCTGTCATGGGAATCTAATCATAATCTTCATTCAATTCAGTTTAAATGTTCTCTGTCAATTAATTATTATTGTTGTTTCGATTTCAATCAAAATGTCATCAGTTGAAAATATATTTTAATTGCTTTTTTTCCTCTCTCGTTATAATGATTCAAATGAGAATGGTTAACGTAATTTTTAATCATCATTTGACCATTAAATCGTAGTTAAATCAACGCAAGTGAAGATAATTTATCAATTGCTACCATTAATTATGAACCTTTTTTTCATATGTTCATTACAATCTTAATTGTTGGATAAATGTTTGTGAGGACAAACATTTTTTATCCCAACATTTAACTTTTCAAGCATCTCAGTCTATTGTCTTTCAAGCTGTCTAATTGTCACTCAAATCAACGTTAATTAGTACTTGTTAGTTTTAATGATACCTTTCCTTTTATTCAGTAATTACAACTATTCTAATTTATTTTCCCTTGTAACGGTTTAATAACTTTTATTTTAAATCGGTTTAAGATGTATTCAAGAGATTCTGTGATTACATTATAATGTGACAATGTTGAGATTCACCTAAATCACATGCAATCTAACGCCAAATGTACAGTTTGCCCACAAAAAAACAACCTTTTTACTTGACTCAATACGTAATGCTTTTAGCTTTTCTGGAAGCAATCGATTAATTATAATCATTGATACCCTAAATAGTAGTGAGATTTGTTGAGAACAGTTGATTTGAACAGAAAAGGAAATTAAGTTCAAGGTTTAGTCGAAGGTTTTTTTTCTGCTTTCAAATGCGAAAATCAGTTTAAATGAATAAATATAATGTAAAGTGTATTAACAGGGAAGTGTGGAAACATTTAATAACACAATTTGATTGACAATTGCAGAGACTAATCAATTTAGAGTTGTTGGTTTATCAAAGAAAATTGCAGGGAACCAAATCGAATAAAATATTGGCTTGAAATGTTGATAATAAATGACCAGTCTTACAGGTGGAAATCATGAATCAGGGAAAACAAGGATCGAGAGCCAGCTTTAGTTGACTAATCAACGCCATTTTCCTACAATCTGAGCATTGTCAATTGTTTCTGGTTATAACGTCCAATCTCAATAATTGATTTATCCATTTTCCTGGTTTTCTGGTCATAATGTTGAGGTGCGTGGTTAAACCTTGGGTATAGCTTAAGAATTATTGGGTTCATCTGAAAATTAAATTATGGTCAATGAGTTATTTATGCTTATATACAAGTCCACCTTTTATGTGTCTCAATGGGTCACTATCTCCACGCTTGTTGTAAGTATTACATGAGATGAACGATTCTGAGATTTTGATTGTGGTCAATGAAATGAGGAAATATTCAGGTCTACCTTGAATCCTCAGTCAAATCTTGACATTCTTTGTCCTGCAATCTCTCCTTTACATGCCTATTATCAACTATTTCTGGTAGATAGCCTTGTAAAAATGAACAACATATAATCCACTTTTGCCTCTATTATTCCGTTTCTTTCAGTTGTTTTCATGTTCATGAGACATTCATCTTCCATCAGTAGTAATCAAGGATGTGCTGACAATCATCATGGCACGTACTTTATAATCAGCTTCTATCATCATTATCATTATTATTATCGTCATCATAGCCATCAGATTTTCACGTTCACGAGAAATGATATAAACTGGCAAAATGGTTCCTTAATGTTGTGTAGTAATGATAAGGGAAACACTAAAAGAGGCAGAATAAAACATGAAAACTGTTCAACAGAACAAAAAAGTCAAGACAATCCGTTTTGGTGGTACAATAAGTAAGAGAATGAGAGAGAAAAAAGAAAGGAAGAAATGAATGTAAAAAGAAGAGAAGAAATAATGAAGAAAAATGATGGCGATGATGAGAGAAACGCCAATAAGAAGGAAGACAAAACGATTAAAGCAACTAAAAGGAAGAGTGAGACTTTTGAAGAGAGAGAGAAGATGAAAACAACTAAAATTATGTCAAATCCATCAGAGAGTCTTAGCAATGTGTTTAAATTTGGTTAATATTGATAGTAACCGGATCCATCCTCTGTGTGTTGATCTATTAAAATCCATGGCAAATATGGCATCCGATGGCCTCATCAAAGAATGCTTCATTTTTCATTGTTTTTGCGTTTAATTGAATAAGTAAAAGTGAAATGCACTCTTTGATGGGTACGATTCAAGCGTCTAACATTTTATAGTTCACCCAGTGAACCTCTCGCTCAAAATTTTTGAAATATAATTTTGTCTCTTATACAATTACTTTGTATGCGAAATGTACTGTTTAACAAACAGATATTAAAGGAATAAGAAAACACGTCATGAAATAAAATGAAGGTGGATGAACTATGGAATTGTAAATGGTTAGCTGACAATGTTTATTTTGGCTTTTGTCAAACCTCGGCTAACCATCGTAACCGTCGAACCAGAAAAGATGGCAAAGACTTGTTTATTAATCGGTATCGCCATGTTTTAGACTACTAACATTGAGAAGTCACAAGTTTAAATTTCCACGAGCTGAAAATGAATATCTCAAGATGAAAACAAAATACAGCATTGAATTTAATCTTCAAAAAATAAGTTATCAAATCAAGTTGCCATCAAGTGATCTTTTCATCTCACAATTGAAGTTTTTTAATATTCAAACCTCAATACTCGTGAACTAACTTTTGTAAGCTTTATGTGCATAGACAGGTAAAGCTGGCACAACATTGAATGGTATTTTCGGGATTGTACACAATGTATGTCTTATAAGCCATTCAGCCATACTTAATGGTTTTCTTCTCCAACTTAATTGTTACTGAAATCAAAATTGAATTGATTACCTTGACTTACTCTTTCTTTTCTTCCTTTTCTGTTCTCTTCCCTCTTTCCCTTCTCTTCCTCTGTCCATCGAATCAGCTGACAGGCAGCCTTTCTTTTCAATTTCCCTCTTCTTCTCTAGCTGTTTTAAAGTTACTCAAGTTAAAAGCTTTACTGTTTTCTCGTGTAGCCTTAAGAATATGCAACCGATTTATAATATTGTTTATCTTTTGTTTTCTATTGTGACTTCTGTAAATGAATGGATATAAGAAAATCAGCTTTAACTGTGATTTTTTATTCTGCCAAACAATTCAACTGACATTTCAAGATTATTGTGGTCAGCATGTTTCTTAGTTTAACTGTAAGTTACCAATACTCCTTTGCCATATGACTCTTTGACACATTTACTCTTTTCCCTTCTCTTGCAGTGATGGCGAGAAAGATTTTCATCAAATTATTTCAATCGTGTCTCAGATCCATGTCTTGCTACTGTTTCTATTTAAATGGCAACCTGAAAAACAGTCCAACATTGAGCTGTTGAAGGAGGAAGCTAAAGCTATCAAAACCGGTGTTTAATGTTGGGCACTTCAATAGGCATCAAGATGTTTATTTTAACATCCGCCTTTCTTGACAATTTTAACTCTTTTTTAAGTCATCAAACAAAATGAACTGTTACTTTTTTGCTGTTACTACCTTAAATTTCCAACCTTTAATTACGACGCTTCAAGCAATACTGGTAATCGTGTACGTGTTTTCTCTTTTTTCGCTCAATTTCTGTTTTTTTATTCTGGTTTTTCTTTCATTTCATTGCTAATTCTCCCTTTTTTCTTTCTCTTTCACCAATCTCTAATTAATATAGCACATTTCCACTCTATTGTCAAAGATAATCTGTTCAGTGATGAAAACTCCCGCCTATTGTAAATTCAAAGGGGAAAAAAGTTGACAAAGAATCCCTTAGATTAGCAATCATTTTCATACTGATTCCTTGTTTACGGGTCAATAACAAGACTAGCAACAGAAACAGCATAGTCTAACAACAATGAAATGTTGATTTTTCAGTATGCTAATCACGATCCGTCTGTGATCAGATTACACAGGATGATTGTTCAAGAAATAGCCAAAAAATCGTAACAAATCTAGAAAAATTATTAACTTTATAAAGCAACCATGGCATCAAAAACAAAAGGTAAACCAGTCTGGTTACATTCAAATCATTGCATAAAAAGATAAATTTTCAGGTTAGAAAGTGAGTACACTCAAGAGAAGGCAAGATTTTTTTTCTTTGAAGTCGTTCTGCAACTTTGATTATCAACTGATCACGAGTTTTATCTGCAAATGATCCAAAATATCAACATAAACAGAATAATCATTGCAAGTTCAATTCTAATTCTTTTGTCTCGCCATTTTTCCTTTTAGACGCACTTAAACCATGGCAACTAATGTGTTACGAGACATAGCCAACAAATTGGGAATATAAAACGTCCAAAAATCTTTGAGGAAAAAATAAGTTTCAAAGGATGAAAAAGATACAAGAATGGAGCCAATGGACTCTGAAAAAATTTACAAGTAAAGCCCAACAGATTACTGCTTTTGAATTCAACACTCATTCTTTATCAATTTGACAGGTCAGTCACACTGTAACTAAGTAATAAAAGATATAATTCTGATATGTTTCAAAAAGAGGCCTGAAATGTAAAAGGATTTCATTTTGAAAAGGTAGAGGTGGTCTTTGATCTAGAATCAATCCTGGTTAAGTTGATTTATACAATAGTATGGTTAAATCCCGGCAAACCAAGCGTACATAACATTTTTTGGTATGAGTTACACAACTTCCCCAGTTACGTCCAACGATGCAGTGCCAAGTTGGTTCAAAGGCTCGATCAAAGTCTTGTTTTATGCTCTCGGCGATATGCTTCTCTGTATTATACAATCTCAAAGCTTGCAATGCACTTTCAATGGCTGATCGTTGCATTAACGGGGACATATCAGCTGCTTGTATTTTCAATTCTCGATTGATTTCTTCATCGCTCATGATTGATCCTGTTATAGAAAGCCTTCGACTGATATCCATCCTTTCCTTCAGACTTGAATTGGATTGGGATTTGGATCTATTAAACAGAGAGGAAAAAAATCAATGAATCGATTTGCAAGTAAGTTTCAAATTGCCTCAACTTTAAGAATTTTGTCCATCAAGCATTTCTAATTCTTATCAATTTTTATCATTTTTTCTCGAAATAGATTCACTAATCCTCTGCTGAAAACGTATTCTTGTAACGTAACTTCAATAATTGTATTCCAAATGACACATTAATATGAGATTCCTGTTGAATTACATTTCCGGCTACCAACAAGTTGATGTATCACAACAACAAACTGTAACCCTAATTCATGACCCGTTCTCAGATTGTTTCATGGAAACATACTCGTTATAACTTGTTGACTTGTAGAGAAAATTGAAAAGGAATTCACAAGAAGAATACCAGCAGATAAAATGGAATGAGAAATTATCATTTCACCTAAAAGTTTCTATCTTCCTTTTAACTTGGAATTTTATTAACTTCCTTTTTCTCAATACTTTCTCACAGATAGTAAAATCGATACAAATTTTTCATTGAAATCGGACTTTTTATGCATTTTATGACTAAAAGAGCAGAGATTTGCAGTTAATTCGTAATTCATCAGAGTATCAATTCATTCACCTCTTCTCAATTTACTCACAAAACATTCGATGTTCTTGGCAGGAAACCATTGGTATCAGGAATTGGTGGAGGTGGAGGTGGGTGAGGCGGTTGTCGTCCAGGGTTTATGCTCTCTAAAAGGGTCGTTGGCTCTTTTAAATACAAAAAAAAAGAAATACAAAATGAGAATGTTATGAAAACTTCTGATCGCTGGCTGACTTGTTCAACAAAAATGATGTAATATAATGGAGATATTTTGTCATTCATGTTTATATGATATTACACCCTTTAAAGACTATCTACATATTTACTTAAACATGTCTAATTTATTTTGAATGGTTTCATATTGTTTTCAAACTCTATCAGGTATGTCTGCTAGTTAATTATGCTACCAAATTATCACCATTAATATTCTTTCATCATTTCAGGATCATTTCATTTCGAGTTTATGCTGAAATTAGAAGACGAAAATTGGAAATACATACTTTTATTATGGTAACTTGGATCACTTTTTTTCGCTTTGTTATAAAAGGAAACAGCGCACATAACACTGTACAATCGGAGTAGTGTTAATAGGCCAATGATGGTTGCCACGAATATATCAGTTGTACCTGAACTTGACTTTATATATGGACAGGAGAAAAGGGGAAAACAAGAAAAATGAATAAGATAAACATGCCAATAATGCGATTTGTAAATAACCTGAATATTTTTTGGCTTTTGTTTTTGTTTGATCATCAAGTAAACAAAAGAGACAAAAGGCAGGATTGCGACTAAAAAAATCAAAATGAGAAAAGCAATCAAGCAATCATCAAGAACCAACAAGAGATCAACAATAAGATACAAAAAAACAACAACTTGTTAGATGCACCAACTGGCGTCAAGCAAATATCAAATCTTCAACTCTCAATTACAATGTAAATTTTACCGACACGAACCGTTTGATTGATCACTATTGCTATCAAAGGTTAATTTATGAATCTGATCTACACCAAAGGCTCTAAATACTATCATGATGATCAAGCGTTTATAAAAGATTCAACACCAATTGACAGTAATATAATTGTAATACATGATAAGAGTTGCACTATTATTATTTAGTAGGTGGATCGAGTTTAGTGTGTGAGCGTGTAATTTATTTTGAAGCGTATTTTCGTTGTGTGCAAATTGCTTAGGTTGAAATATTCTTGTTAATCAACCAAATTTCTCATATTATTGACAACTTAATGAATCATTCGATTTTATTCGTTAGCCATTTTTGGATACTCATTTCAATGTTAAGTGTTTACCAAATTGTATTGAACATATTTATCACAAATAGAGCTGCATTTTGAAGGGGAACCACGAAAATAACCAAAGGCCTAAGATTCCTATTCCATTATCAATCAATATTCAACTAGTAAATTGATTTCCTTATTTACTATTTATCCAAATTCATCACTGGATATTTTATTTCAATAATTATCATCTTGGACGAATTTCATGCCAGATATTCGTAATAGAGTTTCGTGAAAGTTCATAAATCATTACCATAGGCTCAATTATTCTCACTAATGAACCTAAACAGAGTAAAATCAGATTATAAAACCAAATTATTGTACTGGATATATTTGTTATCCTGGATACTTGCAGCTTTAATTGTTGTATTAAAATGAAATTAATTTTAAAGCTTTGAGTTTGTATAAAACAAAACAATAATTGCTAAATCACCTGATGTCCCTTGATTGTTGCCGTAGGTGATTCTAACAATAAAAGTCTAATAAATTAAATGAAATTCAAGTTTCTTTCTCCTCTCAATGTTAATTAATACCTTCTGAAACACTGTTACTGGTTCTCTATCAATCTTTTATTTAAAACTAATTTTGGTAATTTAGCAGACTTGCAAATAACCCATAATTACACAATAAATAATGAAATTTAACACTTTCTTGGATCATTACATAAGAAGATTGATTAATGATGAAATATTCAAAATAATAATTTGGATTCATACTAATTAAGATTGAGCAACAAGAGCACAAACAAAATTCTGATCCTTTCATTTAACCTTAGCTTAACATTAACCCAAAAAGCATTCCCTTAAGCTTTTTTGCAAGTGCTGCCAGCTTTTGTCTCAATTTTCAACCATCTCCAATATTCGTTTTCAACTTTTGGTTAAACTTCAACAATTATAAATCCTATTGAAATGGACTTACCTTAAGAGTAGTTAAACGAAGTGCAATGAATGAAGTTAACTGATTGTGTTCACCAGGTATAAAAGGTATTCTCATTTCCATAGGAAAATGTCGATTACGAAGAACATACTACAATTGAAGAGATGAAAGCAGTTGATTAATGATTACTTTAACGATACAAACAATTCTCATTGAAATATATCAATTTACTAACCATAACAATACGAACCAACACAAAACCAGCGCTAGCAGCTATATCGACAACAGCAAAAACAGTTAATAATAATATTGTTTTAACTGATACATCCTTCTGTAAATTTTAAAAAAAGAAATAAATTAATCAAATAGTCGTAATTAATTTCAATGAATAATCTTACAAAACAGAGTTGATGAAAACAGTTACACTGGTAGCTGCACTTAACGCAACAAATTGGGGTTTCAGTTAACGCAATTTTTAGGTGTCGCCATCTTTGGTATTTCATTGTTTTAGATACATTAATATGTAAATAATGGTCAACCTTGAAGATAATTGCATGATCTAATAGATGGCGACTATGGTAAAAATTGACCCATTTGTTGCGTTAAGTGCAGCTACCAGTGTATTAATACATGCTAACTGTCTTAACCGATTAGATGCAAATACATATTTTAATCAACGTTGATACTTTGATATCATGTTACATTTATACTAATGCATTTTAAGAATCAAGTTAATGCAGTAGATTGACCGCAATCCGTCAACTTAATCTATTAGTCTGCATTCGTTTTCAACAATTTACAATGACTTCTCGATCTTTAATTATTATAATTTGTTTTATCATGCAATTTTATTGTTAATGTTGTTGTTAATTTTCAACACTTTTCCTAGCAACTCATCTTTTCAGTCCATTCAGATTCAATTTTGATTCTCCAATATTTTCGATAAGCAATTTGATTGATAAGTGAATCCTGATGGTCATTTCAACTTGGACTGAAGTGTTGATTCAAAACGGTCAAAGTAAATGATAAAAAGTGCAATTTGACTGGAACACACAGTTTGAACTTTAGCCACTTTTTTACTTGTAAATTATTACATTGTATACAAAATGATAAATGGCAGCTCACATCAGGATATTTTTGTATTTAATCAATAGCTCTATTGATTGTCTCCTAACCTAAAAGTATCTCAACTGTTAACACCTTCCTTGGCATTCAATTAGGTTTGCTTTCCCTGTATGACTGTGTATTAACTTACAGTTACTATTCAATTTTGACCCTTTAATCATTGTTTTCATTACAGCATAATACACTCAACTCAAAGGTACTATTGGATGTTAAAGAAAAAATAAGAACAAATCTTCACAATCAAAGTGACGAACTGTTGTTGGCTCAAAATTAACCATACAATACACTAAATTGTGCAAAATTGTAAATAAAAAATAAAACGAGTGAAACTGGAGTATCCAGTACTTCAATGGCCTAATCAACTTGCAAAAGCATCTTCAAGATTCTCTACTATTTACAATAAATTAATTGCACCAATTTGATGAATAAACTCACTGATGTGTGATCTTCTTGGACTGTATATGACATCCAGGTCCAGCTTAAAATGTACACGATAACGAAGATGACACTCAAAAGGAGTGTTGTTCGTGAAGACCATAATTCACCTGAAAAACAAGAGACAAGAGAAATGTGTTTAAAGGAAAGTTTGCTTCTTAATGATATCTATTAACACAAACTAAATTAGTTAATTGCATGGTTAGTTAACAATTTTCAAATTATAGTTGAACACAATATCTTTATCAGCTTAATTAATTGAACAAATTAAGACGCGAAACAAGGTTAAGTTAAGAAAGTAAACGCAAAAAAGTTGATTATTAATGAACCTCGGATCAGTGATAGTGATAGTTTGAAGATCAACAGTTGACTGAAGGTTGGTTAAATTAATGACAGCAAACACACAAAAAATGTTAACTGCAATGTAAAGTGATCATTATTTAAAAGTATGCAAGTCTTAAAACATGTGAAAAGTTTGATTCTAATCAAGAGTTGAAAATGTAATTTAACTTTAACCAAGGTTGGATGAGCAAACATTCAGTATGGATATAAGTTTGGATAAGTTACAAAACATAACTTCAATTTTCATCATCAATATTGATTTGGTTGGTTGATTTAGACTCATTTTGATGGTGAAAAGTTGAAAGATGATCGAAGTCAGAAATATATAAATAAACGGAATGATCAATCAAATGGTGTGATCGAGAGAAAGCTGATTGTAATTTCATGTTTACCTCAATGAATTTGATAGTGAGACGAGAGTTTTCATATTTTTTCAAACCAATTGTTATTAAACCCTTCTTGACCTTAATCAATGTGATCCCTATTAACTGTAATAACTTGTTGACTGTTCAACTTGTCTAATTGTTTCATATTTGCTTTCAGACTTTTCAGGTTCATCATTGTCATCACTTAGACTGATTCCTGTTCAACTGACTACTTTTCATGTCAACTTTGGCTCATTGTTTCAAAGGCAATTGGGATTCGTGTTGACCCTAAATTAAGGTTATAACTTACCAATTAAAATGTTTAAATCTTGCTTCAATGACTCAATCTGATGATTTACCGAATTGATCATTTGTAGATCATTTGATAGCGACGCTTTCGTTGAATTGTTGAGACGATGAAGAGCGGCTGATGAAGATGGAGGTGATAACCAATTGTTTGATATATATTTGAGATAATTTACTTCTCTATTTACATCGTAAAATTTACTCGTTAATAAGATGAGAGCGAAAAAGGAAAGACCCTGTTAAATGAAAGAAAATAATCATTAGATTAATCATGATTTTAGTTTACGATCAACAGATTTGATATGAAATTTGTTTTGACCCACAATTTTGCCTATTATTTGTCAGTAAATCATGTAAAAGAAGCCATTTAAAATACATGTAAAATGATGATTGATTTAGTTTGTTAATAAACTTGTTGATCAATCGTGATTTTTATCATTTTTACACAAATTGTCCTCACTTTTAGCTTTGTGGACATTTAAATTGGTCAACTTTACCAGTTTGTGGAAGCAATTGAATATGAAATTGTCAGCAAATCATTTACTTTCCGTATTTGAGTGAAAAATTGGCTTCACAATTGTCAGTAAAGCCAATCAACTTTTCAACACATTTCAAGAAAATCAATGTTTGAATGTTATAAATAAATATTGATCAACAAACTTGTACAAAGTCATAAATGATTTGTAGGTAAAAACGAATCTCAACTGTTCTGAATTAGATTTGATTTATAAGTCAAACGAATTGAAATCTGGACAGTTACAGAGATCGAGTGAAATGGATAAGTTTAGGCGATTTGAGAGCTAGACAATGTGATATGTTGAAACATACCATTGAAAGTGATCTCCATATTTTTGATTTGTAAGTTGCAAGTTGCAGGTTTTCATTACAACTGAAGGATGAGTAATGATTATGGTGAATATGGTGATGAAGGTTGGAGGGACGAGAACAGTAATTTGATTCAAATGTAGTTGATGAAGATTGACGAGGATTTGAATCAGTGAGGTTGGTTAAATGGCTTGAAGATGTCATCTTTGACTCGGTTAATCCACAGGTTACATGTTTCTTGCAAATTGACCAGATTGAGTTAATAACTGATATCAACATAATATAAAAACTATTAAATTAGTAAATCAAATCCTATTTGCACGAAAACATATCCAAGTAAACAAGGCAAAAGAACACTTGAACTAGACGAGGTTAAAAGGTAAACTGAGAGTTGGACTCGAAGTTAATGAAAATGAAGATGAGAATATATGAGTAAAAATGAAGGTTACCTGATGAAAACTGTTACAATAAGGACAGTGAAGAGGTAAACTTGACTGTCAAAATTGTCACAAATATTAGTTAAATAATAAGAGTAAAAATATCAACATTCAACTTTTCATTTTAAAAACTGACACAACAGTAACAACCGTCGACAGTGAGCAGCTGAAACAAAATTTCACGGTTTACAGTTGAAAAGTTGAATTGTGAGCACTTTTCAAAGTAAATGAATCGAAGCAAAATTGAAGAGTATTTAAGATGATGATGAGGATGAAAAAAGGCTGACAAAAATGATGATTTACTGGTTACCTAATACAATAGATGAAGGTTGTTACTTGGATTCACATCTTTACATGAAAACACGGTTAGTACTTTAATGTGTCTTCGGTTTAATAAAATAGATGTTAGTAACCAAGAATTAAAGTTTACAATCAACAAGAATAACAATTCACGTGATGTTTGGAGGTGGTTGAGGGTGGTGAGTTGAGTTTGATTGGGAAGAAGCCGATTCACCTCATTTCTTGGCCCTCCAACTTCTTGCTCTCTTGCCTCTTCTTTGGCCCATCTTGAGCTTATTTATGTTTCTTATTTTACCAACCTCTTTGATTATACCCTTAACAGTGGCCATTATTGACTTGATGGTGATTATCATCATTTAGTTAAATCATTGGTAGTCAGTGTAAATAGTAATCAAATTGAATAAACACATTATTTAATAGCACCATTTGTCCATACAAATAAATACAATGGATGGCTGTGTTTAGATTTATGATTTAACTTGTTGTTGATTGTTTAGATAATAGCGAGGTTTACCTTTTGTTTTCATTATTGTATTGTTGGTAAACAATTTGATTGATCACTAATATTTATGCATATCAACTTACTTAAACATGTTAACATCATGTTGTCTTTAGTTCTGTTTTTTCATCTCAGATTCAGTTGATTGTTGTAAACATTGTGATGAACTGATTGCTTTCCATTAAATTAACTATTCAACTATTTATGAGCTGTTGATCAATTGTTTGTCCAATTTTGTCTACTAGACTAAGCTACTCTTGACATCAATTTTACTCTTTCTATTGATTTAATATTAATCTGGTGATTGTGCCCTTTTTTGAATTAATGTACCCAAATCTTAACGGTAAATGGTTAAGATTTAAGGCAACCTCTGAGTACACTTTGTTGGTTGCTACTAAAAGACACAACTAACACCATTGTACACATTTATACACAAAGTTACACAAATTGAAACAAATGGTTAGGAACGGTTAAAAATTGTTTTCTTTCAAATTTAGACTCTGATGGGTTGTAACGACATGAAAACTGAATCCATTTGTGCTATTTTAAAATTTCTGCAGTCCACAGTTTTAGAGAAAATCGCTTTCAAAGTTGAAACTTGGATAGCATTTTGTACAATTAGGGAAGCAGATTTTTTCGTGAAACTTATTCCCCTAATGTAATTTTTGATGGCCGACCAGAAACTGCTATTATTTCGCGAAATAAAATTTCCTGATCAAAATAAAATAGATAAGTTCGATTTTCAATTGAAACGATCGAAATCTGCGGTCGTATGAGTTAGAAAGCTGGAACTTATTATTAACCCAAGAAAATTGTTGATACACAACATGAAACAATTAATTTTTTGTAATTATTAACAGTTCTCTTGATTTTGGACATTAACCCAAAAACTTTGAACCTCGATATTTCGACAATGGCATCACCTAAAAGTCTCATTTTTTGCCCAAACATTAGATTTTGTTATGGGCAATAACAAGACATGACTGAAAACCGAATAAATCTGAGCTAATTCATCTGATAGTGAATCTTCTTCTAACACATGACGAGTAACCATTTACCTTTGTCAATCAAGTATCAAATCTTACAACCTGAGTAATAAAATGTTATAACTTGCTTCGTAGTTTCTTGAATTATCTAAAAACTTCAATATATCATAGCCCATAACAAAATCTAATGTTTGGGCAAAAAATGAGACTTTTAGGTGATGCCATTGTCGAAATATCGAGGTTCAAAGTTTTTGGGTTAATGTCCAAAATCAAGAGAACTGTTAATAATTACAAAAAATTAATTGTTTCATGTTGTGTATCAACAATTTTCATGAGCTAATAATAAGTTCCAGCTTTCTAACTCATACGACCGCAGATTTCGATCGTTTCAATTGAAAATCGAACTTACCTATTTTATTTTGACCAGGAAATTTTATTTCGCGAAATAATAGCAGTTTCTGGTCGGCCATCAAAAATTACATTAGGGGAATGAGTTTCACGAAAAAATCTGCTTCCCTAATTGTACAAAATGCTATCCAAGTTTCAACTTTAAACGCGATTTTCTCGAAAATTATGGGTCAGAGAAATGTTAGGATTGCACAAATATATTCAGGTTTCATGTTTCTACTAAGCCTACCAAGTCTAAACTCTTAACTCGCATTTTCGAGTCTTTGGCAGCATTCTATGCAAGTTTAAAGTTAGTTTAACCAGAAAATTGGTTTATTTACCAAGAAATGGGTTGAGATGAGTTTTGTTTGTGAATAAGTTGTTTCTCATACATTTAAAGGCCAAATATCATGACCCAAAAGTTATTAGTGGAAAGTTATTAAATTGCATTTAATTATTAATTAGTAAAGAACTAAATTGGGCAAAGAAAGACGACTGTAGCTGCCATTATTATCAAAATATCGAGACTCAAAGTTTTAAGGCCAACGGCCAAAATAGAGAGAACTGTAAATATATTGAAAAAATTATTTATGTCACTATGTGTGCCAACAATTTTCACAGACATATATTGAGTTTAAGCTCACTAACCCTTACGGTCATAGAATGCGATCGGTTCAACTGTAAATCGAACTGATCTGTTTTACAGAAAAAGGAAAGTTTAGTTTCTCAAAATAAGTGCTTTGTCTGGTCGACCATCAGCAGTTACATCAGTGAAATGTTTTTGATAAAAAAATTTGCTTCCATATCTGCACAGGAGGGGATCGAAGTTTCAACTTCGAACCCGATTTTCTCGAGAACTGTTCATCAGAGAAGTCTTTTAATTGCACGAATGAACTCAGTTTTCAAGTCCTAATAGACTAACAGATTCTTAATTTGGAAAAAATTGATTTTTATCCGTTTTTACCCACTTTGTTCTCAAGTTTGATGCTTAAATGTGACAATCGTGTCAATTGTGTCTTTCTAGCAACAAATCAATTTGTTTACCTTTAATGGCTAATAAATTTATGGTAATACAATAGATTCAGATTTTATTATAACTCTAAGGGGGTCAAAACAATATTCAGAAAGGGTTTACTTACCAGTTCTATGCATCGACTTTGGTGAAGTTTGATCAACTTGCAATTCCATATCTTGGAAATGGTGGAAACTAAAGATGAACGCTTCGATTTGAAATTAACGTTGCTTGTTGTGATCAGTTGACCATCACTTTGGTGATTATAATGAAATGATCGGCCGAACCTCGAATAATAAAATAATGGTTGATTCAAAGCGGAGTTTGACATTTTATGTTGCATATCCATAGTAATTTGTCAAGTTTTAATGTCAATAACAGTTCAAAGCCAAGTCCAGAACAATTTATTAGGAGCAAATGGAGTAAACTTTCATTAGTCAAATATCAGTCTAAATCACTTGGTTCATGAATGATGACTTCATTCATTTACAATGATTTTTTATTATCATATCGTAAGTAAAATGAATTTGGTGATGATTTATGATGAAGTGAAATGAAAATACTTGGAAATAAAAGTTGTGGTTAACCAAATTGAGATCATTTTTTAATAAACATTGAATTGAAAAATAAGGTGAAAACACAGCGACTTTCGGACAATTGATTTTGCATACAGTTTTAAGTTTTCAATTTATATGTTGATAGACTGAATAATATTATACTCTGAATATGAAATGGTGGTTAAAAAGAGTAAGATGAAAATAGAAACAAAAAATAACTTCTGTGATGAACTTGTCGAGTCTGGTAATTGGGATGACAGGCAAATGAGACAATGAACAATCTTGATTAAGATGGATCAAGAAGATAATATTAAAAAATAATATTCTATGAATGAGAATAAGTTTGAAGGAGGTGGTAAAGGAGGAGATAAAAGTGGTGAGAACAATGAATGAAGGTGTAAAAATGAAATTGTGAACTAAATCATCATTGAATCAACATTTTTCCAGTTTCTGTGTCACTTTGCTTAATCGTAATGACTCTTCAATTGCACTCTATTGATACAGTTTCCTCGGTTCGTTAAGACAACAGGTAAGCAGAAATTGGTGAAGCTTCTTGTTGATCCTCATTTTCATCTTTCTTTGGCTTCTTCTTTCGTGATTACCGATTCTCTATTGGATTGTCAGCCTTTTGCGTGGTTTATCGCTTAATATCATTCTCTATGCTTTAGTTATCTTCTGGTTGACCTTATCATCACTACCATGCAATTTACATCTTCTTCCTCTTCATTCTCCTCCTTCTTCATTACGGACTTTTCGCTCCTCTATCCATTCAACATTGCTTCAATGGATTCAATCCTTTCATCCTTTGATCCTTTCTTTTGTTTTCCGATGGATTTACTCTGATCAACATTGACACTTCACTTAATTGGCCTTTTAATCAAGCTAGAAACAGACTAAGAGTTGAAATCTGGATAAAACGAGATGAATTGAGAGACGGATAAATAACCAGATTTTTAGCCTCAACTTTAAGCTTTATGCACGCTCGTTGGGCTTGATAAACATTAATAATTATTGGCTTTTATTCATTTTGCTTTAGTTAACATTGATAAGTTTGCTTTAATTATGCTGATGAATTGAGGATATAGTAAATAAAATAACGTCAAAAAATTCAAGGAATTATAACATTAAAATGGATATTCAGAGGTAAAACGTTTTGAGCGATTTTCAGATCTCGATCAAAGGACTGAATTGCGATTTGATACATTCGGAGAAAGGTAATGGATCAGAATAGTTATTTAAGTTTTAAATCATTTTTAATGAAATTAAACCAATCTGTTTCATTATAAAACTTTTCTGGTCACAGAGACTTTCCCAAAAGTCATGTACTGTTCGCTTGAATCTTCATTGTTCACATTATTATGCATTAATTCAGGTGAAACTCATGCAGTTTGATCATCTTTTTGATTCCATTTTGTGTTTTATTAGTCGTTAGTTAGTTGATCATTAAAACAAATCATCCTCGTCATCTGTCCTTTCGAATAGGGACAATTTAAATGATAAAATTGCAATACTACTTTATATCATTATCATTATATTTGCTTCTTATTTTGATTGCGTGATGTGAATTATTATATTCATTATTCTGTCCATTATTTTCAATATTTTTCTTTCCTCTCTTTCTTGGTGAATTCAAGTTCAAATAATGATGAGCTTTCGATTCGCTATATTAAACTAAATCTATTTGGTTATTTAGTCACTCTATTTGTTGATGCTTTGACCTGGTTCTTATTTTGATACAACATTTTGTGTCAATTTTTCAACCTTTTGCTTTCCTCAGTTTAATTCACATTCACAATTGAAGAACAATTAAAATTTGTATAATTAAAGTGAACACGATGATGATTACTGAATTATAACCATATGAAACATGACAAATGTAATTATAATAGAAATGTTGGGGAACAATAAACTAACACAATTCAAGTGTAACCAGGAAATGTGTGGTTAATTTAAATTGCCTCTTAAATCAAATAAAAACTTATCTTATTTCAGACCAACAGTAGCAGCTAATTCATTCAAGAACTTTTATTACCAACTGATGAAAGAAATTAATAATAATCAATATCAAGCATCAGCCAAATCCATTTGTTTAGTAATACGAAGACTATTTTTTAGATTCACTGGTCAAGTCATAAGTTTAAGATCCGATTCGGTGAAAAGTATATGAGTGAGTCTATTCCGAATTAGACTGAAAACAGCTCAAAATCAATCTGAAATGCGAATGAAATTCGAACAATTACAATGGTTATAACTTTAAAGTGATTTCAAGTAAATCAATCAAGGAATTATTATATCCTTACAACGAAATGACACAGAAATTAGAAGAATGTAAGAAATGAAATTGAAGTCCATCAATTAACATTGATTGAATGTTGCTCTCTTCAGATTTCGTTTGCTTTTCAACCATTTTCTTGATTTGGACCCAAAATTAAAATGGTATTTGGTAGTTAGGGAAACCAAAGTAAAATAAACCAATTTTGATCAATAACTCTAGAGTAGATTAAGGGTCACCAAAGCTTAACTGAATCACGGACTCGATGGGATGAACATTAAATTTAGTTACAATAAATGTGGTAAGTTGAGGTAATGAACATAATTTCTTAGTTTCCATCTAATTGTGATTTGGTTGAGTGCCTTTAATATTTTGGTCAGTTAATTGGTAAAATCCAGGGACCAGGTAAATATGTGGGTTATCAGGTTAAACTCTGGAACAAAATTGAAAGCAAAAGAGTTGATTTTGTTTGGTTGATCAGTCACTGCCTTTTGTAGACTCGACAATGTAACAAGTTAGCTATCGATAGCTAATAATTCTGGATATCTTTGAAAACCATCGAAAAGTTAACCTCATTTGTTTATTGGAATGGAAAAGTCACCTAAATTTAGTATCAATTTGATTTGTCAGTGACAACATTAGATTTTTACCGTTAAATTGTGACAATTGTGAGATTTATAAACATGAATACTTTCCAATCTGTTTTGAACCATCGTTACCTTAAATGCTCTCGACCATGGATCGGATGTTTATTTGTGGCCATTTATACAATAGTAAGTTTCATTGTCCATATTAAGAGGACACTTGGATAATGACTTTTCGTAATTTTTTACAGCTAACATCTATTTTCGATCTTTTTTGGAGCATTTATCGACTTCTTGACGAACATCATCCATTTGTATTTTTCCTTTGTGAGTAACATTAGCATCTAGATTATTACTTCTAATTGTGATTTAGTCTAAACATATATTTGGTACCTTCATGATACCAAAAATCTTAATTATGTATCTCGGTGCATTTATACTCAGACTTATAATCAATTTGAATCTAATTTTACTTCGCTGCTTTTTTATTCATAAATGGACGATCTATCTTCATCGATCTCAATATTTTTGGTAATCCCATCTGATCCAGTTTTTATGCTAGCATTGGAAAGCATCGTGTTCTTAGCTGTTTCCTGTTTTATGGTGTTAGCTTTAATCAAAGTAAGTCAAATTATATGCAACGAAAATTCGATAAACTACAAAATTAGATCGCTATTTTGCTCATAATTTAGACACTTTGAGACACTTGTAATGTGATTGAACATGTAATTATGGAGAAGAGTAAGAAGTCATAATACAAGCAGAGTAAATATTAATAAAGGCAATAAAAGCAATAAAGGTAGACTTATTAAATAATGTTACTTATATTTTTCATGATAAAACCCAGAACATAAGATGGTTGCTTTTGCCTTGGATGATTATTGCCATTGTTGACATAACTTTAGCATTTGCCTTGCTATTTGTTCAGATTTCATTACCGGTAAGTGATTAGATTAATTAACGGGAATCTTGGATGCTAACCTAATTGTAAATCCATTTATTAAATAAAACACAGAACCGTGATTATGGAGCTCCATGTGTAATGGCTGTCTTTGAATTGGCAGTCACCATTTTAGTCCAAGGAGTTCTGGTAAGCCTCAAACTATCACAAACCAAACCGAATTGAATCTTTTATTAATTTGGATAAATTAATTGATCCATTATTTTACTCAAAATATCGTTAAAGGTTTATGGATTGCTCTTGGTTTTCAAATATTATGTAGAGCTGGATGAAAAACGCGGTAAGAACTTTCAAAATGATCCAACTTCAATCCATTTAACATCAATATTTGATACTAATTAAAGACCCTTAACTCTTTCTCAACCTTAATAGTAGATACAATTACTAAAGTGGCCCCACATCAGGATATTGTTTCAATCGATCGAAGAGATGATTCAATAGAAGTAATGAGCCTTCAAAAAGATGACGAATGAAACAAAAACAAGATTAATTGGCGTTATTGTAACATTAACACTCGAGTGTTTATCTCGAAGATTGAAACTCTGGAAATCGACGCTTATGATTTTTTACAATTCATTAGTAACAGATACAATGATTTAATTACGGCATTACGGTGCATTCTTCTGCTTTTATGCTAATCAAATGTCCAATCATTCACAAAAAGATCACCAAACAATACTTCATTTCATTTTTTAATTGGTCTTTTTATTCATCAATATTTGTAAGACCTAAATACAAAATACTTTAATCATTGTAACAACTTGTTGGTTTGATTAAACTTGAAAATTTACAAAACTTTAAACAATAATTGTTTTTATTTGTGATTAATAAAAATAAGCTTTTTAATAGTTACGTTAAGTAATTTTGCATCACATGAATTGAACATTTGGTAGAAAATTAAAATTTGATGTATGCAATCCATAAAAAGAGTTGACTTTTCAAAATTATTAAATACTAAAAATCACAGAAGTGATATGAGAAGGAAAACTTAAATATATTTGCTGTATCGCAGCACAATTCAATGGCTTATCCTGCCACTGGGTGCTGTAATCTTTTTGCGTTGATCAGCGTTTTGATTCATCTTTAAGTTAAGCTCAGTTGATATTTGACAAAGCCGATTGTAAATAAAACATATTTGCAGTAATAACAGAACAAGAAAAACAAGATTCATCAAGATATTCACATTTCATTGTGTGTCGTTCAAGGCAGTTTAAGTTTGATTTTCATTGCGGAGAGACTACCAGAAATCACCAAGCAATACAAGAAAAACATGAGTTGATTGCTGAATCATGATAGTTATAAGGAGTTTCTTTGTGTTACACTAGTAGAGTTGGCAGAATTGATGATCCACCAGTTGATTACGACTTAATAGAAAAACGATCGAATAGAGCGAGCTCAAAAATCGCTTAGTTTCATTTGGCTGAAAGATTTTGAGTGAGTTTCATTTTAATCTGGAAACGTTTGGTATCAAATATCATGACCAGAATAATTGAGAGATCCTTGGTGTAAGAAGAGCCATTATAAGAGATGAGAACAGATTGATTGAATGGTTGTCTAAAAACCGGATACCACTGATCCATTCAACGTTTTCACCAGGAGCTTCAACCATTTTACCAGTTTCCCGATTAAAACCAGAGAATTGCAGGGTTGCTCCTAGAATTGAATCGACAATGGAGCCTACTAGACCAGCTAGGCACCCGACCATAATTATTGGCCATTGAGGAGGACTAATAGCTAGAACATCACGATTAGCACAAAGTATAAGAGTTAAATAATAAGACAATCCAATAACCAGACCACCAAGCCCTGAGAATATAAGTCCGACCAATGTTACACCGCCATTGGTTCCTCTTGGAACTTTCCGAAAATTAGTGATCAGTCTTGGATTACCGCGAGTCAGAGCAAGACTCAATTCAGATCCCCATGTGTCCCCATTATTACAAGCGATACTTCCTAAAACTCCCATGGCAAACCAGGATGAGTAATAATCAAACTTGAAATTGATTGGGTTTTCATTGGCTATACCTCGTTCCAGCATGAAAATAATGGCAAATTGCGAGGCAACTCCAGCATTACACATAACTTGAAGCCAGTTACGTCTTTCATCTTGATTTGGCAGTATTTTCCTTTTCAAGTGATTCTTGTACTGGGTTACTTTGAATGAGGTGAAAAAAAACGTAAACAAGCTCACAATGAAACAGTAATTACTCAATGTTAAGATGAAACTAATGATGAAGGCTGAAAGAAAAGAAAAAAATGTTAGTGATTTGATAAGAAAGGAAATCATTGGAATCTTAAAAACAGCTCTTACCAATAATAACTCCGGTCCAGTCGAGATGTTTTCTCAGATAGCCATGCATGACTGACAACAAAGGTATCAAGAATGAAAAAAGCCATCTTATTGGAGAGGGCAAGTCAGCTGAAATACAAAAAATTCAAATTAATACACAATCAACAGGATTCCTGGCAAAGTAAAGCAACTCATTAGGTATTGTAAATTGAGTAAATGGCGGTCACTTGAGTTTGTTTGCCTCATTAAAATAATCACTGTTTGATTATTCCGTTGATCTGTGGTATTATAGCATTCAAGTTGAGCTGTTGTTTAACTGTTGAGCTGATTTACTAAATTGGTTTAATTAATTACCATTACTCCTCTCTGAGGCCAGCAAAGTGATAACCCAAAAAGATAAGGCTATTGGAAAGATGAGGACTAGTAAAGCAGCTGTTAACATGACTGTTGGTGATTTTGACATTTGATGATGCACCAATCAACCTTGGGTATGATTAAACAAATTGTTAGTCAACTTAAATACCAAGCTGTAGGTCATCATTTGATTCCAATCCTTCTAAAATCCAATCCAAAAACACAAGGAAAAATAAAAAGAGGATTAGATAGAAAACAAAACAGTGAATCCTCAACACATGTTTAATGTTTAGTGTTAACAGTTTACCTTGATAAATCCTTTGAGTTGGATACATTTTGATGATTTGTTTTGTCCAAAATTGGATGAACTTGATGTGATGGGAAATGTGTCAATCCAATAATGGAGCAATTAACATGTTTAAAGATGGAGAAAAGAAAAAATCAACATTAATTGATCACATTGAGAGCAAGAAACAAAATAAACAGAGTTGAACAATTGAACCGCAAAGGATATACAAACTTGTCTCACAACTTTCTCCCTTCAAGCTCTCAGGTTTCTTTAACCCTACGGATTACCATGAAAACAATCAACAGTTTTCGATTCTTCTGAGACTTGATTGTTTATAATGTAATTAAAACAGTTGAATAATCTCATTAGTTAACCCAAGAATGATGGTGAAATTGAATACACTTTCATTGGCATAAATGGAGCTTTTAAATTAACTTATACCGGAATTTATAACGCGTTTAGTCATAGAAAAAGCGGTTTCAAAGAGAGGAAGGAAGCTTTTCCATAAAATCGTGTTATATCTATGAGATGGGTTCTGAACAATTATTGTTTCCATTGAAATTATTTAATGATCCTTCCATGAGGCCGGAAAGTGTTTAAAAATTAACGAAGTAAAAAACCGTCAGAGCAGTTGATTCCACTAATCTGTTGATTTTACAAATAAATGTCATGAGAATTAATACTTACTGAGGGTTAACGTTTTTGCATGGCACAGAAATACAAAGAATAAATTTAACATAAGAGCTGAAATGGTTAATCAAGATACTGATTGGAAAGTGGCAATAATCAATAAACTTACTTCCGAAGTAAGGAAGGTTTGAGCAAAGTCTATGAGATTTCAAATAATGAGAGAGAAAACAGGTTTTATCGAGGAAAACGAGAATTTAATTGACTGAATTATCCACATGACAGAAATATATAAAGGCTTAATACGACTTGAGGCTGAAATTGTCTATCATTAACCTTGATTCATGTTATAATCACGGAACAACAAACTGTTTTAAAAATAAACTGACATGTAATAATTTTTTAACAAAATAGAGACGAAGAGAAGAAAAACAAAAGAAAAACTAACAAAAAATATTGCTCGAAGTTTTGTGATTTTGTGAAAACCTTGAAATAATTCATGCTTTAGAGCCGATTTAATTTCTTACCATGATAAATATTTACAAATTTATTATAAATTTATTCAGTATTTGAAAAAATATTTTGATTTTACAAATTAACACATTTATGAATTTGTACTTAGAATTGACTCACAAAGTTGCCGTGAAAAATAATTGAAGTAATTGCATGGCTTAGGTGCATTCTGTAAGGAAAGAAGACTAAACGACTCAATCTTGATAAGTTAAATAAACAAAAAACAAAGAAATCTGAAAAATTAATTGATTCAATCAAATTTATAATTATTGACTCAGTTCTTGGTGTGACTTTTGCTTAAAGGTACTTGTGTTACGCACACGCCATGTCTTAACATTTCCGCTTGAGGACATCAAGGGCCTTCCACTTAAAGAGGTTTAGATACCAGAACTCAATGTGGGATATGTTTAGTTCGAACCTGAGTCTTCTGGGTGAAACCAGATAACATACCTCAGGCTAACTCGAAGTTTACGAAAAAGTTGTTTTTGCATAAAACTAGATGGCATTACTTTACTTGTTATTGAAAAGTTTGTTCAAAAGTCGCATTTTAAGCTTTAAGCGATAACTCAAGAGTACAAGTTATAACTCATAATTTATAAGCTGTTTCGAATCAAACAACTGTAGAGTTCGTAAATTTAATCAACTAATCAAAGCTTACAATTTAAAACAATTTGAAAGAGCGTTGAAAACAATTTTTTATTTTTGAGCAGCCCCTCTGTTAGCTACTGGCTTCTATCGGTTGCCACAGTTACTAGATTTACCCGGCTTTTTATTTGGGTTTTGTTTTGATTATTTATGTTCTCATTTTTTCAACGATCTTGTTTTAAAAATTTTGAAAATGTGATTAAATACACCTATCAATGTAAATCTGTGCGCTTTAGATGTGATTCTAATGAAAATACGATGAAAAGAGTGTTGAATGTGGCTGAAAAAAATGATGCTGCTAAGAACATCGCAGCAACATTATCTAAAGGTAATTCAAGCAAAAGAGAAGGTTTTTCTAAATACAATAAAATCTTCGAGTTTGATTATAATCTACCCAATGAAGGCCAATGTAAAATGGTAATGACATCTGTTTCTGGTCATTTACTGTCCTATGATTTCGATGATAGATATCGTAAATGGTGGTCATGTGATCCTGTATCTCTTTTCGATGCTCCTATTGTGACTAAAGTTACACCAGATTGTGCCAGAATTCAACAAACTTTGGAAAGAGAAGTTTCAAATGCTAAATTGCTGATTCTATGGACCGATTGTGATAGAGAAGGAGAAAATATAGCTTTCGAGATCATTAAAGTTTGTCGTGCTAAGAGACCCAACTTAAAAATCCTTAGAGCAAGATTTTCAGAAATTACATTCGGAGCAATTACTCGTGCTATAAACAACCTTGTTGCTCCTGATCAACGAGCTTCTGATGCAGTTCGTATACGCCAAGAGCTTGATCTGAGAATCGGTGCGGCATTCACCCGGTTTCAAACTATGTTAATTCAAAAGATCGGTGAACAAGTTAAAGATAAATTAATAAGCTATGGATCCTGTCAATTTCCGACGCTTGGGTTTGTCGTTGAAAGATACAAACAAATTAAAGAATTTGTCTCGAATCCATTTTGGTACGTGGACGTAAAAGTCAAGAGAGACAATTTGATAGTCGAATTTAAATGGGATCGCGGTAGATTATTTGATTGTGATGCATGTCTTTCCCTTTATCATCGAATTTTACTCAACCCTAGAGCTAAAGTTACTGCAGTTGATGGTCGTCGTAAGACGCATTGGAGACCATTGCCCATGGACACAGTGAGCTTAGAAAAACTGGCTTCTTCAAAGTTAAGAATTACTGCCAAGCAAACTATGACAATAGCCGAAAAATTGTACAATAAAGGATTCATCAGTTATCCAAGAACTGAAACCAATATATTTCCCTCTAATTTGAATCTCCAACCGGCAGTTGAAGCACAGGTCGCAAATCAAGCTTGGGGATCATTTGCTAGTCAAATTTTACGAGAAGGCATTCATCCAAGACAAGGAAGGAAAACAGATAATGCCCATCCACCTATTTATCCAATCAAGTCCGCTGACAATTTAACTGCAGATGAAGCAAAAATCTATGAATTGATTGTGAGACATTTTTTAGCTTGTGTAAGTGCAGATGCTGTTGGTTTTGAGACATCAATTAAGTTGGACATCAATGGCGAAGGTTTTCATGCCAGTGGTCTGATTATCTTGGAAAGAAATTATCTTGACGTTTATCCTTACGTCAAATGGTATGGAAAAGAAATACCAGATCTAAGATTAAATGAAGTTTTTGTTCCTGATGAGATTTTCATGAGGGAAGGTAAAACAACTCCTCCTTCGTTACTAACAGAATCTGACCTCATTGCCCTTATGGAAAAACACGGTATTGGAACAGATGCAACGCACGCTGAACACATTGAAACGATTAAATCACGAACCTATGTTAGTATGACTACTGATAGAAAATTTTTACCTGATCAATTAGGACTTGGATTGGTTGATGGTTATGTCGCCATGGGTTTTGAACTTTCGCGGCCTCATCTTCGGGCCAATCTTGAAAAAGATTTACAAGCCATTTGTGATGGACAAAAAGATCCGAATGTTGTTTTAAGAGAACAAATTGTACTTTACAAAGAAATATTCTCAGATGCCATGCGGAGGTCTAATCTACTCTCAACAAATGTTCAACGGTGTCTTCGGGAAAACATTACCATACGTACATCATAATTTTCACTCATCTTTTCGTCTATTCTTATATTCCAGTAAATAATTACTCCAAGTGTTCATGTAAATAAGTAAATCATAAATCACAAAGTGTTGTCGATAAGAACAATCTTCTGGATGCTCGCTGTCCATGGCCTGTTAACCGTACATAAAAAGCTGCTCAATTTTTTCATACCAAAAGAGGTTTTATTGCAAAAACGGATTAGCAAACGCGTTTCGCAAGATATTTATCAAATGTAATCAGTTGTAATGTTGGATACGAAAATGGCCGTGATTATCTCTAGAGAATTAAGTTATCTAGTGAACAGATTTAGCTTTAGATTGAAAAACAAATTGAATTACGTATCCATAAAAAGGTATTAACTACTATTAATAATAGAGATGGAATGACTAAGGAATATGGAATGCTTACATACAGAAAGACAAGAAAAATAATGATGCTGATAATGATAATGATAATAATAATGATGATGAAGATGGTTGAGGCTGAGTGAAAAAAGATTGCAGTGTGATGGAGATAAAATGTAGATTACGATAGCCATTGAATCTCGAGGCAGACTGCGAAATATGATTTAATGGATTATCAAAAAATGAGGACCAATTGAATAGATTGGGAGGCTTTTCATCCTATTTACAACTCCTCCTCCTCCTTATCCTTACCATTATTCTTGTGGTTAGATTTTAATATAATAATAAATCATTAAGTTGATATTGTTGCTGTTTTGCTACTTCAATCATCGTTTTCCAGGTATCTGTAATGGTCACAAATAATATGTATTAATAATAATGATAATGGCAATAACAATAATATTAATGATGGTAATAATGATTGGTTAAAGAAAGATTTAAGATCATCAATTGGAGTCACAAGATAATAACAAAAAAGTGAATTGTAAGCGTGAAAAGGCTAAGCAAAAAAGAGGAATAATAAGGATAATCTTACCAATTTTGTTACCTTTATTATTTGTATCATTATTATGTGTGAAAAGCTGTTGTTGAGGTGTCCATTGTGTTAAATTGTCAAGTGATCCAACAAAATGACATTTTGCTAACCAAAATGGCTCTAAGGAGACACATTTATTTACAGTAAATAGTGAACAGCAGATGAAAAGAAACACGTATTTATAAAAAGTGGTGAAAACTGAATGATAATGAAATGTGGTTCAGTGTTTGAATTGATCTTCCACTTTTCTTTAAACCAGAAACTCCATCATTTAAAGATTCAATTTGTACTAATTTCAGCATTCAGTCTTGTTGTTTTCAACTTTCCATCCTAATCTTTTCTTAATGTCAGTTATTACTTTACCAAAATCCAGTTGCAAGTGTAAACCCAAATAATGATAATTTTCCAGCAGAGAAACTTGAACATTAGAATGGATAAAAAATTGTAAAAAAGAGAAAGTTATTAAAATTAGGCTTTTTTGGTAAAAAATTGAACAAAAGTAAAAATATTCTGAACGAAAGATGCATTTTGATGAGAAGCTCATTGGAATCCCAACAGAATTGGTAAAATGATCGGATGAATATTATCGTAGAGCTGAAATCATTTTCTGTTTTTCCTTTGCAATTGTTGAGCATTGAAATTTGACTGGAAACTCTTTATGGCTAAAATATATGCTGACTGAGCTACGATTTATACGACTTTTGTGTTGCTAATAAGTTGAACTACGAGAAGGAAAGTTGGACATTATCATCAACATCGAACCCATTACAGTGTACAATGAAACATGAAAAGGTTGACAAATAATAAATGAATGTTTATTGAATAAAATCATTAGAAAGCAAATCAACTCTTGTAAAATGACCAACAATACTTATTTTTGATGGTTTATCTCTCCATGTTTCATAGATATACAGAAGGCTTCACAAGTTTCATATCAGCTTGATATTCAATTTAGCACTTGAATATACTCTTTATGAATATCGCTATATTTTGAAGTTGTGTAATGATGATTACTGCAGTATTAACAAAAACAAGCGTTAAACCCGATATTAACATTTGGAAAGGTGATTAAATCTTTAAATAGCCCTCGGTAAAAAAAATGGTCAAAAAAGCTCAATGATTTCATCGATATCCAAATGCCATAATATGATAATTAAAGGATGAAACAAACATTCTTGAGCCTTTGTCTGAAATCGAAATCAATTGCAAATAAAAGCCTTAATGTGAATAATGTAAACAATTTTAATGCTATAATATATTGATCATCAAGCCACTTAACTCCTTAATAAACTTAATTGTGTCCAAATCGCCCGATTATGGTCTCATCTACTCTTTACAGTTTAAATGTAGGTTATTCTTGGTTCATTCAAGACCAAGTTTGTCAAGATAAACTGAAAAGCGATTCAACAGGCTATTTGAGAAACTGTCTGTCAAATGAGTGACTTATACCTTTGATTATGATGTCAATTGTTCTCTCTTTTGTCAGATGAAAAGCCATTTCATTTGATTGTAAACTCTTCCAATAAATTAAAGGATATTTTGAGTGTTTAAAAACGCAAAAGAGGATTAAATAAATTAAGATATATCAATGTTACTGCCATATATTGACCCATTCACATTGCAATATTACCCAACGGATCAGACAAATCACTGATAATCAGTATTATTGGTGCGATCAATGAAAAACCTATTTTAGCTTAGTGTTTATGGCCCATTAATGATTTATTTTCATCTAGTCTAATGATTACTATTGCAGGTCAATCATGAATTTCATCACATTTTCCCAATATCTTACAGATTAAAGATGAAAATGGTAATCATTTAGATTTCATGGTAACTATACAGCCTTTCATCATTATCCCTTCACTACAGCATGTGAAAATATAACAACACCCAAGTATTAAAGAGTAAGATTAAAGAATCAAGAAATAAAGGGAAAAAGATAGACAGAATTGTTTGATAGCCTTTGTTTGATCGACAATAAAAAACTGAGCCTTTCTCTAAATTCATGTTGACTTCAATTCAGTGATTACTTGAAAAGACTCTTTGGTCATTTTGAGCCATCATTTGATCATTTCAAGTAATCTTTCCTTCCTTTTACCTCTCTTCTGGCTCTTGCCACTCCTTATTTTATCATTGTCCATATACAGAAACAAAATGAAACAATTTCAACTAAATATCATGTTTTTTACTTTCCATTTGTAGAAACGTCCAAACAAACAAAGGAATGGAAATATTGCCTATTATTTGTCAATGTTTTGGTATAACTTTAATAGTGATATTGGACAAAAAAATCAAGAATCAAAGCATTTATTTCATCTTTTTAAAAGCATAAAAGGACATTTCATATCAACTCTATTAACTTTACTTTTATTAGTAATGTTATTTTATATCTTCAGTAAACTTTCAGTTTTTTTCGTCATCTCTTGTTTTTGATAAACGATGAAAAAACAAACCATATTAATGTGAATCATTTCCACTCATCATCGTTATTTCAGATTCTTTGTTCATTTTTCATCAACACTTTATAATCATTTTGTTCAAGAAAACCAACTACTGATAACGTGCCTCTGTACCACTTTAGATGTCACCGTAAATTGAATGTCAATCCATGACTAAAAGCAACTTTGTTTTTTCGTGTTTTTTTAGTCAATCAAGAATCGGGGAAACAAATTCAGCTAGACCTGGATGAAACTTGAATTCATCCTCGCTAAAAAATACGATTGGCATTGTGTTTATAAGCTTTAAACAATCAAAATATATTTTCTAGTTGACTTTTAACAGCTGTTTACATTGTTATAATTTCATCAATCATGAAAAATCAGCAACGTAATTAGGTTTCTGCATTATTTAATTTTGTTGATCCAGACTAAGCATAATTTTGAAATCCTGATTAAATAAAATTCAATTTACGGCTTAATTAAACGGAATATCAATTGAATTTTTGCCAAAATAGACATCATTACATTTTCAGTCGTATTTTGTGCAAATCACCAGCTTTGCTGCGTCAAATCAGTTTGAAAAGGGAAAAGAAAAATGTTATTTAACTATAAAATGATTTTAAATTGTTTATTCGCTTTTTTTCTAGTTCTTAACCACCATGAAGGATATTCATATGGTTTACCAGGAAGTAATGGACTCGATGGGAGCTCAAGTAGCCAAATTCAAGATCCAAGTCAAAACGCAGTAGCCACTGCAGTGAAGACAAGCCAAGACCAAATTGACTCAGCTGGAGCCACAGCCAAAGGAATGGGATCCATCGAACCGGAAAAAGAGTTATCAGGTTAGAAGTGTTGAGTTGTTAAAAATTTGATTTCCGTGAGTCGAATGTGAAATTAGTGGATTGTTTAGTGCATATTGGAACAGGGGATGAACAAGTTTGAGGTTAATTTTGACAATCTTAAGAAACCTTCCTATGGGCTAACATCCAACATCCACTAGGAAATTGAGTTCAACTAATTAAATTGTAAATCCCAAGCCTAATGGTCTATTCTCATTCATATTTTCTAGACACTGTTAATCAAGAAAAGCCGTCCATAAACCCTGTTGATGGTGATAAGGATGCAGCATCCAAGTATTTAAATTGTACAAATGGAATTGCCGCAATGGTTGGTGAAATTTTGAGTGAACAGATTGATTCAACAATGAAGGAAAAATTCATTAAGAAATATTGTGCTTCTGAAAAGGATTCTTAATGGAAGAATCAACTAGATGCCTGACGATGGAATCAACCTTGAAAATCCATGTATATATGATAATACTCAGGTAAATAAGATGAATAGGCAGATATTATGGTGGATGCTCATTTGGTTTGAAGTATCACACACACATATAAACTTGAATGATTTATATGATACAATAAATTAACAATAATTTGTCATCAGACTTGTTGCTTGATATTGTTAATAAATGGGGCAAAGTTTAGTTTGAAATAATCTCCTATTCCAACCATTTCGTCGTGTAGCAGCAACATTGAGGGCAAAATAAATGGTAAAAATAATACTATTAGTAACAATTTGTAAATCGGGCAAAATCACAACAGGAACCTTACACGTAATTCATTTAATCATTTTCACAATAAACTCTCAATTTACTGTAAACCTTATTGGTTTAAGATTTTGTTATAAACGGCAATTATTTAGATGATTATCTTGACAATCAAAGGTCAATTAATAATGAAAGCAAAATGCGATCCAGCTCTCCATATGGGTGAATGTCAGTGTGTGGGTTACAATTAGAAGACATTAGAGTGTAATTTTAGCTTCTTTAATTCGTAACTTGTTCTTGATAATTATGATGATGATGCTATTTATCTTTATATTACATAACCTGTACCACCAAACGAAATATATTTCATTTTTAATCTGAACGCTTGTAATTTATATTATATCAAACGAGTTACTCTGGTTTCCATGTTGGTTTTTAGATCAAAAATTGTTACGAGATTATATTGATACACAAGATTTGTAGAGAGAGATGTTGAAGAATTGAATTTTTTGCCCTTCCATTTTTTTCTTCTTGAAAGAAAAATGAGTTTCCATGAATGATTCGTTTGGTTCCTTCAGCTTTCCACTTGGAATCATTTCTATTAAATCAATCATTATTTATCATTCTTTCACTATTTATCACCAATGATGAAGTTTGATAATGATTGCGTTTAATACAAGCCATAAATGATAAAGATGATTTACAAAAAGAAGGTGCCAATGATTAACCTTTTGAAATCCTTGCACTTTTAAACTCATTTACCAAGATGAATTGGCAAGACAACAGCTGAAACTCATAGAATCTTTGGCCATCAAAATGGTTGAATCCATATCATCTGTTGAGGTAAAAAAGATGAAGTTAATTTAGTCAAGTGGAAATAATTATTGCGGTAAAAATGGTTAAAGTAAACCTAGTCGTCTGTTAATTTGCATTGGTTGCTAAACAAAAGCTGTAAGATAATAAGAAGACGATAAACTGAAAAACAATTTAACCCAGGTAAGTTTATTGAAACCTCCTTTAGGGTTGAAGGAAAGGCTTGAGAGATGAAAAAGGAAAGACTTCAAAGACGATACAGAAGATGCATAATAAATTTCTCCTGTGGTCATTGTTTAACCCTAGTTGGGCACGAACAAAGTAGAGTTGACCAGGTAAGGGATCACAAGGTAAAGTGAGTAAACAAAACAAGACAATACTGCAAAAATAAAAAAAATAAAAGCTAAATAAAATGGTAAACGATATGAAACCAATTGTCTTCATCTTTTTATGAACTAAATTTAAAGCCATTCAACAAACTGTGATCTCAACTGACCTAAGGCCAAGAGCCTGACACCTGCAACAACAAGATGATCATCAAAACATGGTCAATGGGTGAGGCTCATTTACACCCCTAAGGGTATAAATTGACCATAGTATTGACTAGAGTCAAGAAAGAAGCAAAAAAGCTAACAACTAGGCAAATAAAAAGCAAGCTGATCTTATTGTATTATTAAATTTAGTTGAAAAATAGATTGGTAAAGATTTTAAAGCGAAAAAGAGATCAACAAACATGAATGATTTACCTGAAAATTTAATTTTCATTGGAATCCAAATACCATTTCAGGTAGCCGACTGCATTGACCAATCTAGATGCAAAGCTTTATTATAAACAATCTTACAGTTGACCAGAAATACCAATTGATACATCGATAAAAAATAGATCGATATCGATACTGATACAAATTATCAAATCATTTATCTATTCATTTTCGTTTCCTATTCCGATTCCTATTCAAATATCCGTAGTTTCCATTGATAAAGCAATAAATATTAACATCAATTTCCTTAGCTATTGTTATTAATATTATTTATCAAACAAACATCCAACTTTATTCAATTGGTGTTATAAATTTTGTATCTTTGCCATCATCATTAATATTATTTACAATTATCTATTGACCTTAAAGATACTTAATGATACAAGCCAGTCATCTCATATTTACCTTTTTTCAGGGTTTATTATAAAATGGGATTAAGCTTTTTCATCTTCCAGATTATTGACATTATTTTGTGTGACAATTATTTAGCAACAACAATTTCATCGTCATAATCATTATCATTGTGATCACCTTATTTTTAACACTTCCTTTCCTATTATCATTATTATTCAACTTGTAATTTATTCTTTCCTTACCTTTTGTGTTATCATCCATTTTCATTTTTAATCCCTTATGTTCACAATTTTTTATTTTACTTTGTCCCTAATTTTGTATCTTTTTGTGTGTTGTTGGGTCAAAGATATCTTCCTTTTATCATTGTCTTCATTTAAACTAAAGCTCATCCTTTTTCAAACAAACTTCATCTTTAACTGTCACCATCTCTTTTAATCATCATCAACACCAACATTGGAAAGCTCATCCGTCCATCCCATTAGATTAGCTTAAACATTTCATTTCTGTTTAACCAACAAACCTTTTATTTTCATCTATTTTTTTCTTCTTCTTTCTGCACTTCTATTTTATTTACAATGTTAATGATAAACGCAATAACCAATAGCTTTTTTTATTGACCGTAAATCAAATACTGTCTTCTTTCTTTGTGTATTTGTGTGTGACAAAACAAAAGTCAATATAAAGTGATACAATTATTAAAATATACTTCCGTTCACGATAAATGATTAAATCAATATTTAAACATAGTAAAGATTTAAATGACAATAATCTCGTCTTTATGAATTATCCTTATCTCTGCATGTGCATAATAATTACACTTCACTCACTCGATATCAACTATTGTATCGATCGATAGATTGGTTTGAGCACATTTAATGAACAAAAATTAAGACAATCAGGTTGGTAAACTATTTTAATTTTGTATACTTTAATAGCAGTGACTTTCATGATTTATCACATTTATTATTATTTAATGATAAACTTTTTTCTCTTTCACAGAAAAGTGGAATAAAACGAGAGCCAAGTTAACCCTGTTTGCAAGCCAAAAAAGTCAATAAGTGGGATCAAGTTGCTTATACAGGATACAATGTAAATACTCTGATCATGATCAGTGGGATGGTGATAAAAGGATGATACTGATGAAGATGAAATGAAGTAAACAATAAACAAAAACAACAACAAAAAATGGAGAAAGCCAAACAAAAACGCTAAACACATAATCTAAATTGGGTTTAAAGAGGTTGGCTGAATCAAAAGGAACATAAAAAAGGGAAAAAGGAAAATGATGGTTAAGAGATTGCTCTTAAAATGATGAGAAAAAAACAGGCCAAAAAAGACGAGTATGAAAAGATGAGGATAACCGTTAATGCATTTTTTCTTCGCCTCTGATAATCTTAAAACTTGTGCCTTCTCTTTCATTTCTCCTGATGATCAATAACATCAATTGTTTCTCATCATCTCAATATATGATTATTATTTTGCTCTCGATGCAATAATTGATCAACCTCCCTGCTAAACGCTTAATCAATTGTTGTAGAAGAAAAGGATGGAAATTACATTACAAGAATCAATCAAGTCACCCTAATGAATTAAATGAAGCTTTACGAGTTAATCTAGAGTAATATTGCGATGAAAAAAGACGGAGATCTGAAAAAGTGAATCAAGAAAAAACTATCTACATCAACATAATTATCGCCAATTGATTAAGATCTGGTTAATTGTTAATTAACAGTTTAATGGATAAATAATATCTCAATCATAAACTAATGGCAATTAAGCATCAAGTTTGCTGAGATGATTTTTAATAATCTCAGCTCAAGTTTTTTGCTCTCATTTTACCTGCTTTAGATAATAATAATGTGATTAAGAGCTAAACAGATCTTAAATTTCATCCTGTTGTTAAGATCAAGTCAAGTTTAATCAAGATGCAGTGATGCAGGAAAGTCATCCGTAAATACATTAATTCATATCAATTCATACATTTTCCCTTTCCTTTTCAATCTAAATGCCATAAATCTATTTCAATGGACTACTTATATTATTAATATCAACAATGAAGAGAGTAACCAACTCCTTTGGTTAATAATAATAAACATTGATAGCTCCTTGGAGGCCATTTTTAAACTTTGTTATCTTCAAGTACCTTTGACCCAATGGAGCTGAAACTCGAACAACAAAAGCCAATTCTAAAAATGTAAATGTACCTTTTAAGCAGCAAACATTATTAATCATCATCATCATCATCATCACCATAATCATAATAATAATCAAAAAGGTTGATTATCAAAACAATTCTGTTGCCTAAATATCCATCTTCGAATAATATAATAATATCAAAATCGATGCAAAACTAATCAAACTAACTTTAACATCTTTTGTTTCTCTTCCAGTTGCCAACCTGATTAACTTGGCAAAATACAAAACCAAGTTGCCTGAAATGCTGGGAATCACCAAATCCTATTCAAAGTAAATATGAAAAAAGGTAAATCATATTTTATACTCAATAAAAGTTGAACAAAAAAGTGAATCCATTTCAAAATGATGATCATAATAACAATAGTGGGTTACATTTAATTTGAAAATATATTGCCAAAAAAATATACAAAACAAAAAAAACGCTCAGTAAGGTTTTATACATCAATTGAACAATTCACTTGTCATGGTGTGCAGATGTATATATATGTTCATGAATGACAAGCTACACATTTATAAATATCCATTAAAATAGCCTTCAAGATGCATGACACATTCAATCTAGTTTACTGAAGCAACTCCTCCTTCTTATCACCCTCCTCTTTCATCCCAACCTCATCTTCATCATCCTCATCTAAACCTTAACTTTCCTCTTCATTTTCATTTGCTTCAACCATGTTTACATTGTTTTATATTATATTTGTATTTCATTGATTTTCATCGCACTTTTCATCCTCATCATCTTTCTCATTACTTTGGCCTCTCTTAATGAATGATAACTTAATAATAAATAATCTTCTTCTCATTAGATTAACGATTAAATAATCAAGGAATTTTGGGAAACATCTGATCAAGCCAACAATTGCTTGATTAACTTTGCTTTTTAGCTTATTTTCCTCTTTTCCCAATCTCGATATTATCATTGTTATTAAATCGGTTACGCCATCTAATTAGCTTTGATTGATGCCTATTAATTTAATTAATTTAAGCCTTAACTTGATTATTTTGTCATTTGAAATTCAAATTAAAACCATTGAATCCAGTCAAATGAAATTTATACCAACAACATTAATCTAATTAATACATTTTCAATTATTACAAAAAAACAAACATCTAATTGCACATTAAATAATGATAATTAAATGAATCGATTAACAATTAATCTTCTTTTCTTTATCTCTTCTCATCCCTCATTATTAGCATTTAATTAGAGTTTATTGTTGATCAGTTCAACATCTCCCAATCAAATATTATAATGTTTCATTCATTTTAACCAATCTGTTTAAGATTGAAACTTGAAATGCCTCAACATTTAAACTCAATTAATCTAAAATTGTGAGAAGTTAATCAGATTAAAGCCTAATCAAACGCAATTGTACATTGAAACTGAAACAACTTATTGATCCAATCAATCCCCTGCATTATCATGTTGATCGATTCCTTAGTTGCCAAGCGAAATGATTAAGATTGCCTTTTGTTTCATGTGTTGAAGCCAATTAATATTATCAAGTAAACTTAACAAGTTGATTTAATTACGAATCAAAGCAACATTTCATTAGCGTTTATTAAATCAAGGAATTAGATTAAAGGTGAAGACGATTGTTTAACCATCAAGTTTAATTCAACAGGCAAATCAAAATGTCTCCAAGTTTTCATGATTTCATAATTAATAAGAGTCTTGATTGTGAATCAGTTTGAATCAGTAATTGTTTTACATTAAGCTTAACATAAAAAGATTAAAGTTGATCATAAAATGGAGAGATTTGTTTAACAATAAAGAGTCGAGTGAAACTCATGATCCTCTCATGTGTTAATGATTATCATTATTATCATCATTATTAGAAAAGTTGCAAATGATTTATATTTGCGCTATTAGATGAGATGATGAGGATGAAGATGATAATGATTGTAAGACAAAACAGTTTTTACTTGAACAAGCAAAAAATGATTTGCATCTTTGAAGAGTCACCATCTTGTTTGATGCAACATTGAAAGGGTTCAAACCATAACCATTATCCCTGCCATTATCATGATGATGATCATCATTATCACCCCGTTTCTAATTGCCTATCATCATAATTCATCATCAAATTTAATTTAGTAATGATAATTTTGAACGCTTTTAGCTTTTCATTTTCCCTTCAAATCTAAAACTGTCTCTATTTACCAGTTAAAACATTTATATTGTTAAACATGATTGTTAAATAAAGTGATAAAACATTTTCTTGGTGACAATAAAAGCTCAACTATCATCAACCAAATCATCTTCATCTTCATCTCTTCTTCCTAGTTATCAGATAAACTAATACAATTTACCCGATCATCGAGTTAAACATTAATAAAAATAACAATAGTTTCAACGCGTTCAACTCTCTCCATTGATTTGTAATGAAAATGTTCAACCAATCAACTTTACTTTTATCATTCTTCTTCTCCTTCTCATCCTCATCCTCATGATTCCCCTTCTCATAGCCACTAACCAAAGTGCTGGGATAAAAGTGGACATAATTTGATTTACCATTTTTAGACCAAATGAAATGTAACTTTCAGACATTTAGATTGTTCCTCTTTGGTTAACAGTTACTTGTCTTCCCAGTCTTCATATTGTCTTCATACAAAACTGTATCAACTTGATATTATCATTATTAATATTATCATGTGTATTGAGCCTTGTCTTCATCTTCATACAAAACTAAATGCATTTCCATGCAATTGCATTCAATAGACTTTATGGTCAATCAATAATAATGATAATCACAGAATTGAAAATAACCAACAAGAGCAACAATATCAACACCAATAATCAATGATAAAAGATCACAGTTAATAACTGTTTAACAGTTCAATTTAACGAACAAACGGATTGTAATGGACAACAATTAGTTGATTGTTGAAGGGATCGATGAAAATGGGAGAAACTAATTCATCATTAAACAAAAAGTTGAACAAATCATTGGAAACAATATTATTATCATTTATCATTGCAAGTTAACAAAAAATGTTAACGCATTATAATTTCCATAGAGATTAATGTTATCAAACTAATGATAATGTTGATGATAAAATATAATAAGACAATATGATGATGATGATAAAATCAATTTGATTGAGAACACAAAAACAAAGTTATTCATACAAATGATAAACTATTGACTCTATACTTTTGCAATACTATATCATTTCACTCCGAGTTTCAAGTTATCCTCAACTTTTCAATTTTTTATTCCAATTTTATTTACTTTCAACTGTTTCCATCTTTACTGTCTTTCGTCTTTCTTTTCCTTCTCTTACTCATCATCATCGTCATCCATTTGCAATAATATTTCAACTGAAAAAAAAAGTTTCATTGGACAGAATCGAATGAAAATCTCATTACTTTTCTTTCATTTTCTCAATGTTCATCATTTTATTCCATCCGTTCAGTGCTCAGTCAATTTTGTTGTATTGAATTTCAAACTTCCATGAAAATGAAGATGAAATATTGCAAAGATAATGATGATAAAAACATCTTTTCAAGATTTACTTTAAACTTTAAATTCAACTCAAATCGATTCAATAAATTAATCAAATTGTTGACTTTTGTCCTTCCAACTTACCAGAACTTCAACTGTTAATCAATAGATAATTACCTTCATAGTTAAGAGTTGATCAAAAGAGACGAAAAAAGTCGAATCTCTAATTAAGATTATTAATAAATTGTTAACTTTTTAGCTTCGAGTTTTTCAACTTTTTTTTCTTCGATTTTTTTACACTTTTTTTGCTAATTCATCTGCGCTCAATTAATCAACAATTAATTGGATGATTAAGTTGATAAGGAAAAATACTTTTGCTTAAGTATTTCATGAACTAATAGATTAGTTATTAATTGTGCATCATAATTCAGTTGAGTTAACGAGACGATTCGTAGCTTTACATTTGATTGTTTGAGCTTTCCTTTCTATTGGTATTGCTTTTAATCTGTTTATGTCTACCAATCAAATGATTCATCAATTTAATAGATTGTCATCAATCTTTCATGATTTTTGATCCATCAATGTCAGACGAACCATTGAGTCAAGATGTTCAAAGAGATGCAAAAAAAACTAACAACATGAAGAGGAAAATGATTCAGCTTCATTTCCTCCTCCTACTCCTTCATCATCATAATCATCATCACCATCAATATTCGGTCATTTATTGATTTTACCTAATTTTTTCTTCCCAACAAAATCATATTGAATCACTCGTAACTCAACTGCCCATTGAATCATTTCATGTTAAGAAAAGTTTCATCAACTGATGAATTCAAAAAAATGTTAAATTTAAAAGAAACTGAGACCAACAAAGGCGTGAGATTGATACACTAAATATGATTGTTCAATTGTCCATACGACCACGTGTCATGTTAAGATAATAACAATCAAAAGTCCAAGTGGTTAAGTTGATGACAAACAAAAAGGTTAATTTGAGACGCGTGTTTGTCATAAGGCAACCATTAACCTTAAAGTGTAACCTAACCACACAATCAAACTGCACGAGTTTCAAGTCTTGTCTCACTTTTAACAAGTCAATCAGTTGAATGTTGAACATTGATTGATTCATGATTGGGAACAATTAGTTTGAATGGCAAAGATGAAAGGCAATGATAAACGTTTTAATGATGATAATCATTATATAGGGAGGATTGAAGCAAGATATCAAAAGGAGGAGTTTATTATGGCGAGAAGCAAAAAGTTATATAATAATAATAATTTGCAACAGATTGTTGCATCTGTTACCACGAAAAAGATGATGATGATGATGAATATATCTTCATCTTCATCTAAACCTCTTAATCTAACCTTGTTAATAAATTAAATTCAATATGACGTTCTATTAAAAGAAAAGTTCTGAATTGATTATTTATAATATTAGATTCCGAGGTAAACCTGGAATAAGTTTTTTTTCCTTTACTTTTTCTTCACTTTCAGTTTCATTCAAATATCAAGTCAAAATAACAATTGAAATTGTTACCTATTCAAACAGTTATTCATGTTAATAATCAAAATGATAAAACGTAATTCCGATAGGAATATCATTCGAGAAGAAGAAAAACTTTTTTGCTTCTCATTTCAAGTTGAATGTTACTTGAAAAACGGGTTATTTTGTGTCCACTTTTTTTCCTCATTCAACTCTTCTTGAATATTTTTATTATTATTACTGTTATTATATCTGTTTTGTTATAGGATGTGAGTTATATTAAATATTATATCAAAAATCGCAAGGGATTTTTGTGTTCGTTTTTTCTTTCGTTTCTCTTCACTTTTTCATATTCTTATGGATTTTCTTGTTTCTTATTGAAAGTGTTATTTTTTGCCTCTTGGTAAATGCAAAGTGTAATATATTCATTTGTAATGCTCTTTTGCTTCATCTTCATTTCAATCTTCTTCTTTATCTTCCCTTTATCTTCATCTTTTTTCGTTATTTGTTACCAACATATTTTCACTCCCAGTTTCATCTCAACATTATTAGAAAACCCTTTACCTTGTTTGTTGTTTTCAAATGTTATAATCTATTTTATTGAACATTATTTCAAATTTTGTTTTCCTTTTCATTTCTTCTTCTTCTTTTCCTTTTTCCCTGCAACTCTTTTCTCAACTCTTCCAGATTTCAAAATGATAATCAGCTTAAATGTGCTGAAAAATGACTCTGCAAAACAAAAAAAAGTTATAACAATAATAAAATAATATTGACAATATAATGTTAAGATATCATTAATAAGCTCTGATTGTTATAGGCTTTCATAATGTTCAAGATGAAATTGCGTATTTCAAGGATTATTTTGATCAGATTATTATGGTCATCATTGGAAGAAATGAAAACTACAAAATAATGAGTTCAAAATTCACTTAAAACCAAACAGAGATTTGACTCGATACAATACAGTACATTAAGTTGGTTGTTGCAAACTAGATGAGATAATTCAAGTATGCAAAATTTGAAAAGGTAATCAATTTTGAAATGATACTCTTGCACTTGTCATCAACTCTGGGGGTTTAATGAATCTTCAATGGTCAATACCATGCCTTGAATATCCTGACATTTAAGTAGAGTCACTCAAGATGTGAGATCTTAGATTCGTTTGGAAATCACGATTCAATTAATAAGTTAAAATTTCATAAATAGGGAAGTAGTTTGTAATAAAAAGCTATTTTTATCAAAAATATTTTGCGAATAAACTTTCTTAATGAATTAGGTGTGAATCCATCTGAAAACGAATTGTAAAAGATGAAAGGAAACAAAATTGGTATAAATTCAAGTTTGATTGGATTCATTGAATTGGTTATTGACTTGTGAGTTTAGCTTTTGTTCATTTGTTTGAATAAAAGATGAAAAGGTTAACTTTGACTGTGTTTATCATGATAGATTGGATTAATGCTGTTGAACAGAATGACAACAGTTTGGCTGTGATATGATCAACAAGGACAAGATAATTAATCTGATTGACCTGAAACCAACGGGAGGAAGAATCAACAATGGATCAATTTTATTGTTTAATCAAAGGCCTAAAATAACTGGTAAATATAACACATCCTTTCCTATTCAATCTGATTAACCACTGGTTCTGCCTTCATCTTCATCCTTTCATCATGAAGCAAACTCATCATCATCTTCATCCTTTACTTCTTCTTGTTTCTTCTTTTTCTGTGCTTCTCATGTCAAACAGGATAATTAATGATCAGTGAATGAAGATAATAAGAACAAGTATAAATGTCTCAATAAATAGATTAACCAGAAAATTTATAAACATCATCAACTCATATTAATATATTGTTTCCTATTAATAATATTATTTCATTATAATAAATGATGAAAAAGTAATAAATAAATTGATTATTTATCATATTTTACTTCACTTTAGCTGAAAAACGATGATAATATATTTTCAACTCCCAATGATACTAATAATAATACAAAAATGATTTTCAACGAAACAAATTTCAATCAACAACAACAAAGAAACCAATTCTCAAGTTTATCAAATGTTGTTTTTGTTGTTCAATAATAAATCAAATGTCCAGTTTAATGTGAAACTGTAAACTCATTTTTATCAACGGAAAGTTTCACCAAAATTGGTTTCATTGTAAAGTTGAAAATTGGGAAACATTTCACTTTCATCCAAAAAAAGATGATTAATGGTCATATTAATGGAAAGCGCTTTCAAAGTTAAATTTACTCTAATTATTTTAATTACCTTGCGATGTGATCTTGTGAGTCCATTTGCATGATTAATAAACCAGCAAATGAAAAGCCTTTCAAACGATTCAAAGTATCATTGGGCAAACCTTCACAATCACAGTTGACCAGAAATTTCGCAAATCAGATCCAAAATTTCATTTTACATCAACAGTTCCAAATGTGCAGAATTGTCCAACAGAACAACTTAACATTTGAATTTTAAATTTTTTCAACTTATCACAACTCGAGTCCAGCATGTCGCGAATCAGATGCTTGTATCGTAACAAAAAGTAATCATAATCCTCGATAAACACAATCACTTGCAAAGAATAGCCATAAAATCAGAGAATCCAATTAATCTGTAAAATAAATTGAATGATTTAGAGTCAATTATGACTTGTAATTGATGTACAAGCCACAAAAAATGTAACTCAATTAGCTTGTATCATGTGTTTAAAGCTCAACAATTGCTATTTGATATCAATAAACAACAACAAAAATGATGAAAATGTTTAATTTTGTTGTCTTTAGGTAAACATGATTATGAATAAATGTATTATATCTTGAAACAAAAACAAAAGTCATAAAAGGTAACATAAAAAGCAAGAAAATAGTAAAATTATTATTTCTTTATGACCTTTTTTTACGATAAAAAAATCTGTTTCATGTTTACCATCAACTAATCAATAATAATAATAATAAACATCGTTATTTTACACTATTATTGATATCAAATTTAAGTGTACTTTTTGTCAATTTGGGTTTACTTATGGTGATGGACAAAAGGAAAAGTGAAACAAATGATTATAATGTAATAAATAATATTAATAATAATGGCAATCATAATCAATCAATCAATCGTAAACAAAATCAATGTATTAATGTACATAAATTATAACATTAATATACACAGTAAATTACTCTTTATCAATGAGCAAACAATGTTTAACTTGTTAAGATTATTTATCAAAAAATATTCAATTACTTATTTAATTATCAACATTTTCTGGTCATCGTTATTATTAACCTTTATTTTCATCAATAAACTGTTACCTGAATCCATTATTATTGCTATTATTATCACTTTAATCTTGTTTACCTTTTAGGTTGTAATCAATGCAACAGAAGCATTTCAGTTTCAATTGAATGGTAAACAGGTAAAGAGAAACAAATTGAAACCAATTTAACAATTACTTGTTAAAAATGGTTAATTCCCAACAAAATTGTTGTAATAGTTTGTAATCATTAGCTAATATATACTAACATTACGTTTAATATTGACCAGATTTAATTGTTTTTTAACAGCTTCATGTCAATAGGAGTTGAATATGTTTTCCCATCAATAGCAACATTGAATAAGAACAACAATAAATGAACAATTTAATCTGATTAAAGTTTTGATTGAAGTTATAGGTGAATGGAAACCTTTTGTTCAGGTATGGACAAATGATTAGGATAATCTCTATTCATGTCTTGTCATGTTACTATCATGCAACAAAAACTCAACCTTTACTGAGCACATATTTCTGCTCTATAAATATTGACAACATTCGGAGCAACTCATTGTACAAACTGATTCAATATTATTGAATATTATTTATTATTTATATTATTATTTATATTATCATTATAAGACTAAAGGCTTTCCTCTGTTCAAGATGAAAATGATGATGATGATGATGATTACGATGAGAGTCAGAAAGAGGAGGAGGAGGAAGAGGTAAAATGATGCAGGCAAGATTAAAGGGAAGAGAAAGAAGTGCAAAAAAAGGAAAAGATGATTTGATTCAATATTCATGCACCATATGTGAATCTTGATGGTGACAGATATTACAATATTTTTCCTCCTCTATTACAAGACTAAATAATAGCATAAACCTAAGTTTGTTTCCTTGACTTTCCTTTACTCTCAATCTTTCTTTCCAGGTTTTGTGTACAAATCACTTTGATAAGAGTAATCATAGTTACACTTTACAATAAAAGCAAATGAAATGTTTCAGCTATCCCTTGGTCAAATCACAGGTAAATTGCCATGGAAATTCAATTTGTTTCATTCGTGTCCAACATAATCACCATCAAAATAAAATAGACCAAAATAAGCTGAAAATCGCCATTCACCTATCAATTTTAGCCATTAACTCATGTTCTGTTGATCAATTAGCAGACCAAATATCAAATATTTAGAGGCAGCAAGTCGAGATAAACATTATCCTCTTGCGGTGACGTTAATGAAGTGGTGGGTTGCCATTAAGATTTTGGTTCATCAAAAGTCAATCCATGTATGGGACAGATATAAAAGCAAAATAATTAGTTAACCTCATTTAATACAATAACAAAGCAATGAAAAGCAACATTTGACATACCTTTTGTATCCCTTTACCCATTTTTTCAAAATTTTTCTAAAAATCAATCCATCTGAAATTTATGGGCCCATTCACTTTCTAATAATATTTTAGGCAAAAAATCTATTGAATAACAATTAAAAAATTAGAAAACAAAATAAAATAAAAACTAAAACCCAAAAAAGCCAAAACCAAGTGAGCTGGTTGTTGAAGAAGCGCCAAAAACAAAAGGGGTAAAAGGGGTCATCTCTTAATTAAGATCTGAATATAAGCTCCTTGTTAAAAGGTTAATTTATTAATAAATGCAATTTTACAATTAAAATGTCACAGTTGCTTAATTTAAACTAAAATGTATTAAACATAAAAGAGAGGGTAAAATATGATCTCTTTGTGATGCTTTTAAGGACAATGATATTTATGTAGCAGATTAGGCTTTGCTTGGTAGGAAGCAATAGTGATTTTGATACCTTGTTAGTGAAGTGTAAATGGATCAACAATTGATTTGGTTATTGTTCTCTATTGTTGCGTTGATAATTTGATTGTTAACTGTGAAAACGATGCTCTTTTTACTTGTAACTGTTGTATTGATTGCTGTTAAAAGGAAACCAACCAGAAATGACGTTGATGGTAAATTATGAACCAAAAGGATGAACAATCAAGTAAAAAATGTAATAATATAAATTGATGGATCCTTAAGTGTTTCTGTATTTCCATCCTTTCAACATTAATAGTAACATTTTAACATGGATCATCAAATTTTATTACAACTACAATAATAATAATCATAATAATAAATAACAAAGTGTTCAATTAACCAGTTGAAATGGACAATCAGTAGACTCGACTACAATTAAATTTAGTGTTTCCTTTCACATTGTTTAATTAGTTTAATTAAAATGTCTCAACGAGTTGAATGTTTTACAAGTCAGCTTGTTAATCATGAGAAGAAAATATTGATTAATTGTAGTTGTTTCCTTTGAATAATTGATTAATTGAAGTTAATGATTAGATTCAACAATTCAATTTGATTGTTGGTACAATAAAACCACTAATAACTGTCAATCAACTATTGATTAAATCAGTGGAAGGGATTATTAATAGTTATTTTGGTCTCTTGGATTGATTGGATTGTTTCATCTAAAAAGATGAAGAAAAGTCAAAATATATATTAGTTTAACTTGATTGACAAGTTAATCATCTTTAATCATATTTACTAGGTTCATATTTAATGATCAACATTAAGGTTAATATTTAATAATATCTGGATAATGAAATTGGTTGGAAAGTGAAATGATGATAAAAATAATAATGATAATGAATCAAGCAAATGATTATGATTTTTCATGATAGTTGTGTCATTTCAATGCAATTGGGTTCACTTTAAAAATATCAATTGTTCATTCATACAATGTTATTCAATATTCATTGGTTAAATGTTTCGTGTGTAACAATTTAATGTTAAACTCAGCAAAATGATCACTTTTATGGGTTACAAAAATGATAATAATAATAATGATAAAAGTTATTTATCATATTAACTTGTTTCCATTGACAAAATGTGTAACAATCATAAACAACAAGAAAGGAATCAATTTAAGCGTTTTCAGGGATCAATTGATTGTGGTTCAATTGGTTTTGCATCAAGATTGGTTTCAATCAAAATAATTTGAATAACAATCAAATAAAGCGAATGTTATAATGAAACAACCTTTTTTTCAAGTTGACATACACTTTAGACTTTAAGTTTTGGGTTGTTCAAATGGTGCAAGCTTTCAAATTTGGCTTCCTTTTCAATTTTTCCTGTTCTCGTTGCTGTGTGAGTGTCCAACGGCTAACGATAATGACTTGTCAATATGTTAAGAGACCGTTTGTAACCAGAGTAAAAATGTTTGCCCATTGGTCAATTTTATAAAGAGGTTTCTCAAGACGTTAGCAAGTCAACAAAACAAGAGCGAGAAGGAAAAAAACACCAACCAAAATAAAAACATTTATCAGCATGATACTTGCAAAGCTTTTAACTTTTCACACTTTTTCTCTCTCAACTCGTGCAAAGGAGAAGAAAAAGATGAAGACAAGGAAGATGATGATGATATTGGAGAAGAAGAAAAGAAAGGTTGAAAAGAGTTGAAATGAGCCAAGTGTATATTGAGTGTGACATTGAGATGAGCTGAGCGAAAATGTTTTGTTCAGTTATTTACTCTTCGGATTAGTGTTCTTTTCACGATACCTTGTACCCTGCTAACTTTTATCGTCCTCTTTATTTTCTTCTTCTTTATCTTCCTCCTCTTTCTTTTTCATGATCATCTTTGAATAACGGCGGACGATGACCAGGAAGAAGAAGAGGAAAGGATGAAAACTTTTGCCAATTTCAAGGTTCCACGCAGTCTATTGAGTCCACAAAAGTTGTTGTCTGAAAGGAAAGGAAAAGAATCATTATAAGAATAAATGGTCATTTTTGCTCGTTTTTGGTCATTTCTCTTCATCTAAGGTAACTCTCTTCTTGAATCTATGAGTAAACAAAACATACCATGATAGACAAGGCAGACAATCGGGAATGTATACAGATGATGAAAACAAAAGGGAATGGACAAAAGTTGACGGTCAACAGAAAAAGAAACATTTTTCAAAATCTTTAAGGTGGTCACTTGCATTCTTTAGCCTTTCTTTTTATCCGTTGGTCCTTCATTTTAAAATGTTTCACTTTTCCAATGTTTTACAGTTTTTCAGGTTCAGGCGACAATTTTAACCACTTGTGAAGAAAGAATTGAAATAACAAAATGTATTAGAGAATTGAATGAAATCAAATGTTTTCCTCTTCATAACTGATCCAACTGTTGAGATTGCCATTCAAATTGAACCTTATTTAACACTGTGTATTAAATGATTAAGTAGCCTTGCAATTGATTAGCGGGTTTATTGAACCATTTTATTAATAATTGATTAGTTGATGTCTTTTAACCTTTTCCCTTTCATCTGGTCTTTCATATAAATTAGCAGGGTTAGATGAGATTCAATGAAAAGGTGAATGGAAAGACAAAATGTTAATAGTGATAATATTAATGATGACAATAAAATATTACAATGGGAATGTATTATATTGTAATATAATAGGCAATCATTATGCTCATTGGCAGTTGAAAGAGTCAAAAATGGATGTTGACTTGGTGTTGATTTGAATATTGTTAACTTGATTTGACGTGATAAGGCCACGTTTACAATAATAATAATGGTAATGATAATGGTAATAGTTAATCACCTTTCATTTCCTATTCAACATTGAACAACATTTTTCCTTTTCTTTAGCTTTTCGCTGAATCTTTTCATTCTTTTGATTCGTCACTTTTTAGCTTTCCTCTCAATGGTCTTCAATATTGATTGTTAAAACTGTATATTAATCGGTTTAACATACGCTTTGTTCAATAGAGATGAATGTTCAAGAGTCTTAAAGTGGACTGGGAATGAAGAGAGTTGAAGGAACGAGAGATTGAGAGAGAGAGAGTCACTAAAGGAAGATGAAGAAGAAAAAGTTAACCCAAAATACCACAAAAAAAGTTATAAAGTCTTCTCCATAATATGCTCTTTCAACTGATCCATTTCAACATTTGTTATTATTATAAGAGTAAAAATCAAAATGATTATAATAATAATGAAAATAATAATAATAATGTTGATGGTGATGACAATAATACGCAAAGGAACCAATGAAGGACACAACAGCAAAAAAAGGTCTTCTTAGTTGAGGATTGTAAGGTCCGATTTGAATGGCATTTGAACAACTCGTTTAGTCACTTGGCATAATAATGCTACTTATACATCAATAATGAATGGGAATTAGCTTCTGGAAGGAAAGGAAAGAAATAAAGTCAATGGCAAGTGTTAATAAGCAACTTGAATGTCATCTTTTTGTTTGCCTGAAGCCGTTGACGTACGAGTAACTTTGCATCATTTTTGTCTTGCCACTTTAAACATTTTACACCTTTTGCCACTGTTAATGTACATTTTGTTTGCAACAATTTCCTTGCTTTTTCCTTGGTTCCATGTCTTATTGTTACTCCTTTTGTCCACCTTTAATACACTATTTAATGGCAATAATTTTGATAATAATAATCAGCTTCATTTGTTTCATTATTTGCATCACTTTGCTTTTCAGGTTCGTCTTGGTTTCTTCCCTTTCCTTGCTTCCTTGGTAGCCAGTTTAAGCTTTGCTTCTTGCGCTTAACCATTTCAACTTTTTTCCTATTTTGTAAGGTTAATTGTTGCCCATTATTGTTGACCATATAATATGATAACAATGATTATAATGGGTAATAATAGTTGATAATTGAAGGCAAAAATTAAATAGAATCACAAGTTAAATGGTTGATAAAATTGTTGAAAAGTTGTCTTACTTTTTTTCCTCGCTTTCCTTTAGGCCTTTAGCTTTTTTCCAAGTTTCTTCCTTCTGCTTTACTTCTTACCCATTTTGGCTACTATTTTTCACTCCAGTGAACACTTTCAATATCAACTGTTCATTTAAACACATTTATTGTAATCATTTTAATCTTGAAAGATCTTTTATTCACTCGTATTCAATCACCATTACCATTATAATTGACCAATTAACTGTGTTAAAATTGCTTTATTAACATATCGTTTATATACAGCAAAGTCAACACCTTTGATCTTCTTTTCATCTAACCTTAACTTGATATCGTGAGAATCATATGGTTATGGTATTAGTGATAATGTTGGTAATTTAGTTAATCACAAATACTAAATATCACTAGGAACCAAGAAATATACAATTATTAATTTCATATTTATTCAATTTCAATGATAAAGCTTCTGAAAGTAGAACATTTCCAACGCTGTAACTTGAAGGCGCTATTTTTAATATCCTCTTGTAATTAATCCTTTTTTCATTAGATGGCGATGATGATGAGAAGCTTAATTTACATTTACAGTCACCATTGATATAATGCACCGCACTGGGAATAGCTTATTTTCACTATTCTTCGGGCAGCGTAATCCATGATTTTCAATCTTCCTTATTAGATCAAAAACCTTGAATTTTGCTTTAATCTGATTTTGCGAGTTTTTGCATTAAAATTTCACGAAAGAAAATTGAATTAAGTCAATTGATAATCAAAGAAATCGAATCAAAATTTGACCGAATTCAAAATTAGATATAACTCCTCCTTAATAGGGGCATTGAAAAAATGAGTGCATTATCTCAATGGTGACTGTACTTTCTTTTTCTTAATGGTCATCTGTTTTCTTTCACTCTAATTGTAATCAATTTTATTTCTTTAATATCTAAATTAATTTCTTTTCGTTAACTTTTCAGGTTCGATGATGCCCAGAGGATCCATAAAACTGAATGTTACCTTATTCTCTCTACAGGGCATTTCAGCTAATTTTCCCGTTGTAAATTGGCTATATCTTTGCTCCTAAGTGACCTAGAGGATAGATATTTTGTTACTGGAAATTTATGCGATACTCAATTGTCATATTTTAAGGTCAAGGTCATTCAAAATCGTTGCTTTATTTGACCTCTAACTGATATTTGGAGGTCATTTTCTAAGAGTGCAAAAATCTTCAATTCAGTTTTTGTTTACTACGAGTTAGTATCTCACACCGTTGGAAAGATAAATACATTTTCTTAAAACCAATTGATCAACAGAACAATGTTTGAACTCGCATATCTTTTGACCAGAATAAGTTACGAACATGTCACTAGCATCAACCGATCTGAAAAATTTTTGCACTCTTAGAAAATGACCTTCAAATATCAGTTAGAGGTCAAATAACGCAATGACCTTGGATGGCCTTGCCCTTTAAATATGACATTTGAGTATCGCCCGAATTCCCATAAACAAAATACGTAACTCCTAGGTCACTCAGAGGCAAAGATACAGCCAATTTACAACAGGAAAATTAGCTGAAATGCCCTGTATTGTAACAGTTGCATCGATGAAGCGAGCTGTCCGTCGAGTGAGCCAACCAGGATTAAACCTTATCGGTATAATGGACCCGAGATATGATCCATTCATGGTTACACATTGGCATTTGTTGCGACGTGATATCAGGCCTAATACCGTTTATGAAGTCACTGTGGGACCGCTGTACGCGAAACGACCATACGACCGACTCTATTATGTATTAAGAGACACTCAAATCGATCCCAATCCTAACGATTTTGAACTTGTCGAATAGGTTGTAAAATAAATTGAATAAAACAGATTAATGCTTCGACTAATCATTTCTCAAAATGAATGCTGACAATATCAATTCTGATAAAAGTAAGTTTATTTATGTTGATCAATTAGTTGCTAGTTAACCTATCAAATTAATTCCTAGCTGTGATCAAAGTAAAGCTATCGGGTGAAGATTATCATGACATTGTGATTAACTGGAATAATACAAGTCAAATATATGAGCAACAAATGTTTAGCCGACTAAGTATAATCGTTAATCAAATCCCAGTATTGTTCATTAGCTAAAAGAAATATCAAGAATACCTTATGAGCATAGTGAGAGGTTTTCGTGAAAACTGTAACAAATTGTTTCTAAATCATACTTTTATATTAAAAATTATGAATTGAATTATATTCAAATAGTTATTTTATTCCTTACAAAATTGGATTGAATCATTAAATGGAATCCATTCCTAAGTTAATTACTTTAGTTTACTCATGAGGCATAAAATTAGAGTTGAAAAAAGCTGATTGAGAAAAGACAAGGAATAAGGAGAGTTGATAGATTTAGAAGCCTTAAAAAAGACAATATTGATAGTAATACAATCTTGATGCTGGCTTGATTTAGCAAAGGTAAGTCTTATCAATATATGAAAATAGATTCAATGTGTTTTTCACGTGTTAAATTTATACTCTTTTTACTGGTATCAATGCTATTATAGTGAAGCGTTGGAGTTTCATTTTTCCAAGTGTCAAACATAAAGGAGTCAAAAATGTTGCTGTTGGTGTTGACTGTGTCAATCAGAAGAAAATTACCAGCGGAAATAATTCATCATGAATGATGGTGATGATTTGTTGATAGTTATTGGGTGCATCTCCATCATTTGGTGCTCATCCTATTGAAAAAAAGGAGATGGAAAGAAGTGAAAATGATTAAACAATGATAACTAATCTTTCAAAATGGAGATGAAAAGAAACAGTGGAGGAGAGGACAAAAAAAGATGGTTAAGTGAAAAAGGAAACCTTTTCTTTCGCCTCACTTTCAAAGGACAAGATGAAGAAGAAGATGGTGGTGATGATGATGAAGACAAGGAGAAAGGAAGAAATAAACGATAAAGATTAAGATGGTATTGAAGATGGTGATGATGATGATAAAAGGATGTTAACAATGACAAAGGGTTGACAATGATTACCTCTTGAACTGGATTTTGATGACTATTTGACTTCTAGACAAGTACCAAAACAGGAATCATTTAAAGCCAAATGATTTAACCCAGTTTACAATATAAATTTTTGTTTTTCCTGATGGGTTCATGACAACTTTGACATTATCCATTTTCATTCAACCTAACAAATAATAATAATAAAGTTTACTGTGGCAAACATGAAAATTAACAAACAAGAGCTGCAACATGACATTATTTGCATTTGAGACTTGATTTTGATTGCTAATTGAAAGCTTCATTTTAACGTTAACTTCTCATCAAACTTGAAGCAAATCACAAAGTCTATAATAAACTTAATCAAAGAATCCCATTAAGGAATCAAAGTTTACCAGGAAAAAAGGAATGATCAACCTTCAAGTAGCCTTAATGTTAATATTATTATTATCATTATTTTGGTGTTTAACCAGAAAATGGCAATAAAAAATCAATAAATTGTGTTATTGATAAAATTTTGTCAAGTATCATTAAAGGCAGAATGTTGTTTATAATTTGGTAAAAATAATAACCCAAAAGTATAGATCGATCAAGGGAAACTTTGATAAACAATATTCCCTGATATTTACTTGGATTGTAATTTCAAGAATCAGGTAAATACACCCAACAATCAAAAAACAATAAATAAGCAAACAATGAATCAAGTTGCTTAAAACTAACATTGATAAACTTGTTTATAATATAAATATTAATTGTTGCCCGAATGAAATGATTGAAAGATTGTTTTAATCAAGAAACGAAAGAAGAGCAAAAAACAAACCTTTTTTAATAATCACATGAAATGATTTATGTATATTAACATTTGTTGTTGTAACTTGCTAATCATGTTTATGTTGCATTATTAAATGCAAAGAAAAAGATAATGATGAGGATGAAAAATGTGATCTTCATCTCAACACATTCTAACAATCTTCATCTCCTCCTCTTCATCATCACCATCGCCCTGATCCGTAACATCTTTTACATCCCAGTCTATCAAGATGGCAACAAGAAAGATGATGAAAAAAAGGTGGTTACAATGGATAAGGATGAAAATGGGAATCAAGATACGGATGAAGATAAAGATGAAGATGAACAAGTGTGAAAAGGAGGAGAATGAAGATGATTTTGATGAAATATAGATGAGAGTCTTGAGAGGCAAACAAGAAGTAGGATGATGATCATTAAAAGGATCCTCAGATGATCATCATTATCACCATTACCATGGCTTTTAGATGACATCTTTAAGAATCTAGCTTTAATAATAACCCTTTTATTTTTTGCTCCTCTTTTCCTCATCATCATCATGAATGCATGCATAAGAAGAGCAAAAAGTAACAAAGACGATGATAAACGACCACAAAATTCAATGAATTTTTAACCTTATTTTGTTTATCACTTAAAACCTACTGATCTTGTTTATCAAGTAAACATTGGCATTTATAAAGGAACTCATTTTTCATTCCTTTCACTCTTTCAATTACCCTTAAATATCCAATTAGTTAACAATTGACATTAATTTATTCCTGAACTTCTTATCAAATCCCAAATTCACCTTGAAATGGTGAATAAACTCATTTCGTTTTTTGTTCATTTTTTTATTTCGACTTGAAATGTTACTTTTTGCCTTTTACTGAGAAAATATTTTATTTGAATTTTCTTGTAAGGTTATAATATAATTGACAATTTAATAATTGTGGCTAAACGGCATTTCATCGTGTTTCAGTTATGGAAGCAGAAAAAATTGGATGATTGATTTGTTTTAATGTTTACTTTTGATTGAGATGATATTATGTTGCCTCTGTTTTTCATTATTATTATTGTTGTTGTACTCTTGTTACAATAAGTTTCTAGCTGTATATTTAATGTAATATCAGATTGATTTAAGGTTAAACAAGTGAACAGGAACAAAATTGCGTGTAATTCAACAAACTGTAAACACAACAAAATCAACTTGTAAAAAGCAAAGGTCCAAAAAACAAGGTATAATTTGATTCAATTGAAAGTATCAATAAGCAAGTAACTTTAATACTTGAAGGTCCAACAAACAAAAAAATGGTCAACAGCGTGAAAGAAAATTGGAAAGTGAAAAGAAGAGGGAAAAAAATCTTAATCAAGAGCATTGGTCATCCAGCAATAAGCTAACTAATAAGGCGTAAAAGTTAAAGGTAAAGCTTTCTCGTCATCAAAATCATCATTATGTTCATCATCATCACAAGTATCATATTTAGCCAGAAAAAAAGAGAGATTGAACATTGAGTACACAAAAAATCCCAAACATGATCAAGAAAGATGATGATGATGAAACAAAAATGAATTATCCTGAGTAACAAATCTTGACATTAAATCAATTGACACATTTGTTATGGCTGTTGATGATCATGATCATGATTAAGAGGAGCAAGATGAAAAAAGAGGTAAATAAATGATAAACCCATTTGTTTCTGGATACACTTTTTATGTGTCAAATGAACACCAACAATTGATCTGCAATCAAGTATTGTATTATCCTGGGCAACAATAAAAGACTTGAATGTAAGTTAAATGTTTATTACAATCAAATCAATTCCAATAATCTAAAAAAGTGTTCAATTGAATAAAACAGTTTACTGGATTGAGTGAATATCCATTGATCTTTGATGGCCATTGAAATGTTGATAAACCGGTGAATATGATTGTCTTGACTATGATTTGATCACAATTAAAAGATCTGTTGTCAATTAAAAAAGTGTCTAATGGTTTGGATTTGATGGCAGTTGAAGCAGGAATGATGATAGATTTGGGAAGATGGAAGATGGAAGAGAGAAATAAATTCAATTGTAATTGAATTGGTAACATAACAAAATAATAGCTTTTATATTGTTGAGTGTAAAACGATGATTGAAAAAAAATTGGATTTTATTCACATTAGTGAACCTGATGGTGTCTATGATAAATATAATAACATTTATCTTCAACTCATCTCATCATCTTGATACTAATAATACTCTTACCATTTGCTGTTCAAGGATGAAGATGAAGATAGAGATGGAGAGAAAACCTTAATCTCAATTGAAGGGATTAATAGTTAAGCTTCAATGTTGAAACTGTTTGCAATCATTTTCCGATGATTAAAATAAAAATCCAAATCCAAAAGCAACTCCAGTAAAATAATACATAACTGTAACTCCTTTTTTGACAGATTTAACAGCAACTTTGTCAACTCATTTTTTCACCATTAATATTATATTAATATCATTTGAAAGTTGAATTGTATTATTAATGAAACACTTTTACTTTTATCCAGTTTGACCTTAATTCCTGGATCATTAATATACAAGTTAAATTGATTATCATTAACCAATGTAATCAAAATAGGATTAGAAACATTAAGATTGCCTTTTTGTTTGTTTGTTTGCCTTTTCCTCTTCTTCTTCTTCTGTCTATTTATCATATCCATTTCAAGTTGACATTAAATTGTCAACTCATTTTTTCATAGCATTTCATCCACTTAATCAGGCCTAATTATATGAACAGTGAACAATGATTGTCAATCAATTATTTATCAACCAAATTTGTCCACCTCCCACTTTACATCTGGCACCCTCTTCACTGTTGATTCCTATTTACTGATCAATAATAATGCAAGGTAAATGACAGTTGAAAACTTGAATCACAATGATACAACAATGGGACAAAATGTAATACCATTTAGATACATTCAATTCAATTTGCCTTTTTAGCTTTTCATAACTTGCACCGTTTCCTTGGTTAACTCAATGTCAATCAATTGACTCTCAATGTGTATTAAGAGGATTACAATCAACTTTTCAAGCAAAACCTTCATCATCTTCACCATCATCATCTTTATCTTCATCATTTCACTCTCCCTTTCATCATCACCATTTTGTCCTTTTAACGTGTTCACTCTAATTCAATTGTTACTTTCCAGCTCTTTTTTTTAGCCATTAAACTCAACATTTTTACTTGTCCGACTTGTTAATCAATGATGACATTAATCGTATCAATTCAATTGTCTAATTTGATTGTCTTTCAATCTTTCATTCCAATCAATCTAATAAAAATATACAGAATAATTTCATCCAATGTACATTTGAGAAAAGAGAAGAAAAAATTCAAGTTTAAAATGTTCGATTCAGGTTTAATCAAATTTCAGGTTCAATAGTTGAACTTGATCAATTATTACTTCTTTCATCTAACTCCTCCTTTCATCTTCATCTTTATCATCATAAACATCTTCTCTATCATCTTATTACTGACCTGATTCAGTGTGTGATAAATGGCTATGTTTTGGTCAGCAAAATGTACAAAAAAGTAACCATTATTTATATCAATAAATTGTTCCTCCTTTTGTTTCCAGAATCAATCTTGACCATTTTTATTGTTGTTTTTTCGTTAAATAGTGAATTTATCATTCCAATCATAATTATCAGTCATATTAACAATATTTTAGGACACAAAATGATTTATTGGAAATCATTGATTTTAACCGGGAACAAATGAGAAATAATTTTAAGTTTCGTTTACTTTGAATTTAAAATACTTACCTTTTAACTGGCTTTGATTAAGCTCATCAATTCATTCATTCAATAATTATGGAATTGGTTTGAGAAGATTAATAAACATTTGTTTTCATTTTATTTTTGGGGTTTTTATCACATTAATGTTTATTCGGAACCAATAATTATTTGGAATCGAGGAGTCAACATGAAAAGGGAACAAAACTTCAACTTAACAACACTCTTGGGTAATTTAATTACTGGGAAGACATGGATTCTGATATTAATAATGATTATGATTATATTGTAGGGAGTTAAAGGTTTAAAAAATAGGAACATGAACAGAGTGAAAGGAGAGTTTTGTTCATGAGATGGACACAAAAGAAGTACAATAAAGCAAACGGAATAAGTTATTTTTGTTTCATGTATTATAATTTGATTTGTATTTATAATGATTTTGTATATTCAATAGTAATTATATTATAATTGTCTTCATTTGTATAAGATATGGTATAATTTGGATGAATGCTTTGTAATTACGGTGGCTATTTTACAATGAGCTTGTCTTTTGGTTTGTGGTTATTTCAAATAAACAGTTTTTCTTGTCATGATTGGGATCAAAAAGAAAGCAATATTATTAACAGGATAAAGTAATGGAAAGATTGTTAAATTAAAGTTGACAAAATGATGACCATTATCATGTTTACAAACAAATCAAGGGATAACTCAAAATATTTCGGGTTCATTGGTACGGCAGGATTGAGAGGAATAAAACTGAATGTGAAAACTGGTTAAATAGCGGCAGAGATGATGATGATGATGATCGAAGATTTGTTACATGGAGAGAAAGATGAAGAAATAAGCTCAGCAACATTACAAAAGTAACGATGTTTCAAATGATGAAGATGGAATTATGATCAGATTGCGATTGTTTTCATTTTTTTTCCTTTTAATCAATGAAGATTATTTAGCGGATGATGAAGATTCTGTGTTTGATTCTTAATTATATGCACACCTTGGTTGCTAGTTTCTGTAAAACTATTTACATCATCAGTTAAAATACATGTTAAGAGCATATTGACTCTGTTTCAGAATTATGCCTCTTTTTAGCTGTGGCCATGTCAGCCGCATGTTTCTTCCTCCACTTTGTCCTTCGATTTTGAAACCATACTTTCACTTGACTTTCAGACATACCTAATGCATATGCTAACTTGGCTCTCTCTGGTCCAGCCAAATATTTGGTCTGTTCAAAAGTTTTTTCAAGGATATAAATTTGATGTCCAGAAAAGGTTGGTCGAGTGTGTTTCTTTTTACCATCCTTTTCTGTTAACCCGAGTGTCGAAGTTAAACCATTATGAACCATTGCATGGACACTATGATTGGGATGATGTTGATGGTGACTTGAATGAACAGGTAATCCACTATTACCGATACTTGGTTCACTTTTAACTGCACCATTACCGATAGTAGCATTAGCATCACCATTAGTCCCTCCACTTCCTCCTCCTTCTGCTCCATGTCCAGTTGCACTTGCTAATCTTTCTCTCCAAAGAGCTTGGTTATGAACCATTGAATTCCAATACAATGAATTAGCTGCCAATTTGTGAAGGCCTCCATTAGTTGGACCAAAATAGACATCACCAGTGGCTCCGATTGAGAAGCGGGGTAAAGCTCCGGCAGCCAGAGCTGAACCTAAGGCGGCTGATGCTGCAACTGCTGCTACTGTTGGTGTGGGATGAGGGTGGGAATGTTGATGGCTATGGTTTGATAATGATGATGTTAATGCTGATGGACGAGAAAGTATATCACTTATTCGATGAGATGTGGCTGAAGCTCCGGGTGATGAAGATAACGAAGAGTTAGGCGATGCCACTGATGAGGCTGAATAACTTTTCAATGGAGGTGATCCACAATTTGATATCCCATTCTCAGGTGATGAACTATTATTGTTAGTGTTACCGTTATTATTGTTGTTATCACTATTACTATTACTGTTGCTGTTATTGCAATTGTTATTGGGATTGTTCGTATTACTGATGATACTATTTATGCTGGAACGGTTCGTCGATGAAAGAAACATGATAATGATGGTTATGAAGATGAACGAGAAAAATCAACAGAAACATGAAACAATTAGAATTAATGTCAAAATAAATTGACTCTTTACTCGGTGAAAATATAAAGATACTGCTTGCAGTTTAATCAAAAAGACGGTGTTTTGTAAAAATGTGTGAAGATAAAGTTGTAAACAAATCAACAATCAAGTGAATCAAAAATTTTGAAAAATGAGAAACAGTTAAATTTAAGTACTCATTAATCGATGAAAAATTAAAAGTTCCATAATCACAAATAATGGCAATTGAGATGTGAAAAAGGTTAATCTTGGTGGAAATGGTGACTTGTGAGATGTTGATGAGGTTGATGATGAAGTTGACTTGAGTTGAAGTTGAGTTGAGGTTAACAAATAAAAACGATCTTCAAGTTACCATGTAATTTGCCTTTGGGTATTGATAATAACAATAATACTAGTACAAGAAACTAATAATAATAATAACAGTAACAGTAATAATATAAATGATAATAAGGTTTGGAAACAAAATACGGTTTAACATGGCTGCCGTAGTAAGGGAAAAAGAGGGAAGAGCCAAAATATTAGGCGGCAACAAAATATTGTTGGTTAAATTTTGCTTCAAAAGGTGGAGTTAATGGTGAGTTGTAACCTGAGCATTTCAACTAATAATAATAATAGCAATGATTTCAATGCAGATGATTATAATATTGTTGATTATAATACTGATGGTTATAATAGTGATGACAATACTCCTGATATTGATACTGATGATAATAATAATGTAAGTAAAAATACTATATTTTCAAGTTGGAGTATGTCTTTTACATTATTTCATTTATCTTCAAGTTTCTCTCCTCACCATCTTCCCATCATCTTCATCTTCATCTTTATCTTTATCTTCATCCCTTTTATAGATCATTGTGTATCTAAATAGAGTATTGTGTTAAAATAATGATCATCATCATCATCATTATCATCCCAATGATATATGCATCATATAATTTCAATTAATTGTTTTTTTACTTCGTCTTCTTCATCTTCATCTAATGTTTTTTTGGTAGCAACACAGTAACACTTGATAACTTAATAAGTTGATTTGTTTTGTCTTTTTTTCACCTTCTCCAAACTTATATCATCATCAAATGCTGATCGATGATATTAATTTATTTATTGTCTATGCTCAGGTAGTTAAAGTATATATTGTTAACCCTTCATTTTCAGTTTTTTTACAATAATCTTTTCGTCATTTTTATTCAGCTTCATTTGCTTTTCTCATTCAGATTGTTACTACTGATCAAATGTTCAGCTTATTGTAATAGTCTTTACTTATTATTAATAGCTCTCGTATTTTGGTTATTGTCACAATACTTCATCATCTCCGTTTATCTGAATCAACTATTCTTTGGAATGTAATTCCTCCATAGAGTTATTGATATATTTACAGACTATTTTGGTGATTGCAAAGAATCTCTTATCAAGGAGAACTATGTTGTTGTCTATGAACTTCTTGATGAAATGTTGGATAATGGGTATCCTCTTGCAACGGAGTCCAATATACTTAAAGAGCTTATAAAACCCCCTAACTTATTAAGAACAATTGCAAATACTGTTACTGGAAAATCAAAGTGAGTCCACCATCGGTTTCGTATCTTGACTTCTATTCTGTGATCTTATTGATAAGTCTACAGATTGATTTGAAAACCTTTCTTAATTTATACGACTTAATAGTTAATTTAAATCCTGATATTATGCATTTTATCAACAATTGAACTTATTTTATTTTCTTTATTCTCATTACAGCGTTAGTGCAACATTACCATCCGGACAGCTTTCCAATGTTCCTTGGCGTCGTGCTGGAGTCAAATATGCTAACAATGAAGCTTATTTTGATTGCACCGAAGAAATTGATGCTAGTGGATAAATAGATAAAAGTGGATCTGTCGTATCTGCGGAGATTCAAGGATATGTGTGTACTCATTTATTCTTGAACATAACTCACCTTTTGTATTTTCTAATGATATATCTTTTCATTTTTAGATTGATTGTGGCATCAAACGTTCTGGGTTACCCGATCTTAGTTTATCTTTTGTCAACCCAAATACATTATTTTGTTAACATCAGAACAGGTAGTTGAGCCTTAAACAAGCAAAGTCTTGAATCTGTATCAATATTAATATTGTCCCAGACAGCTCTCCGGTAATTTTCAATGTGAAAGTGTAAGGCGACCTGTTAGTAAAGTTCTCATGAAGATTTTGAAATTTCTGCGAGCTAGACATGTGATGGAGAGACGAGTGATACACCTATTGAATCGCAAAACCATGCTCTGCAATTTGACAAATAATCCGTCGTAATTGAACGCATCTTTTGTTAAATAGACTTTAACAGCTTCTTTTAAAAAAACTTCTGCCAACCCCATGTCAAAAATACATGAGGAAATTGAGGCTGACATAAACAAAAAAGCTGAAACGCTCGCAACCTTTTGCCTAAACTGAAAATTGAATGGATTTACTTGAATCAGGTTACATTGAACTTCTGAAATGAATGCATCTTCGTAAATTTTTGAGCAAACTTGTATCGTATTAGAGACTATATTTGGATGAAATTTTGATGTAACTTGAAAGATTTCCTTCTCTTCTTATTTAAGCTTGATGGAGATTCGGTTAAAGACGGTCTTGAATGTAAACCTTTCACCGAACCAAGGAAAATACTCATTTGATCCAGTATCTAAGCTATTGGTTTGGGAAATTGGAAGAATAGAAACTGGTAAAAGTCCTTTCGTTCGTGGAACCATTAACTTATCTCAAGCAAAGCAAATAAATCAAACAAATTTGTTCATTTATAACTCTTGTTTTATTTTGATTTGTTTTGTTTTTTATTAATATTATAGTAATATTTGTATTGTTGCAGTTGTTTGTAGTTATTATATTAACAGGGAAGATTTGGTTTATTCAAAAACATTAGACATGAAAAGTCTAATATTTTTGACACAATTAGAAAAAAGTGTTTCAATTTATTTTGAACAATTTCAAATACAGTTATTGGAAAATCAGAGTAATAAATTCTGAGCTGAATCGAGCTCATTTAAACTCTTTTTCTTTACTCTGGATCCGGTTCACTAAAAGTCTAGAGTCTACTGAATCTTCTAATAACGGTTGTTTCTTTCCTCTTTCAGAATTTCTTTTCTCCTCATGCATTTTTCTTTGCTGTTGTCATGTGTTGTTCGGCTGCATGTTTCTTCCTCCACTTTGTCCTTCGATTTTGAAACCATACTTTCACTTGATCACCAGACAAACCTAAAGCATAAGCCAATTTGGCTCTTTCAGGTCCAGCCAAATATTTGGTCTGTTCAAAAGTTTTTTCAAGGATATAAATTTGTTGACCTGAAAAAGTGGGCCTCGAATGTTTCCTCTTATTATCTTTTTCAACTAATCCGATGGTCAAGTTATTTTGATGATTTACCACAGGCACACCATGGATATGAGAACGACCTGGAACACCGATAACACTTGCACCATTACCTCCAATAGAGGCACACACCAACCTCTCTTTCCAAAGAGCTTGGTTTTGAACCATTGAGTTCCAATATAAAGCAGCTGAAGTGGCCACAACTGAAGCTGCCGTTGATGAATGGTGATGTTGACGACCGGAATTGGAGCGAGAAAGAATGTCACTTATTCGATGTGAGGTGGCATAAGCTTTAGGCGATGAAGAGGGCGATGAACTTGGTGATGTGGGATAATTTTTCATTGGTGAAGTTGTCACAGGATGATGATTGCCATAATTGGTCATCTCATTTTCAAATGAGCTGCTATTATTGTTGCCATTATTATTATTACACTCACTTTCCTCTTTGAAAATATTGTTGCTGGTTTGATTTGCTGATAGGCTGAACATGATTAACAATGAACAAAACAAAACCTCATAATACACAAACAATGGTACAATTAGTCGGGTTTGCTGGTGATTTTTGGTTACCGAAAGAGTTGTATTCAACTTGGTTAAATTGTTGGAGAGACTAAAAGTTATTGACTTTGGATTGAAATGAGGAGGAAAATAGTCTCGACAGACACACAGGAATATACAAGTTACTCCAAAGTTATATCCAAATACAAATGAGCAACAAACTGGGAATGTAGTTTTAACTTTCGCAAGTGGGCAATGATGAAGGTTGGAGAAACTGAGAAAAGAGGAAGAGCTAAAATAACAGGCGGTAACCAAATGATGCTGGCTCAACTCTGCTTTTAGGAGGAGTTTATCCGCATCTCTATTGAGTTGGACAATTAACCATTCAACTTGAAAGACTCACACTTCATGTATTATTATTATTCCAATAATTTTATGGTATTCTTCCAGATCATTATTCTCTCATGAGGATCAATGTTATTATGGATTGTTATTTTATTTGTTAAGAGAAGAAGAAGAAGCCAAAAATGCAGACAAAACTGCAAAGGTTAACCCCATAACGAGAGATATTTTTGATACAGCTTTACTGTCTTTGATTAACCTACAATTGAACCGTTTAATGGAGTACATTAATGTATCATTCTCATCAATTAACTCATCTCTTACTTTATCTAATTGTCATATAATGTCATTCTAATTACCAGGGCTTTTCATTTTCGATGCTATTTCCATACTTTTATCTATCAAGATAAACCGAAGAAAAGTCCATCGATTTTCAGCGAAAATTAAGGTTGATAAAATTGAAAAAAGGCCAAAAGATGTTGCATCGGCGTAAAATCTATGCAGTGTCATTAAAAAAATGACGGAATGCAAAATGAAAGCCCTGCTCATAACTTCTCGTGGCAGTGGTTTAATCTATTTATACAGCTCTTGTATTGTTATTGACCACTTGATATCACTTGAATTGTATCCATTAATTTCAAATTAGCAAGTAACTTAACACTTTTGCCTGAATATATCTTAAAACTCTTTTTAAGAACTCGTTAGGCATCAAATTAATCTCTATTTTGATGCTATTTGAATAAGTATTTTTTAACTGCAGCTTAGGAAATAAAGTCAACAATTATGCAACACATCTTACCAATTTGAACGGTTAAATGAAAAGTTGTTCAACATATTTGATTTGATTTTTCAAAATAAAATTTGTTTATTAAATCTGTTAATGTCTCAATTAATTTGTTTGTTCATTTGTTGAACAGCCAGAATTTCAATTGATTTATAATTGGATGTTTAAAGAACATCTTTTATTGGACGCTTTACTCATGAGGACCATACTTTACACATGTGGAATAAAGTAAAGGTTCCCTGTAAGTTCGCCAATTTTAAGCTTTAAAACAAACCAAGAGTCCAATCCTTTTACCACTTTAAAGAAACATCGACAATAATTATTTACTGCTTTGACGAGTAAATTATCCATTTGATTAAGATATTCGTGTACAGCGATCAAGCTCAAGCTGAATCAATTCAATATCACCATTTGGAAGCTTGTTGTATCAGTTTGAAAAGAGATGCAATGTCTAGTGCTTTTATTAAGCAAATAGTCGCAAAGAAGTGTCCAAAAGGATAGTTCTGTTCCAAGCTAAAGATAGCCAAAAATTATTGGAATTTTACCAGTTTCTATTCTTCCTATTTCCCAAACCAATAGCTTAGATACTGGATCAAATGAGTATTTTCCTTGGTTCGGTGAAAGGTTTACATTCAAGACCGTCTTTGGCATCGGAATCTCCAATACAACTCCATCAAGCTAAATGGAAAAAAATAATAGTAAATTTTGCAGGTTGAATCAAAATGTCATCCAATCTAGTCTCTAATACGATACAAGTTTGCTCAAAAATTCATGAAACTGCATCCATTCCGAAAGTTAAATTACCGTAGAGCTTTCTGAGACACTATCAATAGTGACACACAATCAAGACTTTGATTGTTTAAATATCAACTACCTGTTCTGATGTTATTCTGATAAAACCCTGAAAAGATTGCAATTCATTTCGCAAATTTTTTTGTTCCGTAAACATGTTAATGGCGCGTTACCGTTCTTCCATTAGTTTGCTTTGGTCCAACTCGTATTTCCATTTTGCCTCCTCCAACTTCTCGGAATGAAATCAGATGTCTTACAAATATAGGGATTGAAACTATATTTTGTGCACCAATAGTGTAAGACATTAATCGAAAATTTCCATCAGGCGGAATGAACGAAAGAACTCTTTCTGATTCCCATCGTCTATATCTAACACATGGATGGAAACTAACATCATCAAATAATCGTGGGTTGATAAAAGATAAACTAAGATCGGGTAACCCAGAAAGTTTGATTCCACAATCAATCTAAAAATGAATATCTATCACATGCCTTACTCGCAGAAATTTCCAAATCTTCATGAGATCTTTACTAACAGGTCGCCTTTTACTTTCATATTGAAAATTACCGGAGAGCTGGCCGTTACACTATTAGGTAAGAGTAAGAGTTTACGGACTAAGGAGGGACAACATGAGACATTTAAATTAAGATCCAATCAGGTTAATCTTTTAAAATTAAGTCTATGGTTATAATGGTAACTGAACTAATTGTTAGTTACTAATCTTGTCTCAAATCCATGGATACTGAAAGAGGAGAAGAGAAAATTCTGATTAATCATACAGACATATCATTAGAAA